CTCACTCTCTTTACAGGAAAATAACACAGAGAATATAAAACATTTCACTTATTTTTTTCTTTACTGGATACCAGTTTTCCAGCAAGTGTTTCTACACATTTTCTCTATCTTCAATTATGCATCAGCTTTGCTTTTCATGCGTCTTTTTGGGCAGGAGGTCCTGTTTTAATTTCTGTACAGGAAAGAGGAGAAAACGGGCTCGCTGTCTGTCTGCTTTATGTGAACTGAGGACCCAGCAGAAACTGACTGTGGAAAGCTTTACTCTGAAAAGGCTCCCCTATGTTGCAGGTCTATGCGTGATGAAATAATTGTACAGTATAGATAATTTATTGAATAGAGATTATTATCATGACTAATGATTATTGTTGGGGAAGCTCATTTTAGAATCAGCAAAGAATCCGATGAGAAAAAGTAAAAGAAGACCTAAAAAAAGAGATGCTCTGTTTTCATGTTGAGAGATTTTGCCTTAGTTGTCATGGTGATGCCTTGTGGGCTGACACCAGTGGAGGGAATCGACTTTGTTGACTGGTTTTACTTCTCCATGTATGCATGTGCCCATGTGCGGCCCACACAAACACATACACAGACCAATGTACAGTACGGTGCCTTTGAAGAATGGTCGCTTACTGAACCTCAACATCAGCCAGTAAAGAACATCGCCACCCCCGAAAAGACGGTTTGTCCAGGAGGGAAGAGGCACTTATAGAACATATGGAGGAGCGCTCGCCTCGGAGCCCTCCAAAACAAGATGGTGAAGCATTTAACGCATCGAAACCGGAGACTGGACTCAGAGAAGACAGATGGAAGGTTTTTTATAGCCAACAACAATGACATACGCAGTTCACGCCGGTCTGTGCGTCATGAGTCTACGGCGCCAAGGGAAAGGAAAACATCAAGACATTCCACTCGACTCCCACTTCTCATCAAATCTTAATGTTCATCGTTCCATCGCTCTTTGATTTATTTGCACAGAATCAAGATTATTTTGTACGTTTTGAGAACTGGACCAACAGTTGTTGTTGTTTTTTTAATAATTATTTGAAGCCAAATCCAGCCATGTTTTAATGTCTGCATGGAGTTCTGATCCATCGTTATGATTTTTGTACCTTGCCTTATTTTTACAGATGATCAGGTGGAGGGAGTTTTTTGTTTTTTTTTTATGTTGATTTCTTTTTTTTTTTATGTGTGAAATCCATTTTGGTGCTGTGCAGACTGGTGAAGAATTAAAGTGTCAGGAGACTTTAAATCTGAAGGAAAACTTAATGTGCTGTTTAACATAAATCCAGAGAAGAAGAAGGAGCCCGAAATCCTTTTTGTGATTTTCTGGGGTTGTGGTGCTCAGTGTTCTCTTTTACTTAGCAACATAAAAACAGTCAGTTTGCAGCTCTTTTCACTGCTGTGTGTTGGCATTTAGCTTTTTATCCATCTCCCACTGGAGAATTTTTGCTCACGCTTTATTTATACAGATATTCACACGTTCATTGACCCCTTCAGCTCAGACTTATTTAAAGGGTTCGTCTTTTCTTCATTGTCTCTGTATGTTTACATTCAATTTGTAGAATATTCATTCTACATACACATCTAAATGTTAATTTAAGTTGTAGTTTACACTGAATTTCCTTTCTTTCAGCATAGCAAAGCAGACTCTTCATGATTTCACTCCATGGGTTCTAATGTTTCCAAGCTGTTTGAGTAAAAGTCACCGATAACATCAGACCAGTGGCCTGTTGCACCAGTTCTTTATAAGCTGCAAAGCTCTGAACCATGCATGGAAACTATTCAGTTTGTTACTTAAATTGTTTCAAAGTCTGGCATCCTAATTGGTAAGATTCATCCTAAACAGTAGAGCTCATGTCCAAACTAACCACAGTCATGGAAATGCATTCAGCCAATCATATGGGGATGTTTTAAAATCCTGACGGTTTCACCTGATTGTCTCCAAATAGGCTGACTTACCATTAAAATGAACTTCCTTTCGCTCCCATGTAGGTAAAGGTCCCTAAAATATGATGAAGCAATATGAACAGGTGATGATTTATGATGATGAGAGAAAAAACACCCACTAAGACATTCTGTATGTAAGTTCTCTGGTATTGTGCAGGTGAAATAATCTTCTCAGCCTTTAAAAGTTTATCCTCAAAGTGACGCACTGTGACAGTTTTACTTTGTCTATTTTATGGAGGAATTTACAACAACTCAAACCCAGGTGCAAGATTTAAGTTGTAACTCGTGTCGAAACCATAGACTGTGTTTAGAGTGGACACTGTCTCCCTCCTCGCTACATGAAGCCAATGTGAGAACAGCACCCCCTGGTGACGGGCAGCAATATAAGTCATAAATCCCGCCTCCTCCAGCAATCCCTATGGAGTTTTGGACAAACTTTAGAAATTAATCACACAGAATATAATTTTTTCTCCCCCCCTGGTTGTGATGTTGACATGTAGTTACTGTCAGACTGGTTTGTGCTCAAGTCCTCTTTTTTCTGTACAGCTCCGTTTTTAAACGTTATTAGGGGATTCATGTTTTCTATAATTGACACGTGATACAGCCTATGCAATACAATAAGCTACTGCATCTATGAGGTCTCTGTGTCTCTTGGATGTTTTGTTGTAAGGCGTTGTTCTAGAGCAAGCGGACTCAATGGTTTGCTGTTTCAGCTGCACAGGCGCCATAGGCTCCTTATTCCGCTCCGGACTCAAACAAGGTTTTATTTTTAACATTGAAACAGGTAAAGGCCAAAATAAGCAGCTGATTCAATAAAAGTCTCATTATGCTTTTGATGCTCGACTATGTGGTCTGAATGTGAAGGGGGGCTGTGAGCTGAGCTGCTGCCAACCATTAAGCAGGTGCTTGGTTTGTATTGAAGTTTGGACTCCCTCAGTCTTGGTTTGAATGGGAACCAAAATTTCCACAGTGGTCTTGTTTACTTCAAAACAAACTAATTAGATGCAGTTTCACTTTAAAAAAAACTCTTTTCCCTGTTCTTGAAGGTCTTCTAAAGCTTTTATCAGAGCTTCACTTCCTCAGATGGCATTTTGTCTCTAGATGACAGCTATCTGAAAGTCTTTATTTGTTTGAACCCTGGTGACTTGGGTCGAACGTTTCTTGTTCTTATTTTTGATGTCTCACCAACAAGTTTTCTGAAAGAACTACTCATCCAGGACGACATGAGGTGCTTTTAAAGGTCGAGCCTAGAGTCATGTCGGGTAGATCGGTGAAAAGAAAAGTCAGACTGATCAAAGATTTGTTTCAACAGCTAAATTGAATTCCACTCCTGATGTTTTTTCCCCACCACACAGTCTCTGGAGGAAGCTGCTCATATAAAACGCAGATGCTTAGGGGTCACTGATGTGACGGGTGACCTGGGTCAAGTTAACCTAAGTTCACTGAGATGTAAAGTGAAAACACTGAGCACATCAGCTCTGGCCTTGTCACAAAGATGATGATGTGTTAGTTTCCAAACTTCTGATTGTCTATGATGTTCGTTATTACAGCACCCAGAAAATCACAGAAGTCTTAACACTGTGTGAGGGAGACACACAGGAGGCCTCCATATTGTCTAGAACGAGGATGAGGAGAGATGGAGTCGCTGTTCAAGTAGTGGAGAAAAACCCATTGCATGTGGCTATTGATATTTCAAGTCCTGTCAATACATCCTCAAAAACATAAGTACTGAGTCGTGTACATTTTTTTGAATGGTTGAGTATTTCCAAATGAGGTCTATCATGAAATAAATATTTCTCTTTGTTTTAAAACTGAGCCTGAAGCATTTTCAATTTTGAGTCGTATGTTGAATTTAAAGCACACGGTAGGGAAGTCTGTCCTCGAGGGTGTTGTTTTTAAATCCATAACAGAAAACTCACTTTCAGGAGTCCTATGATAAGTCACATGAAACAAGGCTATATACTAACAAAGTAGGATAGCAATCATGCTATACGTCAAACTAGTAATGAGTTTATTTGAATGAACGTTATGGCAGAGAAGTGCACATATACCACAATTCAGAGGTTACAGATGCTGCTGATACGCCTGACCAACAATCACAGATTATTTAAATAGATGTGAGTTATTACTGTCATAACTGCTACACAAGTCCATCTGAAACCTTCTACATTCATGTTTTTTCTACTTTATAAGTATGTTTCAAGAGTGTATTCATTAATTGTAAAACCACTCAAATTATTCTTAAAGCTGCAGCCCTGCCGGTGTCCGATGAACTCGGGAGATCATTTTAATAAAGAGGAGAAACATGATTTAAAGAGGTAAGTAGGTGTTTCCATTTCTAATAAGTCCAAGTTTAACGTTTAGGTGTTTCTATCAGAAGTCCTGAAACACACCGGGCCCACACCAGTTTTCTTGTTTGTGGTTTTGAGTTTGTTTTCTTCAATTTGGTTGATGTTTGTTTCACTCAGCTCCATGTGTGATTCCATGTTTCTGTCACTCTATTAGCTGTTATCCCTCTCTTCTAATGGCCCTAAATTGTGTTTTGTAGCACAGGCCTCTATACTGTATGCAGTTAACTGGAGTTACTGTCCTCTTTAGTTTGTCAGAATCTGTCTGCCATGACTCTGTTGATTATATAAGCAAATTCATACAGTTAATGTTTGGTGCCTCACTGGGAGTTGTGAGGTAAAGGGCTGACGTTGCCCGCACAGTAACCTTGAATAGAGTCATGTTTCTTAGTTGGATTGGGTACTTTAAGGTTTTGCGTTTTGGGGTATTTTTTGTACAGATATGTTAAAAGTTATAAATATAATGATTAAAAAAAAGACCATATCTAAGACAGCATTTTACAGGAGTTCTACTCTCTAAATGACTCATTAACCTTCACAGTGTTTTGAAATCCCCTCAGAGCACAGCTTTGATTTTAGCCGTAGAGCGTTTGCTGCTCTCACTCTGCTCCAAACTTTCAGTCATCAGTGTCCAAGCCGAGTCAAAGCTTCTTTCCAAACATTTCAATGTGAGCCAAATGTTTCTCCGTCCAGCTCTCCCATTGATCATCAGACTGCGTATCCGTACTGGCTGTCGTATTGGACTGGTGTGAATTTGACCGGTGTGTGACCGTGGCTGTTGCTGGAGGGAGCGTGTGTGCGGCCTTCGCTGACAGAGTTCACCTCGCTCTCACCAACCTGGCAGTAAGAAACCTGCGGGTGCTGACTGGTGCTCCTGCTCGTATGGCGACTCACAGGGCGGCTTTCAGGGGGTGGAACGTCCTCCCTGTTTGAGGACAAAAAGAGGAATATGAGAAAGTTAGAGGGTTTTATTTCCTTGGTTATTATGTCTGTACTTATTTTTATCATGGTAAAATAGAGGCGATATAGAGTGACTTGAACAATGACCAGAATCATGAGATTTTCAAAGAGAAATCTTTGGACACACAATGAAATATATACAAATACAGTTTGACTCATAAAATAGAACCTAAAAGCTGCAATCCTGAACAATAAGAGATGCAAAACAACAAATGTTGAGCTTATTTATCCGTTCATATACTCTGTATATAAAAAAGACTGAAGGGTTGATTTATTGTTGGACTTTTGCACTGACATATTTCTCTGTACATTAACGTTGCTTGGATGTAGGGCACCAGGTTGTTTTAGTTGTCGTCTGCATGCTTGTATCCATATTTACCAGAGTGGGTGTGCAGCACTCTTCAGGATAATCACACTGCCCTGTATGTTAAGGGCATAAAGATTTGTTGTCTTAGACTTTTTAGATGTGTTTTCCAAGAGCTCCTACTTTCTCCGAGGCCTTTCTTTCACTCCTCCTCCTTCACTGAAGCATAAAATTCACTCTGGTGGTGGTTCAACCATCAAACGCTGACAAGAAGCATACAGTGCAATCTTCCCTCGTCGCCGCCGCCGCTGCCAATGTTCAAGCTTAGAAGCTTCTTTGCATTCTGCATTTATGTAACTTTGCAGCAGCAGCAGCAACAGTCGGGATCTGCTCCTCTGTCAAAGATAACGCCCGCACAACTGATCGACTTTGGCATTTTCTGATCCTGTGGAGGCCAAGGACTCAGGTTTTTGCTGGTAAAGAGAATAAATTTGCTTTTGTTGGGCTGATTTGGGAAATGATGTCTCCAGTTTTGGGGGTGTGGGGGTGTATTGTGTTTGAAAACAAAGCTGCTAACAAGAGAGAGAACCAAACTTACTCAGTGAATTAAATAAAATACCAATTTGTTGTCTGGTATTTTTTGTCAGTAGGTTGTCCACCTGGGAGTTTATCTTTCTCAAACAGTTTCAAAAGCAATCAACACAAACATAATGAACTCCCACACTCAGTTTAATGCGGTAAGTGAATCATGTTTGTACGTTTGTTGTCCTTGAAACATGTTTGTACGTTTGAGGTATTTTAGTCACTGTTGTAGGACCACTTATGCAGAGACCTGTTGTTTTTTAATGGGAAATGATCCCTTTATAGATGTTTTATGACAAATTTTAGATATTGTCTGTTAGCTTTCTGGTTTGATGTTTGTGCTGTTTTTCACTCTTTCTGCTCTTGTTAGTGTTTCTGTGGTTTCTGGGTTCCTCGGCGTCCGGCTCACCTGCTGCAAACTCTGAGAACACTGGAGACAATGGAGCTGACTGACGGAGAGGGATCCCACCAGTGTCTCTGACTGCATATTTAACCTGTGAGTTTCCTTTGTTTAAACTGTTCAATAACTCATCTTTGAGTTACTATCTCAGATATTCTTATGGTTAAAAAAATATGTTGTTTCTTAGTTTGCATTTTGAATCATGTTAGTTAATTTATTTGTTCATTATTGACATTATGATATTGATCATGCCTGTATTTATTCTGTATTTAATTTGTTTATATTAGAAATAAATCTTTGAACTGGAACTTCCAGCGTATTTGTCGTTAAGATGAACTGTTGAGTAGGAACTCCAGAGGAAAGGTACGCTGGATTTATTCAGTGGGTGAACAGGATCCTGCTCTTTCCCACTACAGATTAGCCCACTTCTTACTCACTCAATACTGACAAACTGACACTGAGTATTGACCCAAAGTTGATCTTATTTATCTAAAAAGTGATTTATTTACATTTTTCACAAAATGGCAGTGGTATTCATGTTTGCTAACTGAGGTTATTTGCTGACTTCACTGGAATTTTTCTTGCCAGGTGTGGAAAATGAAAGCAAGTTCCTCTTCTTCACTTCTATTTAAGTCTGTTTGCAGGTTGTTTGCCCTTGAACAGGTGAAATAAGATGAATAAAAACCTTCAGTAAAACACTCCTGACTGAGGGTTTTATGATTCATGCATGAATGAGTCGTGCCCCCGGACATATCGGTTTAATTCTTAATATTATATGGGCTTGTACGTATCGGTTAATGTTGTATGGTCAGCCAATATAAATGTTTATCTTATATAAAAGTTAACTGGAGTAATACTTGGCTGATAAAACTGATTCTAATGATTGTTTCTACACACTTACTTACTGTATGCAATCAAGCGCTAACTGTGTATCTTAATTTAAGCTACCTTGGGGATGATTTGTGAGGGTGTCTGAACAGTTTATGTTCTCACTAATAATACACACTTGGATGTTTTTAACGTGTTAAAGACTTCGAGTTTTTCTCATTCTAACATATTTTTGTAGGTGAAGAGTAGAAAGTACTTGAACTGATTTGATATTTTCCATGACTAATTTCTGAACTTTTTCACCCCCGCTCAGGCTGCAGTTTTTACTCTTTATCCTTCCACAATGACAGATCTGAGAGTAACTGTTGTCATGGCTAGAGTGATCCCTGCCCTGTCTCCCGTTTTTCGATGAGCATTTCACATCATCGCCATGTTCATGTGAAAAGAGCAGTGCTGCTGTATGTCACAGATATGGAGAAGCTCTGTCAGGATTGTGGCTTGGAGTGCTCCTCTGTGTCTTTTTTCACAACGCTGTCCTCCCACACTGACACTGCTCCCATTTCATCCATCTACTCTGAAAGCATGTGGGCTGTGTTCAGCTTCATATGAACTTAAACTCCAAATTATTTGGGAGACATTGTTTACTTGCATGAGATAGAGATCCTCACAGGGATGTCAGGTAGGCCATCAGGCTCAGAGCCAGGGAACCACGAGCTTCTGTTTAAGAGGCGTTTTCTGCAGCCTTTTTCCATGAGTTTGGATGTTGCAGCACAGGCAAATGTTTTTTTTATTATATTTAATAGTTTTGGCCAATAATTATTTAAAGAAACACGCACCAACATTGTTCTGTTGTGGTCTTTTGTACCTGTGTTCTGGATGATTATGTTCTGCTCAGTTTTGATATGTTGTGCTATTTTCGCTCTGATACAGAGAAACACAGAGAACAATCCAAGTCTCAAAAAAGCAGGTTAAGCTAGAAACGCTGTGTTTTTAAATAGAGACAGTATCTACATGAAGGTCCAAACCAAATCATCCAAATATCTATTTGAAAAAGCTGATTGCAAAAAAATAAACAATAAAAAAAAAAAAAGGTTTCATAACTGAAATGTACTTTGAAGCTTCTCTCATAAACCAAGGATGTCTTAAAAGAGTTTGAGAATTGATGTGATATATGAGGAGATATTTCAGTGTGAGCAGAAGCAACCTGTAAAAACGAGAGATAAAAGTATCCTGAACAATTCTCTTTTCTACCTGGATTGTTTTCTCTGACGCACTTGTGTTAAGTGGACCCGGTTCAAGTCTAGTTTTGTTGTTATGATGTGAAAACTGGCACAAAGAGTGATCTCCTCTGCATGTAGAGATGCAGGTCAAAAGTTTAATGAGTTGTCTAAATGCATATATCAACATTACATATTTTACTCACTTCTTTATAAAGCCTTGCTGTGCTGGGTTTATTTGACGGGAGGATGTTTTGACATCTAGACGTGACATTGGTTGATCCCTTCCACTTTGTTTATGAAGGAACTGTTGACTCCAATCTGGAGGTGTCTTTGACTGACAAGGATTTGCATCTGTATAATGGGTTCCTTCATTAACAGCAGACATATATATTCACAGAGCCGCCTGCCTCAACTGCAAACTCCCAACATTAAAAACCACACGGGAGAAAAGAAGGATTGTTCTTCCTTCTTCATGAAACTGTGGTGTTTCCTCTCTTTACATAAATGAGCACAAAAGTGATGTTCATTCTCTCTAATGTTCGGGGATCTGGACCAGTCTTTTGGGTTATGTTTATGAAGAGCAGACAAAATGAAGCTATTTAGTCTTTTATATGGATCATATTTAATCCAAGTGTGTGTCTCACTACGACAAAAACTCACTTTTGAAACTAATGCCCACTCCCCTAACAGAATCCTCAAAAGATTCAACAGCTATTATTTTTCCACTAATGTTTGAACTCCACAAAACCCAACAGTAATGGCCTGTTATAAAGGCAGCCGAATGTCACAGAGAGGAGCTGTGATTCATCTTTGCACAACGCCAGAAACGATATTTCTGCAAGGATGCAACAACGTCTGCCCATGAGGGAATTTAATGCTTCACCCTCACTAAAAATATTTCACTTATCTTTGTTTGTTTAATACTTAATTTTTGCAGATCTTTGTGTCACTTTTAAGTTTCATAACAGCTAAAGTTACAGCCTGAAAGCTGTGTCAAAACTCAGTGACGGACATTACGGTTGGTTTTAAAACAAAAATGGTGACATATGAGGACAAAATGTTCAGGAAAACAGGAGAATTAACTAAAAGTCCAACCACCATACGTTGATTGGGTGAATCCAAAATGGTGAAAACAAGGGGGGGTGTTCTGAGTCTGGCTGTTACCTGTGAAAAGGGGGTGCTCTGGAAACACCCCCATTAGCACTTGGTACGCTCTCCCTGATGAAATTAACCATAGACTGAATTAAAGCTGTACAGAAAAAAGAGGACTTGAACACAAACCAGTCTGACAGTAACTACATGTCAACATCACAACCAGGGGGGAGAAAAAGTTTATATTCTGTGTAATAAAATTCTAAAGTTTGTCCACAGCTCCATAGGGATTGCTGGAGGAGGTGGAATTTATGACCTATACTGCAGCCTGTCACCAGAGGGTGCTGTTCTTGCAATGGCTTCATGTAGCGAGGAGGCAGACGGAGTCCATTTTATATACAGTCTATGGTTAGTCCCAATTCAAAAGTCAGTTTCCTAAAAGCTTGCACAATGACTTAAAGTAGATATTAAACAGCTGGACTGACTTTTTAAATGGAAGCAAAAAGCATCAACAGCAGTGAAATCTGCAGTTTACAAATCAATGCATGGTTTTCCTTTTCTTGGCCATTCCAGGGAGGATTTGAGTTTCAAACATTTTTATTTGCAAGGCACATCAACTGTTTAAATACCTGCTGGTTGCCTGGGAACTGCTCAGAGCTGAAGACACAGTCTGGCATATAAAAAACTTGTGGAAAAGGCAAATTGTCAGAACATTTTGGTTCTGGCGGACAGATTTAGCCTCATGTTTACACATTTATGAGAACTAGTCAAGCTCATCATGGGAGTATTTTTGAACTTTTTGTTATGCTTGCTCATTATTTCTGCCCCTTTGAGAATTTAAGCAGAAAAGCATCAATGGGTGTGATATGCATGTTTGCTAAATGTGTGTCACAGCTTAAACCCACCCGTCAAGACAGATGCCAGTCCACCTAGACTCTGGATCAGAACCCGCTAATAGTGGAATTATTTGCTTTGTAGTATTTTCTTTTTTTTTCTTCTTCAAAGCAGAGTTTACAGTTTCACAAAATGTGAAATGTTATAAGATGACGTGTCAGGATTCGGTACTCTACGCGCAGAAACAAAGTGAGCTGGGCACAAAATGATTTGAAATATTCATATTCGAATCGTACCCCAGAAAATCTCTCAGAGCTTGAAGTGTCACTTCCCAGTGTTTTTCAAGACTTAATAAGTGTGTATTCATGCTACGAGTCGAACTCAAGAAAAACCGAGCGTTTGTTGACACGAGCGAAACCTCTTAAGTTTGTGACTCTGAAAGAAAGACGGAGGAGAGCAACAAGAAGAAAGACTCTGTAACTTATAATGAATCCCACTCAGGCTTTAGATGTGGCATGCAGCTGAACTGAGGTTATTTATAATGTCAGCAGTTATGTTTGCATCATTATCTACCTGAGAAAAATCTCACCAAATCTCAATTATTGAGTTTAATGAGTGAATGTAGAGGACTGGATCTGCATAATTGAGTGTTGGGGTGAATGTGAGAGATTTAAACACAATCATAACAACCAGCACTCAGTAGTCCAGACTTGTTCTGTCTAAAAAGTGTCTAAAAACTCATTTTCTGTTGTGTTATTTCTACTATATGAACCACTCGTCATCCTGTTGCTAGCATATGGGATTTGTTTGTACCACTCTTATGAGCGTCTCACAGGTGCTCTTGTTGACGACATATTTGAACATAGACTGTATAAACTATGGACAACTTGGTTCTGCCTTCCATCATTATACAAATTTGAAGCTAAATTGCTCTCAGTATTTCTATTATTTTATCCGCTTCCTGGAGCCGCCACTTGCGCAGTAGCGTTGTACGCATTCGGTGGGCGAGTCGCAGTGATGCCCTCAGCTCAAACAGCGACTCTCCCGAGTGTCAATCATAGAAAACATGAACCCTGAATAACTTTTGCAAATGCAGCTGAACAGAAAAAAGAGGACTTGAGCACAAACCAGTCTGACAGTAACTACACATCACCATCGCAACCAAGGGGGAGAAAAAATTATATTCTGTGTAATTAATTTGTAAAGTTTGTCCACAGCTCCATAGGGATTGCTGGAAGAGGTGAGATTTATGACCTTTACTGCAGCCTATCACCAGAGGGTGCTGTTTTTGCGGTGGCTTCACCCAACAAGGAGGCAGACGACGTCCATTCTAAAGACAGTCTCTGGTTTGTAATGTCTTTTCTCATTCGTCTTAAACATAAGAAATCAAAACCTGTATTTACACTGAAGAGGAACATTTGGACCGAATACTCCGACCCTTTATCAGGATCTTGTAATCTGTCAGCACCACTCAGCATTAGCACAGGCAGAAGTTTCTCGCTCTCAGGACTTTTGGGGATGAATGAACACTGTGAGAAACTTGTCAGACAGTGTGTGGATTTGTTCCCCCTTGCAGCGACTCACTTATCCAACCGTCAAACTGCCAACATCTCTAACTGTGCCCTGATATCTCTGCTAGAGATTCAGAGCTGTACAGTACCTGATCTCGTTTGAAAACTCCTTTTCACGGCGATGTCTGCTGCTCAGCTTCCAGACTACAAGCACGATGAAGACCAGCAGGATGAAGGTGAGGAGTATAGAGCCCACGACGGTGCCGACTATCACTGCCGCTCTGTTTGGGGCTATAAAATCAGTATAAAGACAGTGAATTATTCTCTCAGAGGCTCTGCGGCAGGAAAGAAGAGAGTGTGAAGAATTTAATTAGACTCCAGTGTAAAGAATCATGGCTCTCTTGACACGTAAACCTTAAAAGTTACTATCTTTTCATAACACCATCATTCAGACTGGATTGCTGATTGCCACTTTATTAATGAATTAGCTCATTAGAGTCTAAGCATTTCTTTGATAGCTTTCCCCCTCCTCGTGGCTTCTCTCCAAAAAAAATATGGCAAGCATGCATTAAACTAATAATGTGGGACATGGGTTTAGCTAACACAGTGTCAGCAGGCGAGAGTGTGTCTTTATGAGACTAACAAAAACATAGACAGACTCATTTCTCTTCCTTTTTGCCCAGATAAATACTTCTTTCAGTCAGACAAATTACGGGTGATATATAGCTGGAAATGGCGTCTGAATTGGCGTCACTTATTTCTTATGGTTGCTGGGAAAAGTCAAAATGCAACAACAGTTTACCAAACCAAAACCCTGCAGAACAAATGCAAACAGAGCTGCGACCAGGGCCGGATCTGGCCGAGACCGTTATTCCTGATGGACTTGTGCGTGTCTTTGCATGCTATTTAAGGTGGACTGATGGGTCTGTTGATGTTTGGATGTGTTCAGGCATTTCTCAATGTCTCTATAAAGCTGCAACATTTATTCTACTTTAGCTTCAACATTACCACCGTCTCTATACAATGGTACAGCTGATAATGAGCTGACTGGATGGCTGATTCTGGTAATGCCAGTCTAAAGGTTGTTACACACCGGCGAATTAGCGAAGCGACGTGCAAATGCGAAATATTCGGCTTAAACCTTTTCCTTTACACACCTGGTGCGACACGAAGAGAGAAGAAGGAGAAGCAATGGTGACTACATCCTCAAGTGGTGATGACCTGGTCATGGTTGTAAGCCTATTAAATTAAAAGAAAAAGAAGAATCAAAGTGTTTGGGTAGAGACGATCCAGGAGCTCGAATTGTATCCTGAGAAATTCCGACAAAACTTCTGAATGTCCCTCGGACAATTTCAAGAACTGCTCCATCAGCTGACTCCACGTTTGCAGAGGGAGAGGACAAATTACAGAGAGACGATTGATCCAGATCAACGGTTTGCCACATGTTTGAGCTAAGATTCATATGAGGTTATAGATTTATACAGCAGTTCACCTGCGAATGTTCACAAAAATTTGCTACGAGGCAAAAAAATTTCAGTCACTTTTTCGCTCTGCAGAAGTTCGTAGCCGGTGTGGAAGCTTGCACTGACTTTGAGGTTTAAAACAAAAAAAAGCCAATTATTCTCTTCGCAATTTCCCTTCGCTGATTCGCCGGTGTGTAACAACCTTTACCGTATAATCACAATAGTCTAACGTTCACTGAATACACTTGATGGGATACGTGTGTTACTGTGATTTTAATTTTTACAAAGTGATAAAGATATTAAATTTGTCACTAATCTCTTTTTGTCATGTCAACAAAAATAAAATGAGGTATAAGAATTTGTGTAGCAACCCTTATCACTCTGGATAATATCTTTTACATGATTTTGCAGATCCTTTGGTCGGAGCCCCTGGTCCAGGACCGCAGACTACATGAAAACGATTGATTCCCTGCCTACAGCCAAAGATCTGCACATAGGGAGTACAAGTCACAGACTCAAAAAGATGTTATATGGGGAGTCTGCACCACAGATCATGAGGCACTCTAAGACAAACTTATTTTGTGGATCCACAGAAAGAAGAGCGTCTGTTTCGGTCTTAACCTATATGATTTATTCAAAGATGTCATACTGAATCACTGACTGTACTCCATCTGGTGCACTTACAGCCCCTAGATTCATCAGCCTCCTGTGAGAGAGACAGCTCTGGTGTTTCTTTGCTTCCTGTCTGGTACGTAGGTGGTTTTAATGAGTCCACCTATACTCCGTTCCTGTCATTTTTTGTCTCATTTACTCTTTATGAAGCTAATAGGGTCTGTTGACGCGCGAGGCAGTAGTATCATTTCACCGACACTTAAAAGCGAGTTTGTGACTCAGCAGTAGAAGTCAGTGATGAAAAGCACACGGCCAAGGATGGTTTGTCTATTTTGACAGAAGTGATTTTTTTTATTCACTTTACCTCGACCTTCTCCTGACACCGTTAGACAACATAATCAGGATAACACAAAGATGTTTCTGAGCGCCACAGTTAAATAGTTTAGAGCGAAAACTGGAGCAATGGGGGGATTGTGGCACAGCTACAAAGAGAGAAGACTTAAGAGGATGAAATCTAGGTCTGTTGTGATCACATGAGTGCATCATGTGTGATGTATATATGGTGTGGAGCATTCTGTGTGGGGGTGCGTTATCCTCACGTTTGCTGGCTTTCAGGTTGATCCTGCAGTGTTCTGCTCCAACTGCATTGTTCGCCTCACAAAGGTAGATTCCTGCTAAGCTCAGAGAGTGGTTGCTGATTTTCAGTTCCCCTGTCACACTGTCTAAGAGAACACACACACACACACACACAGAACACAGGTTTACTCATGTACAATACATGTGCTGAGCACACAAGCAGCTCACAGAGGGAAACCTCGGGTGCTAAGTGTTTTCTATATGAGTAACGGAGTTAAGACATTACAACAGAGAAGGAAAACACCTGCTTTGCATGTGGAGTATTGGGGGTTTCTGGATTTTGGTTGTTCCCACTTATCTAGATACTTGCTTGTGTTACTCTAACTTTCAGATTGTGCTGGACAGCACTGTTGCTGAGAAACAGGGTGAACTGAATATGCTGTAAATGTGCAAAAAATTGCAGAATATGTTGGGGATTTACTTTATTTACAGGAGAATAATTACTGTGGAAATCAACAGAGTCAGGACAGATTGTCTCGATCCAGACCTGGCTCATTAATTTTCACCTGATGGAAGCTTCTCTCAGCTTCATCTTTATGATATCTGTTTGGAAATGCTGCTATGACAACCAGCCGCCAAAAGCAAACTGAAATACAACAGTATTCACACCCATTTATGTTGAGTTTTAACTCACTGATTTGCTGTTGATTGAGTGTTGGGTCCACAGAGTTTAACATGGATTTTTAACTTCATGTCTCAGGTTGCCGGTCAGATGACTGATAATGCCAGAGAACCAAAGGAAAGTCTCTGCATGTACAATGTGACCTTTTTATTCAAAATTAGAGTTTTCATTCAAAGTTCATATTTGAGCTGTGATGAGATGTTTGAACTTATAATCATACAGAATCCCAGCGCATCAGGCCGCTTGAAGTCGTTTGATATACGACCAGTAGAGGGCGCTCTGATTGTAACCTGGCCAATCCGTGACCTGAGTAAACTAATACCATAATGCTATTCTACAAAAATGGAGGCCATGGTCAACCAAAGAGTACAATCACCATCAGTGTGAAAGTATTTTGGTTTAGACACTGTAGATGGAAAAACTGGGCTGCATATCAACTTTGTATGACAACAAATTTTCTGGCTCGCCTGATGGCTTGTCATCCAAAACTGGAAGGTATCAGAACATGTTTGACATTTGATCCAAGTAGAAGTTTTGAAAAACTGACAGCCTGAGAGCACGCAGTGAATAATGAAAGAGAAAACTGTGTGAGCCACAGTGATGCTGTGTGCTGGCATTGTTACCTGAAGATAAACTGTTGCTTTGTGCTGTTTATGTCAGACTAACAACTTCAGGTGCAGCTGGCTGGCATCTGCTACTAAGTTGGTGTTGTGTGTTGCTTTTAACACGCCACATTAATCTGTTCGGACATATCCTGCTGTCACTGTTGCTCACAGCTGTTTGTGTTTGTATTTTTTTTTTTTTGTCCTCTCAAATTTGAGACAATTTCAGCTGCTATTGTGATTTGGATTGTGACGGTTCCTGGGTGTAAACTCTTGAAGGAAATTAGTTTTGTGCTGCGTGCAGAATTGATTGTGCCTCATGCATACAAACCTGTGACAGTACTCATGTCACTTGTTGTTGAGTCAAACTTTTAAGACTGTTACAAAAAGAAAATTGAGTTTCTCACAAATAGATTTAAATTCTATCAGAGCAGCAGTCCCCCAGCCCCCCTCCTCATGCACCTCTCCCTCTTCATCATTCTCTTTGATATGCAGTAACAGCAGGGAGTCAGCAGAGGTCACACTTACTCTGTGTGGCTGCAGCAGGGATGGGGCCTCCAATTTCTCTCCTCCACGTGTATTTTAAGGGAGTGGAGCCTTTTGCAGACTTGCAGTGCAGAGACACAGCCTCCCCAACCAGCTCCCCTCCTTCCACCCAGCATTTAGGCACAGACGGCTTGGCTGAAATCAAACAACAAATGGATAATTTCATGCTGCCATTTCCATTCTACCTCTATAAAAAACACTACAGCTTTAGGATGAAAATGGAGTGCAGGATTTTTACCCTGGCTTCAGTCAGATAGATTGATGCCATAGACACAAATCTGGCTCATTCATTGTGTTTATTTTAAAATAATGAGCTATGCACATGGACACAATTAGGATATTTAAACATCCGATTCTGTATTAATGTGTTAAAGAAGGGTATTTGTGCTGTTCAGGAAAAGATCAACGAAATGTGTCGATTTAATGGTTAGATTGGTTATGTCAAAGCTACTCTTCATTCATTCACTGGTGATGGTAGGTGACTTTATCAAACAGAGAGCAAGAGGACAAAGCCTGAGAAAAAAGGTTATACTGTCACACTAGTTAGCTCAAGTAGATCTTGAGATTGTGTCTTCATAAACATCTTTTTTTTTTTTTTTAAATTAAATCAGTGAAGGAATCTCAGGCTGCAGACTGATAGTCTTACATTTCAGTGAGAGTTTTCTCTAAGGTTGTGTAACATGCTGGAGGAGCCAGCTATTACAGGACTTTACCAAAACACATTAAAACAAAGCACACAGTCCTACCCTGTAAGCACAGTACCACCAATTCTGGTAAAGGACTAGCAAGTACATGTGAGGCTGTCAATAAAACTACTCCAACTAGACCCTCTAGGAATCTGCAGAGAAAAAAAATTGATTCTGCAGAGAACAATTCTTGATTTGTTGTTATGACTTTGATATAGTTCATAAAATTATGATCTTGGACTTTTGGGACATTACTCAGGTGTCAAAAACACTAACAGCTAACACCGCCATCTTGAATGGCGGTAATCATGGTTACAACAATAATATACGTGATTCGAGTCGCTGCGCCGTGCGTTCCGTCCGTTGTCTGTGTGCTCCTGGTAGCGTTAGCATTTAGCATCGCTGTAGCTACTTGGCTTCGCGCTGAAACGCTGCGCAGGCTTGTATCTCAGCCAATCGGTGGAGATTACCTGGATCAACCCCTCGTCTGAGAGCCTCCCATTGGCAGAATGAATCGACTACTTTCAAACTTGAATTGATTCATCCAATCGCTGTATAGATGGGCAGGTACGGACAGTGAGATTTGGGCTGTGGTTGGCCAGACTGAAATGTCTGTCAGCTTGATTGGCATTTTTGTGGTTAAATCAGAAGGAAATGTTTGTTGCGTTAGCTTGTGGGGAACTTCATGGAAAAAGACTGAAAACAAAGTTTACCGGCGAATTTCACTGCTGAAAATGACGAGAATGGATTACTTTTTTCTGTTCGTAAGGAAACTTTACCTGCTTACCGTTGTAAAACCGGAGGGGTTTATCTACATCGTAGTGAGGTAAGACTGTTCTCATGTTAAAGAGGAGGATGTTCTGATGTGTTTTGTTGTATGATAGTGGGGTGAAGTTACCTGACGGTGAAGTTACCTGAGGGCTTCTTCAGCTTCCTCTTTTCTACCGGAGTCACTCATGTACGCAGCGCGTTTAAAACGTGTTTTAAAAGTGTTTAAAATCTTTAAAAACATTAATACAGGTCAGTGAAATATGAAAACACAAAATTTTAGACATGCTCTAACCCTCCTGTAGCAAAACCAGAGAAAAGTCTGTTGTTTCATCTCGTCCTTGTGAAGTTAGAGGCTAGAGATGAGAGGGAGAGGCTCATGTCACGGTCTTACCCGCACATGTGCGGACACCGGGTCCGAGTGGTTAAAATAATTACAACACAACAGCAAACCTTTTCTCTGTCCTCAGCAGGTTTTAGTGGAGATTTTGGTTGTGATCGTTTTCTGTCGTTTTAAAATGAGGTCCTCTGGAGGTGAACTTTTTCTCTTCAAGTGAGAGCTGTCATCTGAAAACTACTACATATAAAATATCATATTCGGCACCTCGCCTTGTATTCCGCGGACTACTGTAATTTCCTCAGAGGACTTTAAAGTCACGGATTCCTGGAGGGTCTATCCAACTCCAGAAAAAGCAGGTTTGATACTTTTAACACCTGCAACCAAGACTCCTTAATTTAAGATGGTGATGAGTCCCTATGAATCAGTCAAAGGCAGAAGGTTTGTCAATACCTCACATTTATCAGCGCTACTGGAGGCTTTGCACAACTAATACATATGGTAACAACTGGTATCCAAAAAAATCACATCCCTGAACAAGATGGAAATTGAGGTTATCATGCAGTGTAACTTTTTTTCCCACTTCGACAAAGACAAAATTATGAAGTCACTCTCGAGCTTCACTAACGGTGGGTGGCCCACACATAAAATCGTGAAAGTTGCCTGTTGCAGTGTCACTTTCAACTGCTGACTGTCTCTAAGTGGCTTGTTGTTTTTCCTTCATGATGCCACTTACTGAAGTTGCAACTCTTGAGCTTGTGCTGGTTTGAGGATGTTATTTCATTTAACAGTGCAGGTGTTTTCTGAAAAAAAAAAATAAAGTAAAAAAGTAGGTCACATGCAGAAGATGCAGCACAGTGACATGAGGTCAGTGCAAACTGATTAGTTGAGATTTAACTGTATAAAATGAGGTGACATTTGAAAACGGTAAGCCATCCATCCATCATTCCGTCTACTTCTGCTTATACAGAGTCGTGTTGCAGGGAAAGCCCAAGCAAGGAGGCCCAGACTTCCTGCTCCCTTGCCACCTATTTCAGCTCTTCCTGAGGGACCTCGAGGCATTCCCAGGCCAGCTGAGACATAGTCTCTCAAGCGTGTCTTCATGTGAGGCATCCTGGTTAAATGGCCAAGCCACCTCATTTGACCTCTCTTAACGCGGAGGAGCAGCAGGTGTATTTCTGTCTCTGAGGAAGAGCCCAGGCATCTTGCAGAGTAAACTCATTTCAGCCGTTTGTACCTGAGATCTTGTTCTTTCAGTCACTACTCACAGCTCGTGACCATAGGTGAGGGAAGGGACGTAGATCCACTAATATATTGAAAGCTTTGCCTTTCAGCCATCTCCCTCTTCACCACAACAAACCTGTGCAGCGTTTGCATCACGGTTGACACCGCAATGATCTGCCTGTGGATCACCCACTCCATTCTTCCCTCACTCGTGAACAAGACCCAGAGATACTTGAGCTCCTCCACTTGGGGCAGGATCTCATCCCTGATCTAGAGACGGCACTCCATTCTTTTCTGGCTGAGAACCACAGACTCAGATTTGAAGGTGCTGATTCTCATCTCAGCTGCTTCACACTAGGTTGCAGTGGCCCAATTCTGAGACTACCAATCTGGACCCTCTCGACACACTGGCTGTGTCATAAAATTCTGTCCACGAAAGTTGTGATCAGGACCGGCATCAAAGGGCAACTCTGGTGGAGTCCAACCCTCACTGGAAACGAGTCAGACTTACTACTGACTATGCAGACCAAGCTCTGGCACCAGTCTTTCAGGGAACTAGCAGCCCTTAACAGAGTGTCCGATACCCCATACTCATGCAGCAGCCCACACAGGACTCCCCGAGACATGGGTATGATCTGGCCTATAATGGGTTTTCTTTTCGAGAACGGATATTGGTCATTTAAAATGTCTCCTTCTCAGTCTGTAACCTTTTTAGGCGAAATGCAACACAGTAGTAATAAAATCCCCTTTCCCTCAACTTGTAACTCTGATCATTGAGTTCCCTATTAAAAATGAAAGCCACTTAAAATCAAGTCATCAATCATTGTGTTAAACTACATCCTGACTTACTCATTACTCCATCAACTCAATTTGGATTCCAGGAGGCTCCCAAAAGGAAGTTATTTTTAAGCAAGGATGATTATTTTCTTAGTCATGGGATGTCACTGTAAGAAGTTTTTATTCAGTCATAAAATTAGACCAATAAATCTGCCAATGAGGCGACCTCCTCATGCACTTCAGTATGTGCTCATGCTTTTCAGATACGATGAGCTGGACAAAAATCAAGTAAATTACTTTCACCTTCTGGTAAACTTGAAGATTGACTGACAAATGGCTTAAAGTGAGGTGTCATTTCAAATTACTGGGCTCTCTCTTTAGCGTCTCATCAAACACTCAATCTGTACCAGTTTTTTCAAAGCCGTCTTCCCTTAATGTACCTTTTAATCCTAGTGGTCCAGACCAAGAGCAGAGCGGGACACCTGTCTCACTGTGCTTCATGAGCAGATAGAGCAGCCTGTTTGAACTTCTGAGTTCATCAACATACTGACAAAAGCACTGAGGCTAATAAATGGGAACAGTGGTAAACTATTGGAGTAAAAAAGCCTTTTTCCCTTTTTTTTTTTGTAATGTCAAGGGTCTCTTTTCTTTGAAGATCAGTGGGTAAAGCACTGAGTACAAAATGTGCTCTATGACTGAATGAGAGTCCTTATTGAACAATAGCTTGTCCTCCTACACAAAAATAAATAAATAAAATAAATTTAAAAAAGGTAAAAGGGCTGTATACTCTGAGAGCCACTGTCAGCTGCCACTTAGATTCTGACCTTTATGTGAATGGAGCTTGATTTTGTCAATTTCTGGTCATATTGTTAACGGCATGCAGTACTAGGAAGCTGAAGGTCCAAGACTGCAGAAGGGAAGAACTTTGTCATCAACTATGCAAAAAAAAAAAAAAAAGGCCAGAGATACAGGAAAATGATTTAAGGAAGACTGTTTTTTGATTATGCATGTCAGGAAGTAAAATACATGAAGAATCATGTCAAAAATTTGAGTTTAAAGTTAAGAACAATCAATCAATACCCTTAATTTAACCAGGTTAATAAAATAAAATAAATAAAAATAAACTAATTGAGATTTAAACCTCTTTTCTAAGAGTGACTTGATCAAGAGAGCAGCAGGGGAAAGAAACAAACAGAACGGTACAGCAAACACACCAGACACAAATAAAATACAGTCACACAACAGAAGAAACAAGCGCGTTTCCATGATTTCACAGTACAATCAAAATGAAGTGATTAGAGTCTTAATGATTAGAAAAAGTAGTAAAATAATTTATACCTCAACACCTGTCAGTGTATCTTACTGCTGCTATTTGTAATATTGTAGTTGAAGACCCACTCCTTCATAATCCCAATTTAAAGACCCCTGATAATACTTTGAGTCGTTAAAAAAAGAAAAATAATTGGAGTGGGACTTTAAACTATTAATAGTGTTTATGGCTTAAAATGTAAAGTCAGTTTATGATAAATTGGGAAGACGTAAGTCTGTTTATTGAGTAACTTCCAGCTTCATGCTGACTTCATTTAAATAAGTTTATAACTTGATGGAAGACTTTACTCTCAAAACGCACAATAAAAAATCTGTAGTTTTTCCCACTGGTTGTGGCTATAACAAAAAAAGCTTAGCGCTTAAACACTTGTGTGCATTTATTTTCTTCAATAATCTTAGAGGTTGTCACTTTTTGTTGGCCATTTTAGTTCAACATTAGTTTCCAAATAGTTAGGATGGGACACAAAGACAGAAGTCTCCTTTAAGCACAGCACCTCTGAAAATTGTCTGAGTGGGATGCATGTGAGAATCCGTTCACTCTGACTTTATGCAGACTTATTTCTGTCTGCCCTCTAGTAAAGTGTGGGCGTAAAATTGGGGTGAGCCGAAGTATGAACGCAGCAGCTAATAGTCTGGAACAAAATGATCGCAAGTGGGTGGGCGAGGTGATGATGAGGATGTTTCTCTGCCATATACTCTTTACTGCTCACTCTGGTTCACTGTACATTTGTTTACTGCTATGGGACACATTATTTCCATGTTGTACTGATATTAAATCAGAGACCAGCACCATTGCACCGGACTCCCACCAACAGGGCCACTTGAAATGCACTGATTATTTTGTGCTTTAATAGCACACACAACAATGAGAATCTTGCACCTGTGCTGCAGATGTGTGAAAGGTAAATGTACCAGGACATGGAAGTCCTAAAATGATCCAGAAAGGATCAGGACTACATGCATGAAAGAGGCTCTGGTAAACTGGCACTATTACAGATTGTTACGAATAATTTGGAGAAAACACAATAAACTCATCCACAGATTTAACTCTGTTACAAGAGGAAAACCTCAACAGCTACTCTGTTGCCTAGCAACATGGCATTTTGTTGTTAGTGTGCCCTATAGCGCAGTGAGTGCAGGCTGTTTTGATTTAATCTAGAATGTGCTTGTGGGTTACAGCCATTATGAGGATTATATTGCCTATACTACCTCTCTACAGCTTCTTTTAGCCCTGGCAGAATAACCCCACCCCCCACCTGAGTTTGTTTTTATGATACTTGCAACGACTAACCATGGCATGTATGCTCATTAGATTGTGCACATCAGTCAGTCTTTTATTGCGTTTCTGAGCAACTCTAGAAAGTACTTGGTTATGCACTGAGGCTACTCATGAATAAGACGGAGACATCTGTCTGGTTTGAACGTAGGGCTGTGGTTGAAAATTGAGAGAACCCTTCTTTAATAAGACCATTCCTATTAGCATGCATATGAAACTTTTTACGGAGTGGTATTAACCATGTGTTTGAGAACATGGTTGCACAGGTACATTTTCCAGGAATAAAACTAATAAATACACAGACAGGAATCACAGCAGTTTAGGGACGCAGTACTGGTGTTTTTTTTTTAAGAAGCTGTTTCCTATACGCTGCTATCTGTGCCATAGCAGCATAGGGGAAACAGTGGGATGCCACAAAACCAGCAAGATAAGATGGTTAAAAGATGACTCACATACAAGCAAGAGGAGATTTAATGGTTATATGAAGGGTAAAATTATTCTTTTCTAATAGCAGTGCGATGTGTGGCCTTACCCAGTACCATTAGCGACACCTTGCGTGTGTCCACTCCGGGCGACTTCCTCACTTTACACTGGTAGGTGGCGCTGTGAGCAGGTGACAGCGGAGAAATTGAGAGCGAAGCCTCACCAAATGAGGGATCATTGGCAGCAAAACCGAGTCCTTTTACAACGTCGTTGTCACCGTGGATGTATTTAGTGCCACTGGTGTAGGATATGAGCTGACAGAAAACAAACAGCAGAGAGACACCACATGTTGAAGAATTAAATCTGGAGCACTTATTAAACCTGTGCATTAAACTATTTCAACCATGTAAAAGATAACAAATAAGCACTTTGTATTTCATCCACCCTGGATCTCCTTTAATCATGTTTAAAAACTCATTCAGGGTTAAATTTACTCTTATTAGTCTCTGTGCCACTCGCAGCAAAGTACCAGTTTAAGGAGAAGAGCTCTATTAAACCTAATGTGAAGTTGTATTCCTACTAGACAGTAAAAGATGCTTGCAAAGAAGTTTTCGTTTCCTCTTTATATGGGTATAATCAAAACAGACAAGGTTATTGTGAGGTGATGTTTTCATTTAAGCTGGAAAAAGGCCTCCAGTCTCTTTGAGTACTCAATTATTATCTGGTTTAATACAAATGTTTACGTCCTTGGATGCTGTCGCGATTTTATTTTAAAATAGTGAATATTTATTTTCAAGCCTGGAAAAATAAGCTCAAATCCAGACACAGGCAAATATTTACATAACATGAATTTACATTCACTTCCTGAGTGTTACCCTGACTTCTGCTGCCTGAACCACTCAACAACAAAATCTGCTTTTCCCGACCCAGAGTCGGATTTTTCTTCGGTTTGATTATCTGTCCCCAATTAGCTGGTTAGAAGTTTATAGTGTGTCCCCAAAAGTAGGCAAAATCCGACACGCACACACACACACACACACATATACGAAGGTATCTTGGCATGAGTTTGAAGCTGTCCTATATAATCCCATTATAATACAGAAACCATCTTTATTCTCCCTCTTACCATCTGATCCTTCTGCGTCGGGTCTGGACTGACCACAGACCATTCGATATCAAGTTCTCCAGTGTCAGAAGCGCTCAGTGTGTACCTGCAGCCTAAAGTCACACTCTCTCCCTCGGCTTTCTGAATGGTCTGTGGGCCGGTTGATGTCACCTGCATCCCGTGTGCAGTCTTCAATTCTAAAGAAAGTCAAACATGTCCTGAATTTAATTACAGACACACATTAGCTGCTTCCTAATCTCCAGTCGTAAGCTTCGAGGATAAATATAATTCATTCAGAGAAGGCTTTCTGTCACCAAGCTGTAATTGACTCACATTTTAATAGATACATTAAATATCGATTCAGCTTTTCTCCTCTCAAAAGAAGCGCCTGCGTGAAATTAACAACATCATATTTGCGGTCTAACGATACACAGGAATTCAAAGGCGTTTCATTATTTCTCTCGATCTTATTTAAGACTGTTTTCATTTGGTGGTTAGCTCAGAAAAAAGTACTCTCAGAGTGAGATCCTTCTTTCCATGAATAAAAATACCAGAATTACAGGCTTCAGTATCTTGCTGTTACCAACAAAACTGATTTTTTTTCTTCCTTTTTCTAAAAGGTAACAAGCACAGAGACGAAGAAAACTTAGATTAGAGCGGAAACATGACTCAGAGGAATCACAGTCAGGATGACGGTGTTCAGCCAGAGATGACAGAGTTAAATTTAGAGTTCGGGGCCCCTGCAGCAAACTACTCTGCTTCAAATACTGTTCCTGTGATGAGTTTTACGTGGTTAGTGATGACTGTGGTAGCAACAGTCAGGAGCAATGGTAACTAAACCCTCTGAGGGCCCCTTTTTATGCAGGCAACCTGAAATAATCCATTTCCTCATCTGGCAACGAAGAAGAGGCAATTCCTGGTGTTGAAAATGAAGCCACTTATGTGGCGGTTTCTTGAGCGTCCACTTCCAACTGTTTCCAGAAGCTAAGTAAGCCTCATCGACCCACATACTCCAGGCACTGTTAAGGACTTTTCATGTGGTTCTGAATTAGGTGACCCCCCTCCTTGGATTAAATTGGCAGAATTTCCTGTAATGACGACTACATTTCGCATGAGCATAAGCACGGCTATCCACTGGTATTTGGCTTTTTGCCAGTGTGTTTTTTTATTGCGTCTGTTATCGTCATTTGTTTTGGTAGCACTAAAGCTACCTTAACTTTTTTTTCTCTCTCGCTTTGATAAAAAAAGTGTTAACCTCAGAGGTGCTGGTGTTCACAGAGACGGCTGAAACAGTCAACATAAGCATGCTGGACCGGTCAGTATCAGTAATGTGTAATCAGCCTGTGATGTGGAATCGCTGTAGGGGAATACTGCAGGCATGCATATAGAGCATCCTCTTGAGTCAGTTGGAAACAGTTCTTGTACTGTATACTGAGTGACTTATTAAAAACTATTGAGTGTGACATACACAACCCACACAGCAGTACAGTAATAAAGTACAATGAGGTTTCTTCACTTAACCCTGTCAGTACCAAGCAGACCCAAACAGACTGGGAGGCTGCCATCTCGGTGAATTCGCAATAAAAGACAGTTTCCAAGCACAAGTATGTACAGTAAGTGTTTCCCAAAACTTGTTTTCCCAATCCACATTATTATCAGAAAAAATTATACTGCATCTAACTTGCAGCCAGCTGAGAGGAACGACAAAGACAAAGAGTGTGTGGTCTTCTTTGTCTTCAAAATGTTTTACTTGCAAGGAGTCAGCGGCTTACAACAAAGGCAGCTTCCTCTGACTAAGGAATTCAGATTTGTACACATCCTTTATGCAGTCAGGAAACAGAAACCTCCGCCTGCTAAAATATCATCTCACAAGTGGCATGACATTACAACGGTATTCAAATAGGGTACAGGTTGCAGCTGTGGTCTGTACTGGGAAGACAAAGACAGCTCAGTTCATCATCAGGTTCCTGCTTATCAGTTCAATGTCACACTGTTGGGAAAACAACCTGTGAGTGAAATGATAGCGTTCATCTAGTTGAGTGGCTTCAGTGGAAAAGTATCAACGCTAAGGCCATACTTCTCCTTTCCCATGCTCATCAAAAAGAAACAGATATGACTCTGAAAGCATAGTTTTCCGTAAAAGAGGATTAACATACGTATATGATGATAAAATACACGTGATAGCATACACATACAATTTGTCTTTCAGTTATGATGACGTGGCTTTAAAACTTGTGGCTGCAAATGAATGGACAGGGCTTCAGACTAATGCTGACACCAGGATTTGGTGCATAATTAAGGGCATTACTGTATCAACTGGGATGTCACTTTTTTGTGTTGGAGGCCAAACACATACCACAAGTTCCATCTCTTTGCCTGTGTCAAGGCTGACAGAAAGCTTGTATCATCACCAATAGGTGAGGGTGAAAACCTTGAGATTGCATCCATGTTTTATATTGTCTTTGACAATGGTAAACCAGTTAGAAAAGCTCCTTTTAATCGCCTTATTGTCAGCCAACAACTTGCAAGGTTGTTCCAACTCTGCTATTGTGAGCCCTCCACCATTTTATTAGAAAAGGTGGCCTTGTTTCGAGCCTACTCACACACTCACAAAGCCTGTAATAAAATGTCTTTCATTCAGATCATCTCTTGTGAATGTTTGCTTGTGATGCTTTGTGTTGACCTGAAAATATTAGGTGCTTATTCAAGGGTTTGTATACAATTATATTTCCGTCCCTGAGAAAAACTGTAAACTAGTTTTATAAATATTTAATACAAATGTTTTTTTTTTTTAAGAGTGTGGCGGTGATGATGGTGGTGTGTGCTTGGTCCTTGCTTTAATAGATTTGAATGCTGCCTTTGATACTGTCGACCATAGAGTTATGATTGAAAGGCTGCACAACTCAGTTGGTCTATCAAGCAAAGCTCTGAAATAGTTTTATTAATTGGATATAAAAGTTTTTTGTTTTTTTTTGAAAAATAAAAATGTACCTCTTTACTCTGGACTAAGCTGTGGAGTCCCACAGGGTTTGATTTAAGGACCAGTTCTATTTTCATTACCGTTTGGCAAAATTATAGCCTCACATTTAAAAGCAGATCAACAAAACCATCCATCCTGTTATTATCACCTCTGAAATATTGCCAGAATAAGATCTGCACTGACTTTTAATGACACACAAACCATTATGTCTCTTCAATACTGAACTTCTTTCTTTTAAAGCTCTTCATGGTCTGGGCCCTGAAATCTGAGCTGTTATTCCCATCCCATCCCATGCAGAGCCGGATATTCTCAGGTAGGAACCTCCTTGTTTTTCCCACCTCAACATTAAAATAAAAGCTGACTCGCTACCTCAGCGTCTTCTTTTAAATCCAATCAAAAAATACACCTTGATTGTCAAGCCGTCTCCTGAACTGTGTTTTATCCATAATCCTCTGTCTATGTGATCTATGTGATTGTTTTTCCATTGATTAAAGTTTTTAGTATTACATCCATTTTTTCTTCTTTTATTCTTCGATCTAGTCTGTCAAACTTGTTGCTCCTGCTGGCTGTATTATTTTATTTTCAATCTTATTTTTTATCTCTTTAGTGTAATAAACATTATTGTTGTTGTTGTTGTTGTTGTTATTACTACATACAATTCATTCAGTTTATCTGATTCAGTTGAATGTTACTTTCTTGCTACCCTCATCTTCCTCTTTTAAAAAAAAACAACTTTTTGCTCCAAATATTACTAAAGTGAAGTTGTAGTCAGAAAAAAAAAGGTTATTGCTATTGGTTGACCATGTGCTTCAAGCCTCTGGGCAGCACTGCATTAAAAACAGACATGTGGTATAAATCTCAGCATGTGCTCAAAATCACTTCCAGAAATCAGAGTCTGTTTCCACAGTTTGTTGCTGCTTCTACAGACGCAGGTTAAAAACTCGACCATGCAAAGAGGGAACAAAATTAAACATGGTCCAGACTTTTCTTGGCCCAAGCTGATTTAAGATGGGCTGAAAAAAGTTGGAAAAATTAACTGTGGCCTAGCAAATCAAAATCTTATTCTCTTGTCAGGAACCACAGGTGCTTTTTTTCTCTGTCTTAAAGAGAAGAGGGACTCCTCAGCTCATCTGTGCACAGTTAAATCCCCAGCATGTCTAATTTTATGGGGATGCATAACTGCCCACAGCATGAGTAGCCTTCAGGGAAGGCAATATATACAGGTTAGGGACACATTTCCCAGGAGTCACAGTGGCATGGCTCTATAGAAGGAGAGTCCGGGTGGGTTCATATGCCCCTGTTGTACTGGCGTCAAAATCAAAATGTAGGACTACAATGATTTCACAAACCATCACAGCTTCTCTGGAGCTTAGGTTGTAAAATGTGGTACAATTCATAGAAAGTAATTACTACAGTACGGTAAAATAGAATTTGCTCTACATGTAAAATAAAATGAAGGTAGTATTTATTCCTAAGATGCTTCATTGTAGATCTGTGAAACTGCTTTTTATAAATATAATGAATGTAAGATCTGCAGCTAAGTCTACATGCAGATCCACCCTTAGAACAAGAAGAGAAGAAAAACATATGAGCTCCAATCATAAACATTGGAGGGTTAGTTGTCGGCATGATCTCTTACTCTGATTGGACAGCCGGTAAGCTCCATGGTAACACATGGGGAAGCTAACTCCTCTGAGGCCTCGAGCTCAGCAGAGTTCAACAGAGCAGAGACATGAAGGTCTCAAGAAACACTTACTTTACAAAGACGACTGGTTTAATTCTCACAGTAGTTTTAAAAAACTGTAAGTCCCTGGGTGTCTGTATGAGGTCAGATTGTCTGCATTCGAGTGCAAGTGTTTCTTTACCTGTGCTTAAGAGACTCGCTGTACAGAACAAGTAAACAGACAACCAGTGCAGACAGCTGAGGAAGGACACCATCTTCACAGAGCTGCGTCTCTCTTTGGACATCATGGTCCTATAAAGATAGAGAAAGGAGTGGGCGTATGAAATAAGCTTTATAACTAGTAAGAGCTGAAAACACGTACCCAAACATTTAAATGGAAAATAAATAAGACAAGTTTGTATCCGTGTTACCTGAATGCATCCAGACATCCGAGGATCTAACAGGACTGTGATGCCTGCTGCTTTTGCTGAGCAGGGAGCTCCTCCTTCACCCCTCCTCATTACCATGAAGCTCTCTCCCCAGGTGCCTGCTCCACCTGTTTTACCTGTTTACCAGGGGGTTGCCTTGGTGTTGCAGTTCGGCAGTTAACACAGCCTAATTTTACCAAATATTTATGTCGACCACGTCTACTCCAGTTTAAGAAAAACAAATTGATGTTTACATGATTTTAGTAAAATTAGACTCCACCACTGGGAACTGAAGAAATCGGAGGCGGAGCAGGTGTGTAAGAAAAGAGGCTGGATCTCTTATAAACCCGTGAAGCTGGGTTACCATGTAATTAGAGGGAGTTTCTGATTTTTAAGGGGGTGGTGAAACTTAAGATGTTAATGTGATTGTACCTGTTCTAAGAGCAAACATCTGGAGTTTTGCTTTAGTTTCAGTATTTACTTTCATGTTTGTGAAATAACTTTATTTGGATTTAAACTATTCTAAAAAAGGAGAGCTTAAAACGGAGAAGCTGCTCAGGAACGCACAAGGAAACACGCTGCCATCAAACAGTCTTGATTGTTGATTTACACAATACAGCTCAGTTAATGTAAGCCTCTTGTTTGTCCGGTATTCTCAGTTTTAAATGCAGGAAAAGGTGAGCGTACGGGGTTTCAAGTGACAGGGAACAAATAGTCCAGCTGAGAGCATGGTCTCTGTTTAAGAAAAGTTCATCTACAGGTCGTATCTATCAGGAAAAAAGAGCTCTTATGAATTAGAAATGTTCCAGTGTCCTTCGATGGACACATAAAGAATGCAAATAAAGGATGAAAACCTTCTGCTTGTGAATTTTCATGTGCTGCCAGCCTATTTGCTCTGGCTGGCTTTGGGCGATGTATTTTGAAAAACATTTTTTATTTATAGCCACCAGCTGTTTCAGTAGAGAGCCAGGGATGAGACAAGATCCAACTGAAATACATGCAAAGCTCCTCTCTGACCCCGAAAACCCACTGGCTTCATATTTGAGTGACTCAGTGGGTACCTGGATTTGAGGCGATTTTATGATGGTGTCAAATTTGCCTAAAGAAACACGCTAGCTTGAAGCCATTAAACTTACACTCCTCCTAACTTTACTTAAGAACTACAGAAAAAAGTTTGTCTTCCCTCTTCTTCTGCATATGCTGTGACTGACCCAGAACAGCAGCTAGTCTGCTATTTTAGTTGTCGACTGGTGCATAAACACGGTGAATCATTTAGTTTCAGAGCCTGCTCGTCCTCTCGGGAAACACAAGACCAAAAAGTAAACACAATCTCAGGTGAATGAAGATGGAGGAGAACCTGTATTCATCAGGTGGGCTCAAACAAAACTTTACAAGAATGTTAATGTTGCTCTTTGTCAGCTGGGTGCGTAAATAAGCAGTTGTTTGCTTTCGGTATTTTACAATTTGAAATTAAATGCAAAACAGGACGGGCCGTTGGACCACATCCCTTCTCCAGCTTAGTAGAAACTGTTGAACTCAAGTCAAGATTCAGGTGCTTATCACTCAGCACAGAGCTGGCACTAAGTAGTTTAAAACCTGAAACACCACCATGCAGAGTGTGGCATCTGTGGGGTTGATAATAGAAAAATGAAGACAAATAAACAAAACCGAGCAAAGAAAGCAGTAAATTTCTCTGCTTGAGTTAATAAACAGACTGATGAATATTAAACACTAAGTAACTGAAGGGACAAAAGGCAGAAAGTAGTGGATAGGGAAGTAGGTAGGAAAGTGTGTAGGAGGGTGTGCAAGGAGTCTCAACAGAGTGAGCAGGACACTGAAGCAAAGAGGAGAGTTTTTGTCTTCTAGATCCTCTAATTCTCACAACCACCCACTCACTATATGATATCATGCTGAGAACCTGGTCACCAACAAGAGATACAAGCTGACACAAAATGATATGAACAAGGTTAAAGTCGCAGCATCTTACACTGTTTCTATCATTCACCAGTTATGCTTTGAGTTACAGAATGTTTTTGTGTCAGAGAAAATAACCAGAGTGAATGTGCTGAATTTTGAGTTAATTTGATTTGACCTCTGTGGTCAGGCATTGCCTTTGTTATCGAGTTTTTACCAATCAGAACCAAGGTTCAAGGTTCAAGGGTTCAGAGGGTATCTTTATTATCCCAGAGGGGCGATTGCTTCACGGCCAGCAGTCAACACACAGTTCACACAACAATTTAGACACATGAAAAAAACACAATTGGGTGACCAGCAATAAAGGTTGTAGATCTTTTTTTTCAGCTTCATTCAGTTATTGAGCTGCTTCTGGTCAAAGGTTCATCCTTGCAGAGTCAGTGTCATCTTACTTGATTCTCTGTTTTGAATCAAAGTATGTAATATTTTCAGGGATTGTTCCTTTTGACAGGAATATCTCTAGCTTGAGCATCTATCATGAGAGCGAGTATTTCAGTCCATAGGTAAGTCCATGCACCAAAACACATGCAGGTGGTTGTAGATTATCCTCCACACTTCCTCCAGTTCTGTTTATCTGTTGAATGTCACATTTCATGTTGCACTTTCATTCAATTCTCCAGCCTCCTAATTTTTATTCTGTCATCTGCATTGCAGTGACTTTTTTCCACAGTGGGTGCTTGATTTAATTCTGTTACTGATTTGCTATTAATTACTGTTTTCTGTATGTCTATTACAGGAATTTCAATGGATGATGGAGCGTCTCAAAGCATGTCCCAGTTTGAGGTTTTCAATTAAAAAATCGTTTTATTCAAAACCGAAAATTAAAGCTGATTAATTGGCTTTTTTAGGGTCAGCTTTGAGCTAGAATTTCAAAAGGCAGTATAATCCAGTCCTGCCTTTTGTTCTGTATGAGTTGGAGCTGCATAAAGGTAACATTGAGAGTCATTCTTACCTTTGACATCATTGATATTTTTGTTATCAATGCACTTTGACAGAGTAACCTCCAGTACTGGTGTTATGAATCAGACAAACTCATTAACTTTGTTAATTATACAACCATTTCATTCCTTTTTTTTGTAAACAGAGTGTTGAAAATACTTTAAAGAGTCTGAGCGTCTAAAAATGTCTCCACTGTTAAGAAATCAAAAGCCTTCTGCTGGCTTGTATTGCTGGAATTTGCACAGCTGATTATCTGCCAAGTAGGTCACAGCTCAGTTGTTCACAGTTCCAAAGTGCACAGTTATGAAAGCTGCCCCGGCGTTGGAAGATGACCTAATTGATAGAGAAGAAAAAGGGAACGCAAGTTGGATTTCTTGCTCCACAGTTTTCCAGAGCAGGCGCAAAAAAGAACAAGACACTCGAGCTTAACCATGACTGCAGAAATCTGGGATGTCATTGTTGTTGGTGCCGGACTCTCTGGGTTGAGTGCAGCTCACTTGCTTCAAAAAAAGAGAGCAGGGATGAGGATACTTGTATTGGAAGGAAAAGGTCTGTAAAACTGTGTCACCGGGGAGTCATATTGTCGTCTAGTCTTTCAGTTGTGCAAAAGTTAAAGATCTTCTACTTAAACATGTCTGTTGTGCTGTGCAGATCGGGTGGGAGGTCGCACACTGTCCATTGATTTACCAGCAGCCAATGGTGTTGATCGCTGGGACTTAGGAGGACAGTGGGTAGGAAGGTAATGTCAAAATACACTGAAAGTGTTTTTGGAAGGCAGGTTAACAACGATTGTAATTACTCCATCGCATGATTACGTGTTAAACTGATTTTCCAGCTGACAAGACCAGAAACAGGAGATCATCATTTTTAAAGATGGCTGTTTCATTTTATGAATGAAATACCATGCTGTAGTTATTACAACGCTGTGAGATAAGATAGATCAATGGCTATAGGGTGAGCTGCTACTACACAACAACAGGGGTGTGTCCAGACAAACCTATACAGTCGCTGTTTTGTGTTTATATTTGGTACATTTGAAAGGCACGTGCAAACTGGCACAGCATTACGCAAGGTCATTATTGGGAGAAGGAGGCAAAAGTGCAATGATAGACGACAGAGAGAGAGAGAGAGAGAGAGTCTTCCATGTGCGTGTGTCAACATATTTGGACTGTCTCAAATTAAAAAAAGAATAGTAATAATAGTAATCCACTCATCGCATGTGCAGTCCTTTAGTTTGCACATGCAATTTTGTGTTCGCTATTTGGGATCTTAGTAGATCAGGTCCTATACATGGTAAAATAAAAAAAAAATGATCAGAGTGGGACTTCAATAAGTTTTTCATGATTGATATAGGAGCTGTAACTCAACAGGTTCTTTCAGAGGCAAAGTGCATTGTTGTCAAAATTAGAATAATCTAGAAAGTAAAAGGTTAAAGGTGATCTCATGTTGAATAGCTATCATGGAAACAAACGTGTTGAATGGATGCCACTGCAGTAAGGATGGTTCGTTCACTTCGAGTAGTTCTTGCTGGTCTATAGTTCAGGATTTTTTAAGGTGGTCCTTTAGACATCAAGTGGGACAGCACCACTCCTGGCCATCAGTCTGGATGTGCCCCTTCACAATAAAAGTCCTTCAGATATTATACGGTTGCTAATTACAAAAAAAACAAACAAAAACAAAAAAAAGAATGGTGAAGCAATGTAATTCTCATGATCTGACATGGTCCCTGACTTCATGGCATGAATCAGACGTGCACAACTTCATTAGTTTCATTTGATAACAGCATATGACGCATACATGTTATAACAGGAACTGTTAATCATGAGACCAGAACTTCAGATCGCTGTGGTCACAGGGCTTTAAATGGCAAATGTTAGTCATGCTATAATTGGGACATGTGTTCTTTCTCTGAAGTTCAAGAGTATTTATTATGAAGGAACTATGGTCAGTTTGAACCAGAAAGTTGATCAGAAATGTCATCCTGCTCTGTTGGAATAAAAGACTGTCGTGTCTCTGTATGTGTGAGCTTTTTGTCCAGATAGGCTACAGGCTGAATTCAGCTGTTGGACTGCTTAGATGGAGGCGATATTGTTATTGTTGTTCAAGAGCATTTTAATGACGAATTATTCTGAGCAGGAGAGTGCAGCTCTGAGGTCCTTTATGTCAACATTTGTACAGTTTTTAAAGGGTTCTGGTTATTCAAGGACTCACTGAAGTAGTGTTATAATCTGAAGCACACTTAAAACTCAAGCTGAATACATCTGTAATTATGCATTAGCTGGAAGTGTGCTCATGTTTAATAAAACCATTTAACACATAGAGAGCCATAGAATTTGTGTCCTTTACCTTATAGCACCCAAACACACGTCTTGGAGCTCATTGAAGAGCTCGGCTTGGAAACCTACCCACAGTACAATACTGGCAAGAAGGTGCACCACATGGGCGGACCAAGTGCCAGAGTTCGGACCTACAGCACTAGTATCCCCTATCTTTCTCCTTTGGTGATGGTGGACTTCATCCAGTTTTTGTGGAAGGTAAGGCAAGTAACTGACACACCATTGTTCTGATTAAAGACTGTTTTCATTCAGAGATGTCCTCGAAATCCTCAATGATCAAAAAAAATAATTTTTACAGCTCTAAGTTTATGTAACTGTTCCAAGCTGACAACGATGAACCAACCCTCACTTAATTTTGACTTGTGAAAAACATAATGAGCACATGAAGTGGTCTGAAAGGCTCGGTGTCTCATGTAAAGTCTAAACTTAAGGGATCTAAAGTTGTAGTGTTTTGAGAGAGGCAGATTTACATGAATTGTATGAAACCAATTTATTACAGGTACAGTTATCTAAATATACATTATGTTAGTAATTTTTTAAGTGGGGTTGAATGAGGTACTTCTCAGTAACCATGGTCACCTTGGCCCCTTTGTTGAGAAACCAGAAGGGAAGCTTGACTATCGACTGCTGCTGGTGGGATCAAGCCATCAATGGCTTTAGTCCAAACACTAATGTTGGTGTTACTGGATCCACCACCTTTGGGGATACTCTATTCTCTGATACCTGAGTCTTAAGACTCAGTCTCTAATTTTGGGACAGGCTTTCTCCTGGCATTAAACCGACAAACAGAAGATTTCAGATGGGTCTGAGTTTCATTGATAGCAGAACTTCCTAGTAGAGCTGAGTCCAGCTTTGGTTCCAAGTCTTTGGTTGGATTTTCCCTCTTAGTTTATCTCCCAACCAGTAACCACTCTCCAGCTTAGTGTGGGGTTTATTCAGTCAGTTATGGTCCCATTAAGAGTAAAACTGACCAACAAGGATTGGTTGATGGACTGGTGACATTAAAGTAGCTTCCAATGAAGTATTTGAACAGGGATGGACTCTGAATGATTCATGTCAATCCTATAGTCCATGAATGATGATTTCTGGGATACAATCATCCAAAATAAGTCAGAAATAGTGTTTACAAACAAGTAGCATCATTGATTATTAGTGTTTCTCTTCAATATTGAATAAGATAAATAAGAGCAGATATGTGCTGTGTGTTCTTGATTTCTTCTGAAACTTTAAAATCATCCCTCCTGTACAACGTCCCTGCCATGCTTGATGGTATTTTCTGTTTTTACACATAAATACATTTGAGCAGAGTTGAATTGAATGTGTAATGCAGTCTGTGGTGGGATTGATGGGCCAGGAATACATTTATCTGAAAATGAACACAATTTCGTGCCCAGGGTAAACTGTTAGAGTAGCAGTGGGAAGTCAAAAATGAGGGAAAATTGCCCTGGCAGAATCAAATTTGGCAGCCTCCAACTATTGCTTTGTTTCTATTTGTATCAATGGGATGTTTGTGGTTAATGGTGGTAAATCGTGTGTGGGTGTTTTACTGTGATTGTATTCTGCACTCAGATCGACAGATTGTGTGCCACAGTATGTGTCGAGGATCCTTCGGGGACACCCAAAGCTGCTGAACTGGACAGTATGACGCTGCACTCCTACATTGAACAACATGTTTGGACTGCAGGTCAGGATTCAATGCAGATCAAAACTGAGTAACAGTGTTTGATTGTAAGGGATCATGGAGGATTGATAGGTGATTTTATTGATTGATCAATGATTTTCTTGGGGGAACCGTGGTTGTCATATTTTAATGCCTACAGTCACTGACTGTGCTGCCTGCTGGATACACTGAGTTTGACCAAATGACAGCACTAGATAAAGCAGCTCAGGTAAGACACTGCCATATTTGCTCCAGGCAGTACAATAAAATTGCTGCACTTTAAAGAACCTAATGTGTATGCTATTATTTATATATGCCAAATCAAGCAAGGTACTTCTATGGGATTCATAAGGGCTGACCATAACAGACCAGACTGTTTGCCATTCAGACTGCAGAGCCAATAATCATCCTCTTTGGTGTCATTGTTAACTTCAGTATTATGTGGTTTGTTGAACAAGTGCTGTTCCAACTGTTGACCTTCATCCTGCAGAATAAATTACAGCTTAGCAGACGACTGTCACTGCAGGGGAATGCATATTATTAAAGCCATAGCATGTTTTCTCATCCCTCTGTGGCAGAACTGAAAGAGGAGCTGGGGATGGGCTGCAGGTCCGTCTTTGGCATTGAGCCAGCCCAGATGTCCTTTCTATTCTTTCTCATGTATGCTGCAGCAGCAGGAGGGCTACTGCCGCTGCTTGAGAGCACTCCAGGTTCTGCGCAGGAGCTCAAGATAAAGGTACATGGCTTATATACTTCCCCCGGACAGAACTGATAAGAAATTGATTGCAGTCTTTCCAAAATAGAGAGCATTATGGATTTATTCTTTCCTCTTACAGAACAAAGCAACTATCAACCTATACAATACTTTAAAAACAGGACATGGCCTCTTTTTCTCTCTTTCCCATTATTAATTGAGAACATAGTTGTGCTTCATGTTGTTTTCCTGTGTTGAATCTTCCCGTTTCCTGTCTTTCAGCATAAGAGTTCTTGCTCTATGCAGTTTCGGTCTTTACCTTCTTCTCTAATCAATTGCATTAAAAAAAATTATAAATATGATAGATAGATAGATAGATAGATAGATAGATAGATAGATAGATAGATAGATAGATATTTTCCTTTATTATATTGTGCTGTTACTTGCTGCCTTACCAGTGGATACATCACAACCTCAGCAAACACTATTTGATCATCTGCATTATTTGTCTGACCCCACCAGAGTTTTGTTGTTGTTGCTATTGTTTGAGCAAAGTAATCCTTCACTTTCATACACCGGAGAGAACCAAAGGAAGGAGGCATCTACGGGTTTCAAACCCTTTTTAAAATGTGATATTTGTCCCTCCACAGGGAGGTACCCAACAGCTTTCCGAGCGTCTGGCAGAACGTCTTGGGTGGAAGAACGTCCAGCTGGGTTCTGCCGTGAAGGCCATATGGCAGGTAGAGTACAGTAACGGCTCACTCAGGAATTGATGAGGCGCGACACAGAGATAACAGCTTCCTCCATGGGAAAACAGGCCTTCTCCTGTGAAGGCACTGTCTGTTCTGCCTGACTGCAATTCTAATCCACAGCTCAGAGAGCAGGAAGCCTCAGTAGACATGGAGGTGTCGAGCCTTTACTCAATATATTCATTGTTTGGACAGTTTCTGCATTTATATATAAAAATGTGTTTTTAGCCTTAAAATATTTAGTTTTTATTACAAAATGATGAAATGTTCAAATAAGGCTCTTGACTCTAGGATGTCAAACAAAATACAAGATCTAATTAAATTGGATGAGAGTCATTTTCTGCCTATGATTAGACTCAGATAAAGAGCTAAAACTGGATTTTAATCAAATAAAAGGACTGAAAATGAAAGACTAACAAGTTTATGATTTCTCATGTTTGCCTTTTACTCAGCAATCGTCCAAAGACCAAAGTTAGCACAGTCCCTGAAATGAGATTACTTGTGGAATATTATCATAGACAGAGCACATTTGGGTTTTGGTCATTCAGTGGAACAACAGCGAAAAGCTGGACACATCAGCCTGGTCGGGAAATATTCATGTGGGGTTTCTGAATCTATCAACAAAAAAGTCCAGTGGCAGATTTAATCCAGATATTCTCCAAGTTTCACAGGTAACTTATTGGTAATTATGTTTTCTGCAACCCTTTTACCCTGGAAGAGCAGGATTTGCAGCAAGGCTCAGGCAAACATACTGACTGTGGGTCAAACCAGAATGTTTTCATTTTAATGCAAATTTGAAGACTCTACAGGAAAATTTTAAAGCAGTCAAAGATTACTAGAAAAGGTTAAATAATGAGTGGTCATCTCACAAACATTTTTTAAAATTACTCCAATAGTAAACCTGTTAACAGACATGTGCTTGGCTTTGTTTGTTGGTCAACAGGAAATTCAGTCTTATGTAGGCTTGGTCTTTTTGAAAGTCTCTATATTATATTATCCCTCTGATAGCGCTGTACTGTTATGAGCTCAGATGTAATGTTTAATAGTATGACTTTGGTCTGAGAGCTCCCTGCCCATCCATGTGCGTATGTGGAAGAGCCATAGACTGTATAAACTATGGACAACTTGGTTCTGCCTCCAGTCATTTTATGAATTTGAAGCTGAATCGCTCTTGGTATTTCAGGGATTTTCTCCCCTTCCTGGATTCACCACTTGCGCAGTAACATTATACGCATTCATAGGAAGAGTCGCCAACAGTCGCTGTGATGATGCTCGGCTCAAACTTCGGGCCCCTGGGTGATCTTCGTACACCCATAGGCTGTATCAAGTGTCAATAATAGAAAACATGAACCCCCTAATAACTTTAAAAAATGGAGCTGCACAGAAAAAAGAGGACTTAATCACTTAATCACACTTGGGACAAAACAAAGGCGTCAACGACAGAACATCTGTCAATGGTACATGTAGATGAAGCGTAAAAAGAAGGAGCTGAGGTACAGGTGTGTTTCTTCAGCATGAACACTGGCAGACTTAAATGTTTAAAAAGAATACAGGCCTATTGTGATATGTGTTGATAAGATGTGTTTGAGATAATTGGCTGAGATTTCAGCTGATTTTTAGTTTGGTGAGCCTTAGCTAATGCTACTCTTAATTCCAGTTACTATCATTTTACGGCACTCCAGAACCCCCCTCCATTGTTGGCATGTTGCAACGTTGCTATCATCGAGTAAATCTGTGTTTCTCTGTTTAAAATTGTATACTTTTATCGAAGTGAACAGGTCTTTGCATTCCTTCTTTCAAGTAAACAGAAAAAAATCAAGAAGACATTCTTTATTCACAAAGGGAGCAGTATCTTTTCCTGGTATGTGTTTGCTCGGAGACAGGGCTCAACCTTGACATTTCTTCGAGTCTTTCACAGTGCAAACACATATTGACAGACGAAGATATTCACACTCACACTCACAGTTATGAGCAACTAACACTTTCCAGATCACCTAAGCTGACCAGAGCACCCAAGGGAAACTCACTCAGTCACTGTAGTCGGCCTCAAATCCTGAACCTTCATGCAAAGAGGCAACGTTGCCATGCACATACAAAAAAAAGCAAAAAAAGTATAGAAAAGAAAGTGAAAGTAATTTAATTGCTTCCTTGAGGCTTCAAGTGTCAGTCGTTCAAACTGGAGAGCCAGGCTGCTTTTAAATGCAGCTCAAGTCTCCTCTATAACGAGTTAAGACTTGATACAATGGTGCAGCGAGATGTGAACTAGTTCTCTGATAAGACCAAAAAAGAATCCTGAAGTTTCTAAAAAGCTGGTCTAGCAAGGTAAAAATATACCAAATTAAAATCCCAATTTTTAGAATCCAGAAATATCTGGTAGTTCGACAGTCCATGAAGATAAGACCTTTCAGTGTTTCACAGTGACGCTCTGTTGTGGCTGAGTTTATAATTATCACCAGAGGCTCCTGTTCAGTGAATATGTATGTGAAAGCAAAAGAGCCAGTATGTGAGAAATCTGCAGCTGTGGGGAAAGTCTGTCTGCACTGATTCAAAAAATTAGTGGTGTCCTCTAAAACATGTTGCTTTGAGTCACTGCAACGTCTCCCTCACATCATAGGGTTGCCAGTATATTCAAAATCCCCATGCGAGCAATCAACTCAATTTTAGTGCTGAATTATAAAGCCATGCACGTTGTTTGCATATCTGTAAGCACTGTTTCACGCAGGCCTAATGAACCCTTAACACGTGTGAAAATGTATGACCTTTAATGAAGCTTGTTCCTAACTGATGCATAAGAGAGAGAGGGGGGTGAATAACGGGATGGTTTAAACCGCTCAAAAACACAGAATTATGCAGAAACAGATGCACGGACAGTTTCACATGTTGGTTCAGCTACTGGAGAAACTGGTTGTGCATGTCAGGGTTACAAACTGAAATCCCTATATGTTTTTTTTTTGTCAATATGAAACACAAAAAGCTGATTTATACTCATTTCATGTGTTTTTATTTAGCGAATGCATACTGACAATATTTTCACTATTTGTGACTTTAACCCCCCACCTACAGCCATGCGCCGGCACTATGTTTTGTATGCCCGGAGTTTAATCACCGTAACTCCACCAAAGTTTGTCTGATCTGAAAAATGTCAATGGTGTTGGAAAGCTGAGAGTTCTCTGCATGCGCCTATATAGGATTTACTACGGTAGTCATAACCATATGAGGTAGGCAGTCATTGCAAAACACAGGAAGAATCAGCAGAGCACTGCACGGCTTCTCAATTCAGTGACTCCTTGAAAATTTGCTCAATCTGAAAAATTCCAACGCTGACAGAAAGCTGAGAATCTGTGCTTCCTGTCAATATATGAAGTATGGTATATATCATGGTAATCTTGAACGGTACCACCAGAACCGCAACTTTGACAGAAGACGAGGGAGAAAAGGAGAGTGGAGTAAGAGGGTGAAGTAAGACAGAGCAAGAAAAATAGTGCCGTTTTTTATAGGAATCTAGTAATAAATAGTAAAAAGTAGTAAAAATATAGTAATATATGAAACAGCCGCTACGGTAGGTAGGGGAGGAGGAGGAGAGCTATTTAGAGGAGAGTGATTTGGAGGAGAGCTATTTGTAGGACGTCCAGAGTCCTAGACTTGAAAAAATGACGGTTTCTGATTCTAAACATCTATGAGTCGACTTTTTAAATGTGAAACCAAAACTTCATGAGCAATTACAAAATTTGCTCTCGTAAAAGCCATAAAAAAACAAATTGGTCTTTGTATTTTCTTCTTTTAAAATGTTGACAATTCCATATAATGTGGAAAAACCACTAATCAGGTATTAAAAAGTGAAGTTCAAGTAATCGTAGAAAACAGGACCAATGCTCTCAGACTTCGGTTATTTTCTGACTATTTCACAGTGAAAGATACAAAATATCTCCAAATCACCTTTGTAGCCTTAGTAGGTTTCCTTCATCAAAAGCACTTAGGTTAGGTGCCATATATTTGTGTTCATTATTGTGAAATCAGTGAAGATTAAATTAATAACTCAAAAGTTTCTATTGTGTCCACTGTGTTTTATACAATTCCTGTTTACATCATGTTTCTCCTGAATCTAAGATACCTCCAAAAAGCTTCTTTTTATCAACCAAGTTGTCACCAATCGATCTGCGCTGACAGCTTCCTGTCATCAAAAAGAATGGCCATGATAAAGAGAATATATCTGTTAATACACAGAATACATACGAGTGTTGAAAGGTTGTTTGTATATGTTACATCATATACATTTGGGGGATAAGGTATGATTTTGCTTTCTGTGTACTGCAAATTCACATATTGCAAAGTCGGTAAATTTTCCATTTTTAATGCAGCCCTAGAGCGGACTGTATTCAAATGAAGCTGTGTCCAAAATCAGGCAGAAAATCACACCACAGAACAGCTCAACTGCAGGCTGCTAAAAACAGAGCAGGATTTAGTTTTTAAATGTACATCTGTATCTCTGTTTATGTGTTTGAACAGGATGCTGAGTGGGCCAGGGTGATGACTGCCACCAACACGTTTTTGTGCAGAGCTGTGATCGTCACTTGCCCCCCTCATTTGGCAGGTCAGTATGCGTCTCCCACCCCTGTCGACTCGCTAAATGGAATTCTCACTGAAGCAGGAGGCAAATATCCTCCTAACTCACCGTGTGTGTGAAATGTGGTAAATCGTGCATCCATGCAGACAAATCATTGATTTTCCCAAACCTTTTTGACTTTCGGGTGTGGCGAGAACTCCGGCTGAAGTAAACTCTGCCTTGGTTGAGCCCATGGGAGGAGTTTCTGGGCCTGTATCTTTCACAAGGACGAAAAGTCAAGAGCAAAACTTCTGTGTGACACTTGTCATGTTCGGGGGTGGGGAGTTGAAAGTGGAAAGTACGTCATTAACAGCCTCTCAGCGATCGAGCTTCCCAGGAGGATGAAACACGGACCCGTGCAGAAAGCCTTGAACCATAAAGCTTTATTTGAACTAATAATAACCTCTGAAAACATACCAAGTCGCAAAAAAGAAAGTAGTTTTTTTTTTTGAGTTTTTGGCATGGACTCAAAGTTTACACACCTGAACAGAAACTTCTCCTCTTTTGCCTTCAGCCATTTGAGTCTCATTCCTCCCCTGCAAACATCAGTAAAAAAAAAAGAGGGAACACAGTAAACGCGCTTTTGTCAAAGTATTAATTCTTTGCATGCTAGAGTTATATCTGGTGGTGTGGTTTCTGTTCTGAAAGTTTCCTGCCCTTTCTTTGTGTGCACTTGGAGTACAGACAGCACACCTCACCTCTATTTATGTGCATAGATAAAAAGTCAATGCATGAAGTGCAGTAGTGAAGACCCCCAGAGTAGACTACATCAGGTATCAGTGTCACATGGCACTGGTAAGATCAGACAGAGCATCAAAAAGAGGAGCTGGGTTGAAGGTGTTTTTCAAAGCATCCTTCAGAGGAAGCAGCAGGAAAAGGTCGCTGAAGTACAGCACCTTGAAAAAGTATTCATACCCCTTGAACTTTTTCATATTTTGTCACTCTACAACCACAAAGTTTTTTTGTCATTGACCAACACAAAGTAGCACATAGTTGTGAAGCGAAATGAAAATACTTGGTTTTCAAAAAATTAAACACAAATCTGAAAAGTGTGGTGTGTGTTTGTATTCAGGCCCCCGTGTGTCAATACTTTGTAGAGACAACTTTTGCTGCAATTACAGCTGCAAGTCTTTTGAGGTATGTCTCTACAAGCTTTGCAAATCTGAAGACTGACATTTTTGCCCATTTTTCTTTGTAAAATGGCTCAAGCTCAGCCAGACTGGATGGAGAGCGTCCGTGAACAGTGATTTTCAAGTCTTGCCACAGATGCTCAGTGGGTTTCAGGTCTGAACTTTGACTTGGCCATTCTAACACATGAATATTATTTGATCTAAACCAATCCATCGTAGCTCTGGCTGTATGTTCAGGGTCGTTGTCTTGCTGGAAGGTGAATCTCTTTCCCAGTCTGAAGTCTTCTTCAGCCTCCAACAGGTTTTCTTCCAGGCTTGCCCTGTTTTTATCTCTATCCATCCTTCCATCAACTCTGAGTAGCTTCCCTGTTCCTGCTGAAGAAAAGCATCCTCACAACATGAGGCGGCCACCATCATGTTTCACAGCAGGGATGGTGTGTTCAGGCTGATGAGCAGTGTTACTTTTGCATTCAGGGCAAAAAGTTTAACTTTGGTCTCATCTGACCAGATCACCTTCTTCCATGTTTGCTGTGTCTCCTACATGGTTTGTGGCAAACTGCAAACAGGACTTTTTATGTCTTTCTGTCAACAATGGCTTTGCTCTCGCCACTCTTCCATCAAGGCCACATTTGTTACAGTTTTCCTGTGGACAGATTCTCCCACCTGAGCTGTGGATTTCTGCAGCTCCTCCAGGGTGACCGTGGGCCTCTTGGCTGCTTCTCTCACCAGTGCTCTCCTCTGTCAGTTTAGGTGGACGGCCATGTCTTGGGAGGTTAGCAGCTGTGGCATACCTCTTCCATTTTTGGATGATGGCTTGAACAGTGAGATGTTCAAAGTTTGGGATACTGTTTTTATAACCGAACCCTGCTTTAAACTTCCCCGCGACTTTTCCCCTGACCTGTCTGCTGAGTTCCTTGGTCTTCATGTTGCTGTTTGTTGACCACTGTTCTCTAACAAAGCACTGAGGCCTTCACAGAACAGTTGTATTTATGCTGATACTAAATTACACACAGGTGGACTCTGTTAGGTGACTTCTGAAGGGGTATCAGAGTCCACGGGGCTGAATACAAATGCACACCACACTTTTCAGATTCAGAAAAATCTCAAAAAAATACTTTTAAGTTTGTGGTCGTAGAGTGACAAAATGTGAAAAAGTTTAATACCTTTTCAAAGCACTGTAATTTTGGTCCTTTTCTGAATCAGCCTGCTGCAGGTGTCAAATCATGCAGTGTCTGAAAAAAAGAAAAAAGAGCTTTCTGATGACAGACTGGCTGTTGAATAATTCCTAAATTACACTTTCACCAAAAACAGAGCTGTGGTTGTAGTTTGTTAAAATTAGCTAAATTACATAGTGGATCTGACCCCTTCTCCAGCCTAGATTATAATCCAGTTCCCTGACCAGTTACTCAACAAAGGGGCTGAGCTGACCCTGTCTAATGCAGTTCCTACTGACAAATACAACCTCCTTAAAAAACACACAAACTGCACTCCTCCTTTAAGAGCATGGTGTAACAGTGAGTTTAAGTTTCCAGGAGTCCTGCACTCCAACTTGCAGTTAACTCACCGGGTAAATTAGTGTTGACTTGGAGTCGTGCCTGGTTTCAATTTTTGCTGTTTGGTTGATGCTAGGACACGCACTGAGCTCGCTGCAGCTTGATGTGGAAACAGGATCCACAGCTAGATTTTGGAGGTGGCGAATCTAAAGCTCAGGCTCACTCTGGGTCTCTGCCTGTTTGTACTAAGCTGGCAACAGATCTGTCACTCAAAGCCTCGTACTCTGAGCTGTGGACCACAGCCAGGTTCCTTAATGAGACAGGTTTGAGAGCGGTGTTGAATTATGCAGCATGGATTGCTCTGGCTCGGATGCCACAGTGCCACGATTTGGCCTTAAATCAGTGTGGGACGACTGACGGAGACTTTCAAAAGCCAAAGCCAGGCCAGTGATTGAGACGTCGCCTCTTCCAAAAAGAGTCAGGGATAAATTAAAGAGAGGATCCCTGCTCGGTGTGATCTGTGCCACATGTTTTTGTTTGAATTGTCTGAAGGTGGGCAAACCTTCTCGTTCTAGTTTGTAGGGGTGGAGAGAAGAGAGCTTAATGCAGCAACTGATGATAATGACTCTGGATGATTCCAAGCCCCACTTGGACACTAAAAGTGTAAAACTATGTTTGGCTCTTCTTCTGTAGCTGCTTCTGACACTCCTTATAAATTCACTCGCTTTGAATCAACGATGGAGCGGAGCGAAGAATGAACCTTTAAAAATGAATGCTTTCTTGGACTACAGGAGGTACTCTGTATGGAAACATGCCTTCACACACATGTACACACGCACGCACATACACACAAACAAGGTAAATGCCAAGTCTGACTATGAGCTAAGTTTTCCCGAGTACATCCCGTTTGTCCTGTTCTTGGCTCCTAGATTTATCTCCCTATCCATCCATTCATCTTTTATAATGAGGCCTGTCAGTTTTTTACCCTCTTATTTTGTCACCACCTTCCGCTCTCAACTCAATGATTTATGAACTGTTTAGTTTCACTGCATATGAGATTGCTACGCATGAAAGGAAGAAGCTTGAAGTTGGCGTTGTCTCGACTTTGGAAGACGTGGTTGAAGAAGTATGTGCATGTTTTTGTTGGTAAGTAGGTTCCCATGTTTATTCATCCTGCGAGTGCATGACAAAAGGAATTCTAATTAAGCTTTCACAGCATGCAGTTGGGGTATAATGTAATTAGGCATACCGGCTTACATTCACAGACAGCTCTGCAGTTACCAAATAAACATTTTATTTCACAATGTCTGGTTACTCTGTTAGAGAGTCTATCTGTACATGTGTGCTTGTTGCTGAAGTTGATGCACCAGATTGTGGCTGAAATTGTCATGCAGCCAAGCAGTGCTTTATCTGATGTTATGTGTCTTTAAATGGAGCAGAAGCTGCCTTAATGACAGCAGTGATAGGTAGTGGCGAGGAAACTGTTACATCCATCTCACTGTTCAGTCCACGGCCGTGTTAACATTGGTCAACAGGTGAGCAGTGCATTAGCATTGATTTGCCAACTAACACCACGAGCCAGGATTCTGGGCCAGTGTTGGCTGCACCGCGAGCGAAACTAATAGAGCCTAATTTCAGGATTAAAGCTAGAGTGGGAGCTGAAGTGATTGTGATGATAAGTAACGCAGTGGGATTTTTAACTTGATGAGTGTGAAATCGACGGAAATGAATTTAGTCGTATCTGTGTGAAAGCATTGCCCCTTAAGAGCATGCAAGAATAAGAGTACATGTGGATTTCTGAAGCTGTGGTGACAAATGACAAAACGTTCATTTCTAAAAGGACGCTAAAAGCCCTTGACATTTTCCATTCTGATGGAAGTGTCTCAAGAATGACCTCTTTATAATATATAGTATTTTTTCCTGGAATAACTCGGAAATACGAGCGTAGATGTTCTTTACATTTGTGTGTTTTTATCACCGCCAGCGTTTCCAGGTTAATCTCAGTGAAGTTTGAAAAAGCTGTAGCAGCGCTAACGTAGAGGATCAAAGAGAAAGTTAATTAATAAGTCCCTGTCATATAAATGAAAAATAGTTCACACCTCAAGTAAATAATTGATCTCACTGACCTGTCTGCCAGCTTGAGCCTGTGTTTGATATGGTGTGGTTTGATTGGTTATGACTGACAGTGATACATCTCCAGGAACTTAGCTAAATAGTTTAGGAGATCACATCCCCCCGCAGCTGCCATGATGTAAAATAATGAAGGGATATTAAAGGGATATTCCGTAAATGTAAATTTAAGTTAACTCTATCTCTATAGCCACAAATAATGCTCAGAACAGCACCTAACTTCATCAACAGGACATATAGGGTCCTGATGAAATATCAAAAGAGAACATAATTTGTCTCATAGCTGGAGTAAAGAGCTGATGAAGTCAAAGAAGAGACATCATACATGTACATATGTATAATACAAACAATATAATTCTCGACCAATGTGCTGTCGGACTTCACACTGACAATCCTAAATCATGGACAGTACCAAATAAAGCAGGAAGAGTGGGCTTCAAAAAAACAAAAACAAACATCTATATTTAAGTGTTCAAAATCATAAAAAAATGACCTTTTCCAACACAGGCATTCCTGATTTTATACCAATTCAAAAGGACAGACAAATCTGCCGGCTAAAAAATACTGAATGTCAAAGCCAAGCTGATGTGATCCATGTGCTGTTGAGGGCGTTTCTCTCCTGTAGTCCAGTAGAAACCATTAGGTAACGTCCTCCATGTGTAAATGGAGGAATGGGGGATGGTGTCTGCAGCTACTGTCGTCCCTTCAATTTCAATAAGTGTCAGGGCTCCACTGGCATTATTCAATAAAGGATCGGTGACGTAACGTGCTCCCAGGAACAGGACTTCATCTTTGACGTTTGGTTTAAGTGCTTGGTGAGTCGCCCCGCCTGTCTTTGGTGGCCTTACAAATGAATGACACTGAGGGATACAGTCTCAGATTTTCCATCTGTCAGTAGTTCTTGGGGTTATTTTATTGATCATGTTTGACTGATGGTCGTTGTACCGGATTGAAAACATTGAAGTAGAGGCGCAACAAATATGTGGTTTGCAGTTTTGGTCAAAGTAATAGAATATTTTAACAATACGTTTCTGCATGCTCCATAGAGACCCATTCCCCCCATTTTTGGTTATGTAATTATTGGTTTAACACATGACTAGAGTAACATGCCATTTGTTTCTCACCGAACACCCCCCTCCCAAGGTGCATCAGAAATATTAGATCAGACCCGAATCCAATCACAAGCAACTTGAAGTTGTCCTCTCCTTTTTGACAGACTTTAGCTAAGACAAGGTCTGTTCTTTTTTGTCAAGGCAAGAATCTAGTGAATGTGATTGAATGAAAACCAGGCGAATGAGCTTTGTTCAGCTTAAAGCTCTGTGAAACTTACTATTGACAGAAAAACTGGAGGCCACTGGGAACAGATGAAGCTTAAACGGAGCTCAGGGAGAGTCTCCTGTGGGGAATGTAATTGCTGAATGATTTACCGATGTCGGGAACATGTTACAGTCTCGTTCCCTGTTGTGTTGCACCTTTCCTTAAACAACACTCAACAAGCCTTTGTGAACTGAGGACGCTGACTGCTGAAGCTTTGGAGGTGAATTCTATCAAATTCTTGTTTAATGAACCACGTCAGTCATTCAACAGTCTGGGGTCTATGTTGAGGTATTTTGGGCTTCATATGCTCCACATACGCTCAATGGGAGACAGATCTGGACTGCAGGGAGGTCAGTCTAGTACCTGGACTCTGATGGGGTTCTGAACGCAGCAGATGTTGCTGCTGAACCTGCCTGTACAGCTTTGACTTTGCGCAGTGAAGTTTGAACTTGCACTTTCAGATGTAGAGACAAACTGTGTTGAAGTGTTTGACAAGACCGATACCCTGCACAGGTGTGAATGTTAACCTTTAAAGAAGATTGAAGGCTGCTGGTGCTAGCTCTGCTATCATAAGCCATGAAGATGCTATGATCCAGTGTTGTTTTTGAATCAATTCAGTTTAAAAATCCTGATTTATTTTGGAAGAGTGAAGGTGAGATTTTGGGTTGGTTGTTTAAAAAGGATGTTTTTGTTTTGGCAAAATTTGTTGAAAAGGCTTGGCATATGCGGCAAAGTATTTTGTACCCTGTAGGATGAACTTTTTTGTTTCTCTTTCATTATCCTCATTGTTTGTGTTACAATTCCTAATGGATTTTTGATGTTATTGTTGTTGTATATTATGTTGCGTGGCTGTCTTGGATAGATTGTGTTTTGAGTTTGTTGAACAGTGTCTAATAATCCATGGGCTGGGCACCAATTTTGGTGTATGACACTTAAATAAAATAATCAAATCAAATCAAAATGTAAAATAAGTTAATATTGACTGTTTCCTCCGTGTTTTCTTACTTGGGGACTTTAAATTTCTGTTCGTATGTTCAATAGGTCAAAAAATCCGCCTTTTTACAACACCCCAATAGTCTCAACATTTTCTTGTAGTTTGTTTTTCAATCTCGGCCATGCTGTGGCTCATTCCCTTGTTGGTGAAGATGTGGAGGAGCCAGTTACCTGCAGAGTCAGAGGTCAGAGTGCAGTACATGGAGGGTTTGCTGGGACCGCTTTGTTTTCACTCATGTGAGGAGCTAGACCTTCACTGAAACATCATTTTGAATAAAGAACACACCCCTGCAGACCTCAAGCAGATATTTAATTTATTTGACAAAACTGGCTTAGAATCACGAACCCCACCTTGAAATCTGTTGTGCTTTTTCCTCCCCGGGTATGAGCATTATTTCTGCCACACACACAGCATGAAGCCATGCGTGTGATTACTTCTTCTCGACAACAGGTTGTTATATCTCATACTTTGCACAGCTGGTTTTTAAGGTTAAAAGGAATGGTATAATTTCACTGTGTACCCAGGCACAGTCAAACTTCAGCTCTTCTCAGCTTGCGCAATTTTCATATTTTATCGAGTGTCTTTGCATCATCCTTCGTGTAAATCACCGTTCGGAAGCTACGTCTCTGACTCATCATCCCTTTGATGTAACGTCTTAATTTGAGTGGTTTTCCTTGTTTTTCTTACTTCATCCTTCGAACCGTTTGAGACACTGGAACTGCCTGTGGGTTGCAGTAAAAGTTTAGGGTGAGAAAACAAAAGGAATTAGAAAAATCCTCCTCTTTAAGGCTTTACGGATGTCACTCACAGGTCAGCGACAGGAGACAAGGGGTAACAAGGTCAGCGTCATCCCAGAGCGCATCCAGAGGAAGAAAAACCAAAGAGAGTCGAGCAGATGCCAACACAATTTAAAAGCAGACGGGGAGATTAAGACGGATTCCCAGATAACCAGAGTGAAAGGAAACCACAGTGGGGAAAGCGATGTTATTAGACATCAGAGTGTTAAAGGTCATGAACCAGCAGTTGTGCAGATTGCTCCCCAGCAAGAGGCCATGTGAGTCCTTGAACTTGCATCTGTTTCCCTGAGATGACAGAGTGATGCAAAAAGCAGCCTGATGTCTGTCAGAGGAGAGCACTTCAGACATCCGAACAGATGGGGATTGTGTTCGCAACGTTTGGGGGAAACTTGTAATTTCCCTCATCGTGTGAAAGGATCAGCTCTGTCCTTTTTTCACCCTCCTTTTTTAGTCTTCTTTTGTGGTCAAACTTTCTATCAGGAACTCTTTTAGGCTGTTTGTTCGGGGTACTGATTGACATTATAGAGAGTATTCTCATAACTGCAAATGAAACTGTCATCTTAAATTCTGTAGATATAGTTAAAGGTTGTCAAAATGTAGAAACCCCAATTTCCATGAAGTTGGGACATTGTGTAAAGAAAAGGTACAGGTGTTACTCGTATAAACTTCACAGACGTGGAGGTAACTCTCATTTAAATGACTCTTTTTTGGAGGTATTCTGATATATCCTGATATTATTGTATAAAGGTCAATTCTTTGCTGATGGTTGTACTGTAGTAAAAGGCAGGGAACACTACTGTCGTTGTAATTCATCAGGAAGAAGGCACAAACAACAAATGTCAACTTCATGGTGGTACAAAGTCATGAGAATTAGCGGGAAATGTCACGGCGATCCATCCAGCGGCTGTTGAGGCAGTTTAACCAACCCTTCCTTTTAAGTCACGTTACTCGTACAACAGGAAAACTTTTGGATTTACAACATTACTCCTGACCTTATCCACCCCTAAACAAACCTCCAAACAATAAGACCCTTTAGAAAAAGGAACTAATACTTTCCACTCAGTGCTCTGACTGCATCCAGTATCAGGAATAACCTGAACCTGTGACAGAGAAAGAAAATATCCATGTATGAAAACGCCAGATGCCTGTAAATACCTGGAGCATCTCATGAGTGGTTATTTGAGAAACATTTCATTAGGAGTGAACAGTCATAAATCAATGCCACACCAACAGCTATACTGATGAGACACTTAAACACTGTGTTGGAGACGTTCATGAATCCTTCCTCAGCCAGAAAATACACATCTGTTCCCATTTGGATACAAAATCTAAATGCCTTGAAACGGAGTGCCTTATTTTTATTTGGATACAAAATCTAAACTCTGTTCAAACCAAAAAGCTTTTACAAAATTCAGTCTAAGAAAAATAAAAGCTTGTTCTATAAATTGTTCTTCAGCAGTAGGTCAAACGTTTATAACTGCTGGGAGTTTACTTCTGCAACCTCCTAGAAGTGAGATAAGACCCTCAGCTGTGTGTCAGGGCTAGTTTACCCGTTCTCTAATCTTCTTCAATAACCTGCTCACTGAACTTTTTTTGAGGTCTATAGTTGTATTTTTTTCCCCTAAAGTTCATTTTCTAACAGATTTCTCAACTAATTAGATATATTGTCTCAAGGTCAGCTTTGCCTCATTGTTGGGCCTTCAACACCTGCATGTGATCAGATGTTTATCCGTAGTGATGTAAAAGCTGTGAATCTTGCTTACCTGATGTCCATCAGTACAGAGGTACAGATGGCAACCGTGCTGACACCCACCAAAGACTGTATAAAGAATGGACACCGTCTGCCTCCTCGCTGGGTGAACAGCACCCTCTGCTGACGGGCTGCAGTATAGGTCATAAATCCCGCCTCCTCCAGCAATCCCTATGGAGCTGTGGACAAACTTTAGACAGTAATTACACAGAATATAAATGTTCCTCCCCCCTGGTTGCGATGTTGACATGTAGTTACTGTCAGACTGGTTTGTGCTCAAGTCCTCTTTTTTCTGTGCAGCTGCATTTTTAAAAGTTCTTTGTTTGTTTTGTTCAAAACGACCTTCCATCTCTCATTTATTTATTTGAAACACAGACTGACTTTCAAAGATAGATACAGCCATCAACACAACACATTCACTGTGAAGTCATGGCAACCAACATGAGCCTTGAAAAGCACAGGTGTGTCTTTGTTCACACGCCAGTTCACGGCATCAATTACATCATTAGCATCATAATAATCATTTCAGCTAACTGGACTTTTTTTCAGCTACCCTGTAGAAATGAGCAATCTTCTTGATCTCAGTGCCTCCTTAACACCCAGGTCAGTGTCATTCTCACACTCTGCACCTCGGTTCACCTATGAGCTACAAAAGATCACGGTGGCTGTACGCATGAGTGACGGCTCAAGGCCTCTGGACTGACTGTTCACAAACATGCATACAGGGAAAACAAAAGAACACATGCAGAGCTCTGAGTTTAGATGACGTCACTGAAGAGTTGGACAAACACTTATAGATCAGCACTGTCCAAGTACTCAACACACTGAATGTCATTTACATCATGAAGAGTTAAAATTACACTTTGGGAGTTGAAATCGGCGGTGACGTGTTAAACATGTCAACACTCAAATGTTTGCTGTGTGTGAAGCACAACATGAAAAAAACTATTCATTATGCAGAGAGCCCAAATTTACCATGCTGGGTTATAGACATGCACTCCAGACACATGAGCAAAAACCCCTGACCTTTGTTCTGGACTTGTGGTTCGGTGATAGTCTCGTGTCTGCCAATAACTTTCAATCTGGTTTAAAGCAGGAGGAGATTATCCAATAGTAAAATGTCATCCTCCTACTAATACTGACTCAATACTGACTCAAGACAGATCAAAGTGGTCTGTTTTCAGCGAACTGTGGATGCAGCTGTAAAGCACGAGTTTGTAGTCTGATTCTCTTTCTTTATCTACGATCGAGGACTCAGAGAGGGTCAAACTGCCTCCACAGTCGTATGATCTTTATAATACTTTGACTCCTCATTATGGGAGCAGAGCTCCATTTCGCTCCCACTGGTGCCGACCCAAGAACAAACACTTGACTTTTGTGAGGCTGTGGATATTTTGTCATTTTCCAGGCACAGCTTTTCAACCTAAGAAGGAGACCTCCACATTTTTCTTGTTGGGCTTACGTGCCCTGTAGTGGATAGTGGATAGTGGATAGAGTTTGCAATTTAGTCCACTTTTCCAGAGTGGTGGCCCAAAGTGGTGGCACTTTGAAAATACATGTGTGAAAAAATAAATCCAAACATTATTTGTGTGATTTGATCACAGCTGTTAATGTCTGATGCCTTTTCTCGAGCAGCATTCAACCCCGTCCATCAGCTGTCCACTTTGAGCACACACAGCCTCTCCTTCTGTTGTTTACTTTATAAGAACTGGCATCCCTCTGAACCTGTTTCTTCATGTCATCTTGATTTCACTGTGATGCCGAGCGGTGAGGAAGCTCCTGAAAAGCGTCACATCAGATTTGTGCTTTTGGAAATAGATGACAGTGTTATCATTGCGGAGCACTTTGGCGTTCAGAAGAATAAGATGCCAGAATATGTCTCATTTAGTCATCGATGATTTAACATCCGCCTGATAATGATGAGGTGAAAGGCATCCCCTGCTATCAACTCCGAAGGCTGCAGTGTCAGAACAAGTAGCGTAATGGATATGACACCACTTGACGGCTCTTATGTCATGTGTACAGTGCTGTCATTTGAACGTCTAAGTGACCATGTCAAATTAGTTTCGAGCCACTTATCATGTCACTGTTTTTCAATTTTACGGCCTCAGGCTCATCAATTTTGTTTAGCATTAAGGGCATTATTTTGAGGTTGCTGACAGGCTCCTGACAGTTTCTAAATGATGTTTCACATCTTCCACCGGTTCATTCGTTAAAAGCCTGGCTTTTGGCCAGATGTCGCTTCACTTGCCAGAGCAAGCACAGAGTCAGTCTGGCTTCTCTGCATGCATGACATCCACTACCTCCACCGGTACTGATGAAGTTACTTGACTGCTCTCACATTAGTGAGATGGAGCTTTTACAAATGTAAGTGCTGTGATTAGTACTCTGAGGCGCATCTACGGCCTGAGCAGCATGAAGTCATGGGGATTTTTTCAAGGCCATTTATGCCGGCCGATGACTCAAGATAAAACCACCCTGATCGATAGAGGGATCGGTTTGAGAGCGCTATCAGTCTTCATTTTTATTCCCCTCTTTCACCCTGCCTCTCAAATAAAGCAAAGATATGTCTCATATGTTGTACATCAGGTGAGACTGAGGGAATGTGGATTAAATGGAACTCAAAAGAGTGTGCAGTTTTGGAGATTTATGATCTTGTGTTGTTTTCCCTACAGCAAAGATCCAGTACCAGCCAGCCCTGCCCAGCCACAGAGAATTCCTCACTCAGAACATGCCTGTGGGCCACATGATAAAATTCATTATTACCTACCAGACGGTGAGTAGCAGAAAATAAATCACCACATAACTGAGGTTTGCATGAATACTGTTGATACCGGTGCAGAAACAAACCTTGTAAACATTAAGTCTTTGTCTTCTCAACATTTGTTGCAGCTTGTATGTCTTAGTCTCCCTCAAAGGGCTTATCTCTGAATAATCTGACATCATTTGAATGTTTCATGAACCGAACATTTGGGACTTTTGACGACAAAACAGAAAACACTTTTTTAGGTGTTATTTAAAACCATTTGTTACCACATGATGCGATTCAGGACACTTGTCTGTTGCTCTTTTCAGCAAAGCGATTTATGAGTGGACAGTGAGCTAATGATGGCGACTTCATGTTTCATAATTGATCGTTCCCTGCCAGGACTCTTGCATACTCACGCTGGGTTATATGTATGGGGATGTTTGAATAAGCAGGAGAGGAAATTACAATATATTACACATTACTGCTCAACTGAATTAGTGAGGGGAATAAGACCGATGAGAGGGGTGCCGTGTTTTCTCCCCTGTAAAATGCCAGAGTGTTCCCCCAGCAGTGGCATCAGCTGAATCGAGGGGAAAATGGTTTTTAAATATGTATTTGTTTACCTTCTTTATAGCATCGAGAGCCTGTGGCAGACAGCAGCAGACTTTGTACAAAAGAGCTTCTGGCACCAGAGACTTGATTTGTTTAATCTTTTCCATTCTGCACTTTACAAGCACACATTTAATTAACAAATTGCCCTCACCTTGTTAGTAGATTAAATTTGTCTACTGTAATGAACACAAAATCATTTGTCCTCATGCAAACTCTTATGAGATCTCTGTCTTGGTGTCCTGCCAGGATGCCTTCAAATACTGAAATAGAAATGAATATACCAGCCACTGATGTGACGTGTTCGATCCTCCAGTCTGAGACGTTTGTTAGGCTGCTGCAACATCATTGGTGGGCTTACCACGTAGCTAGGGTTTGGACTTAAGTGACTGAAACATATATATATATATATATATATATATATATATATATATATATATATATATATATATATAATTTATTTATTTATTTTACTAAAACAGCACAGGGGAATTAAAGGTTTGACGTTTCGTATCTTCATCCCTCAAATACAGTAAAGCCATCAGCCGGTGGGGGTGCAGAACAAACATTTAAAGCTTTTAAAACCTTTGAGATACTATAAGACTGAAGCTGAAAACTTTTGTCAAACTTTACAACTGTGTCCAAAAGTTTGTGGTGCACCAAAGTTAACCCTCCCTCAATTTGTTTAAGTGTTTGAAATTCCATCCGTAATTTATGGACCGTATAAATTCAACCTCAAATGAACTTAATTGGCATAAATGTCAAAACAATATTGAAAAGCATCACATGAAACAAAATACAAGCTCTTCATTAATTGAAACGGAGAAGCCCAGCACCACAGAAGAAGAGTGTGTATGAGGCGGCATGTGTTGGTGTCGTATCGATCTGCCATAAAAACTGATATTTATAGAGAGAAGAGAACTGCTTCAGTCAGTCAGTACTTGTTGAACTATTCTTGAGGGTACAGGGTATGTTTGGGAAATGTTCCAGTTTGTCTCTCTGGACCCGGGTTCGGGAGGTGTCTCAGTTTGTCCTTGAGTATCCCGGTCAGGTCATGTGATGTCGTCTAACATCTGTGATTTGGTCATTTCTTGTTTTCACTTTGTCACACATCGTGTCTCCTTTTATTTCTCGTTAGTTTCACCTCTGAGTGTATTTAGTCACTGACCCTCTGGGCCAGTTGGTTAAGTCTGTTTTCACACCTGTTTTTGCCTGTTTTGTTGGACCGTGTTATTTTCCTTTGGATGCTGATTTCCCTGGACTCTGACAGAGGAAGCTTTTGTTTCGGCCTTGTTGTTCATAAGATCTATTTTGATGGTCACCATCTGGGCTCTCTTCCTTTCTATTACAGCCCAACAACATGACAATCTGTCCTCTGTCACACCGTGAGTAGACTGTCATCTTCTGTTGCAGCCACCTCTGTCTAAGGCCAGCTCTCTCTGTACAAGGACTGTTTACTCTGGTGGCAAAACCCCAAATCCAGATGAGTTAGGAGTGTATAAAATGTGGATTAGAAGTGAAATTGATTGTAGAATGAGCTGTTCATCAATGCTTTAGATGACTCATTCAGAGCCAACTTGTCACTAATATTCATGCTTTTTTTTCTTTTCTTACACCAGTCAATGCTTTCAGCCGTCCTTAACATCTGTCAGTGAGCTTTATACATGTCATGTTAACATATGATCTGTCCAGTCATGGGTCATATATATTCTGTATTCTGTAAGAAAATCAGCTGAAGTTGTAATTTACAACAATTTGGTCATTTATCGCATCAGTTCCTCTCACTTTCCTTTTTTTTTCAGTTAGCTTGTTAATAGTCGAGTATCGTCCGGCTGTCCTGAGGCTGTCTTGGACTTGATCATGGATGGACTAAATTCGGGTTTTAGTCTTTGGTACACGGTGCTCAGAGAAAGAAGCTTAATGCCAAACTCAAAGCACTGACTTTTTGAACAATGCCAGCAGGTCCAAAATCTCAGAGTAATATTTGATTCAGACTTTAGCTTTGAGCCACATAAGAGAGAGAGACCCCACAAAAAGCTTTTGACCACCTGAAAAATAATGTTAGAGTACAACCGTGTCTCTCTGAAGCCAATGTAGAGACTAGTTCATGCTTTTATCACATGCAGAAATGACTATTGTAATCCTCTTATTCTGGTCTAACTAAAAAGAACATCTCTCAGCTTCAGCTGCTCGATGCTGACGATATGAGCCTGCGGGAAACCTCAGGTCTTCAGGTCTTTTAAAAGTTTCTAAAGTAAAAAGGAAGAGTCAGAGTGAAGCAGCTTCTTATTATTACGGCCCAGGTCTGTGGAACAGCCTATCTGAAGACCTGAGGATGGCACAGAGTCTCCATGTTTGTAAAAGCACCAGTCTGGCTTTTAACTGAATGTTATTTCTTTTGCTGACCGAGGGTTAGTTTCATTTTATTGATCTTATTTTGTGAGTATTATTTTTAAATTTGTTCTCTTATACCATATCTTATAATTATTTATGTATTTATACTGCTCTACTGTCCTTTTTGTATTTTTCATGACTAACATTTAACACTCTATTATACCTCTTTATTTCCTCTTTAAGCACTTGTGATGGTGTTCTCTCAGTTTGGTCAGTTTTGATTGATTGATTGATTTTAAAGTTGTTATTATCATTTTTCCTTCCTTTTCTTATTATGAACAGCACTTTGCCTGACACCATCATTGTATGAATAGTGCTTTATAAATAAATAAATAAAGAAATAGTGATTGATTGCTTAATGTCGGGTCTGTGCAGAAGGCCTTAGGTCTGTCTGGCTCACAGAGATGGTTCCTTCAGCTCTCGGCAGGTCAGGGCTAAGAGGTTACATAAACGTGGGTGTTTGCAAAATTTAATTGAACCCTTATCTGTGGGGACCATGCTGTGCTCTGCTTACATTGTTTGGTTATTTCCCCTGGACATGGAGGATGTTTGGAGAGGACTTGGCATGGAGATACTCTGTGACGGTTTTATCCAGTTCGTCAAATTCAGTTTCTGGTTTTAGTCGGAAACAAGTTACCACAACCAAAAAGAAAGCAGTTCTTGTTCTAAAAAAAAAATAAAATATATATATATATATATATATAATTTCAACTACTTCTCAGTATGAACTTGTAGACAACAAGAAAAACATAATTTTCATCTGAGTGGGTCTTTAAACCAGATTCAGTAGGTTTTGTTTTTCGAAGTCACTGTTTTGCTGTTTTGCTGTTTTTAGGTTCGCTCCTGTTTTCAGTCTTGCCTGTGAAGATAGGACTGGGACATCTGTGGCTGACAGGTTGAGTGGGTTGTGTCAGTTTGGCATTGGTGATCAGTAATGATGATGACAGTGACAATATTGGGAGTAATTAGGATTGTGGATGATGATTGAGGTGTTAAAGACGTTAACGAAAATAACAATTGAAAGGTTGCAGCTTCCAGACAACTTGTGCATTGCCTCTATTTAGTTACTGCATATCAGAACCAGGACCTACTTATGCTGTTCTTTCCTGTCTAGCCAATACTAGCAACTACTTATTAACTGAAAAAACAAAATGCACCACTTCAGAAGCTACATAGCCTTCTAAAGACTCGGAGAACCAAAGTCTTGTCTTTGTAACTTCAGTCAAACTAAATATCTGGTGTGTTATATTTTAGTTTTTCTGTCTCTGATCTCTAACATTGCTGAGTTTTGGTTTCTTATTTGTTTGTTTTCCTATCCTGTTAAAGTTTAATTCTCAGGTCTGAGAGGTGAGAAACGCTTGAGCGTGTAAAAGGCAATTAAGGCTGTTTTAGTACACACGAATTCGATCGTCCTGATGTATACTTACAATCCGCGGTTCAAACCCGTGTATTGTAAGTGTTTGTATGGTGGGTGGAGATGCACAGTGACCCTGATCAAAAGCAAAAACATGTTAAAAATATTTATCACAAAAAACGAAGCACTGAAGTGTTTTTCCTTTGGCAAAGACCCTTTCAGATGTATTTTTCAGCTCTCAAAAGTGCTTTAACTCAGAAATGTCATCGACTGCACTTCTGAAAGACCTAAATGGCGTGGTGGACAACTGCACCGTATCTACAGGGAACACTGGGTTGTTGATATTGCCTTTAAGCCCCGGGGCAAACATGTTTTTGCAGAGTGGTATTTGCTGTTTGATGATCTGAAGGTACTTCTATGAAATGAACAAAGTGAAAACGGCTGAATGAGGAATGTTTCTGATTATTCAGGGGAACTCACCTTGAGATAATTCTCAATAAGAAATTTCCCAAGTTCATATTCCCATAATTAGCATATATTGCACCTCATTTATCATTCAGCAAAAGCACAATCGTGGGATGCCTCCGAGGCTCAACAAACTCTAAATGACAAAGCAGCCGACTTCACTCTTGGAGACGAGCCTGAGTCTCCATTTCTTCAGATTTTTTCTAAGATTGTGTGTGTTCTTATTTCTCTGTTTGTGGTTGAACACAACAAATTTGTTTGACATTTAGTCGGGTTCAGAATAACAGCAATAACGGCGGTAATGATAGAGGTCAGAGTAATGATGGCCCACCAGCTCGGAAACAAAGATAATTCTGATGTTTGCAATTGGAGTCAAGCAGGTCTACAGCAGCGTGGTCTGCAATAACAACCTCAGGAAACCTGCACAGTTACTCTATCAAAGGTTCAAAGACAAACCTATTATCAGGACCTCAATTTAAAAACGGAGCTTGGTGAATCAGGTCCTCCTTAGCATTAAGACTGAAGCGGCGTAACCAGATGTTGTTCTGAATCAAATCGGACCAGCCCTGACTGTTGAACAGAAACCTTCACCTGCAAAAGAAGCTGTTCTTCAGGACAGGATCTTTCAGGAGATTCAAGGAACCACATGCAGGACTCCATTCTAAGTGGGTAATGGTCGATTACTCCTCAAGCCAGCCATGTGAGCGGTGTGTGACAGCTGCACGCCGTCTGCACATGCCGACACGTGTTGATGTTCTGGCAGCTGGCCGCTCAATCCAAGCCGTGTACGGTTCTTTGACAGCTGACAGGTTATTGATCTTGTATCAACAATATTTACATCCAGATCATGGCAACACATCATTTACAAAGGGGAGGCCTGATCTGGTTCTGCATTTGGAAAAGATCTGAAATCTATTATAAAATACATTTCTTCTTGGTTTAAAGTAAATTACAAAAAATTATAATATTAGTACTTTTAGCCGCTCGTATAGATATAACTGGTCATGGTTTGCAGCGTATATACTTCTGAATGAGACCAAGTGCCATTGCATCTGATATGACACAGAAGTCCTATTACAAAAATATTAAAAAGATTAAATCTATTAAATGCATCAGTAAAAAAACAGGTTTGGCTTTGATAATTCACATGTAGACACAAACAGACACAAAGAATATATCCTGTTACCCTATATTACCCGCTAGGCCTGAACGATATATCGTTTGACTATCGTCATCGCGATGTACGTGTGTGCGATACTCACATCACAGAGCCTGCGATATTGGAGGTGAATTAACTCATTTAATTTCAAGGGTAACTGACTGAGATACACTCCATGTGACTCTGCATGTGCTGTGCAGCGATCCACCAATCGCCTTCGTCCTTAACTCAGTTGCCAATCAGACTCACTTCTCAGTTGCCAATCAGACTACCCTGCCAGCTGTCAATCAAAATCAGGGAGGAGAAAACCCACCCCTGCACATGTTCTGCACATGGAGGGAGACGTGTGTCCGCTGAGAATTACTTTCGGAACTTTACTCATGACTATTAAGCCCAACAAATAAGAACTGTATGGGTTTTAAAGTGTACATTTCCGTGGACCACTCTACTATAAGCAGTGCGCGTTTTGCGAGGTGCATGCAATTCTCGGAGGACATGCGTTTCTCGGCACAACACCGCTAACAACAACAACAACGATCGCAAAATGAACAACGAACAAGCGAAAACCACCGAAAATGAAGATTTGTTGCCAAAAAGAAAAGGAAAGTCAGTTATCTGGAATTATTTCGGTTAAAAGAAGGATGATGTCGACCAAAACACGTCTTCTGTGTTCATCTGTTGCCACAATAACGTCCCAGCACAATAAAAGCTAAAAATATCTCTGAGACAGACAGAAGCCGTTCTACTAACATTCACAAAAAGAGGTAAGATCAGAGCAGATTAACTGTCCTCAAGATTTCAGCAGTGCAGCATAACATTAAGTGATATTCAGGTCATCTGGTGAAAATACTGTATTTTTAATATCGCAATATATATCGCAGGGTTGAAAAAATCGCAATATTATTTTTTTCCAATATCGTGCAGCCTTATTACCCGCTTTCTCTCAAACAGGCTGAAACACTTTGCATCATGATTTGCTGGTTGATTGAGAGCAGCGTGGATAAAACCCACTAATCTGTGTGGTGAATCCGACTCTTTAAGAGAGTAAGACTATTTCATTAATGTTTTAGTATCTACGTGCTGTGAAGGTCTATGTGTAAAAATAAAATCACACCTCGTTTAAGTTTAGACCAATGCACAAGGCATGCAACCCATTCATCCCGTAAGCCGAGGTCTCAGTGAGCAGCCATGCTTGAGAGCTAACCGAAGGGAAGTGTGCTGTGCAAATTAACCTTTTTTTAAATACAACATGAGTCACTGACATCTACTCTAAAGGACCTGAGGAATTAATTCAGAAGTGAAAACTAAATACAGCAACTATGAACTTAGCTTCCCCTTAGATTCCCAGCAGGTGGAAATCCGACACTTTGATAGCAGCTGGCAGCAAAGAGAGAACATGGAGCTGACTTTGCAGTTCGCTGGGATACTCTTGTCACATCACTTGTGCAAAGTGAAGGATTTTACTTTTCCAGGACACAGTTTCCTGTCTGAGGTGATGTACTCCACAGCAGGGGACAAATCCAGGATCATAAAGTTGTCCCAAAATCCAATACACCTATGTCTTCACTAACCTGGGACTTGGTTTCCTTTCTTTGTTGGGTCATTTGCCAGGGCACCGCCTGCAGCAGCTGTGTCCTATCTGCATTATATAGAGCTTATATTGAGCTTATGTGCAGTCAGTCTGTTCTACAGCCTGAGGGAACCCTGTAATAAGGCAAACCTGTTTTCAGCAGTGAATTATCGTGGGTCAGCAGGGCAGGTGACAGGTGACACCGGGTTCACTGAGGTAGAATGTCCATGTGTCACCCCAAACAACATCCAGTAATGCTGCAACTATGACCAAGTCGCTGATACAGGCCTGACAAGGGCAGGATTCTCGCTGTGACTGTGTGTGTTTGCAGGACTCAATCAAGCAATCTTGTGCAGCATGCTGTGCACTGGTTTTGCCAGGAGCTGCCCCTCCTCCTCCTCCTCCTCCTCCTCCTCCGAGTGTCTTCTGAGGTCCAGGATTGGATGAAGATGTGCCACGTTACTTCACGCTTGTTGATCATACAAATTGGCCTCCCTGACAGTTTTCTTTGGCAAGACAGCCGAGATGTTCTGAAAAAACAAACTGAAACAAACAAAAAATAACAGCCAAGAGTCAAATTCTGTGATTCAAAATGCTTTTGCTACTTAAAATTTAAACAGCAAGAAATTGGCCTTTCATAATTCTTATTGCGACACATGAGAGAGTGCAGGCACACTACAGCGCACAGATAAGTTTGGATTTTTCCTTTTTTATAATTAAGTTAAATTATTCCAGGAATTATTAAGTGAATTCTGTTCGAAAACTCGTCAGTATTCATCATCATAAAAACTAAAATCTAAAAAACTCAGGGCCTGATTCCCTAGGAACGGATTGAAGCCTCTGATAGAACTGTATTCCTGCGCTCTCTGCTCCGACTCAAGGTCTACTTCACTATTCAAATAGCACTAATGGTATTCAAGACCAAAAAGGCCCACAAAGTTCTTCAGCTCTGTGCTGTTTACTCGACATTTGCATTTTATCGTGACCTAGGTGAGGTGGATTCATCTCTACGCCCTGCTGCAGAGAGCTGCCCTGTGCACTCTCATCCTGAAGGCTCTTAATTCCACCCTTACAGGTGATGATCTGGATTACAGGGAGACTCCTTACCTCGGGTCCTGGACTATGTCACTTTATCCTCGTTGTAGAAGTCCTGCAAACATTGTGTTTGCTGGTAGTCTGTTGGCATCTACAGTAGCACCAATGCTTTTGACTTTCACCTTGACTGGGCCCCATTTGTAATGATCTGAAGTATTTATCTGCATTATACCTGAATTTAATTGGAACGATACGAGCGAGCAGGAGCGTCTGTTTGTGGGCAGGGCTTGAGGGGAGGGGAGGAGCTAAGGGGAAAACTGGTTGGGAGGGGTAGAGTTTACATTCAAGATTTCTCCCAACTTCCTCAGATCCTGACTACAACACCTTTAACCCTTGATTATTAAAAAAAAAAGGTGTGCACATGTTCTACTTTTAGGTCATTTAAAGGTGGAATTGTGATAACTGTGATTGTGTTAACTGGAGAGTTTGTGCATAACTATATTTTTAAATACTCACATAATTACCACCAAATCTCAGCAGACAGTAAATATTATACACTAAATGCACCAGGCTGTCAAAGCCAGTTTTTGAGATTATTATTATTATTTTTTTGTTTGTTTGTTTTACAATGAGGCATATTTGCATAGAAAGGGTCCACTTTGGCTCCAAATATATGCATAATGACTCATTAAAATGTACGCCCAAGTTACTGGAACATCAGGACAGAATTTGTTCTGCAGGGTAATCGGTGAAACATTTAATTTTTTGCCTCTGATTTGTGATTGATCAGATGTTTTTCTGACCCATTTGCAAAGGTGAAGCAGACCAAAAAAATGTGCAGTTCTCCAGTGAATCAATCTCCAGTGTTCTTACGCTTGGATTGTTTGGAGACGGTCCAGAAGACGTGTCATTTGCAAACACAGCACATGCAGCGAGCAGAGATCACTCAAAGGTGTTCTCAGTTTTCTTCCAATTAAACCCTGCTCACTGTTTGTTTGCAGTAAGAACATAATCCACCCAGCAACCAGTACAAACAGCTGCCTGACTCATCCCACTGGTGGTAGTAGGCTTATCATAATAGATGCTCTAAATACAGAAACTAGAAAAAGACAGTGACCCACGACTCATTTTGTTGGAAAGTTACCTGGCTAATGCTGGTTGGTGTGTTTGAGTGGCCTTTCCATATTCAGTTGTGATGATTGTGCATGGCTGTTCTGACCTGTGCGGTGGCAAAATGTGGCTGTGACTTAATCCTCATTATCCTCATGATGCGGCCTTATTAGTTGAGTTTTCTCCTGGTTTTGTAACTTTATTTTATTTTCCAACTGTTTCTGTTTTTCTTTAGTTTTTCACTGTTTGATTTCAGGGAATCAAAAGGCATAAGAAGTGGATATAAAAATGTTAGATTCATTGTAAATTCACACATTGACAAGATATTCAGAGGGAATCTGCACGGATGGATAAATGGAAACTCATTAAAAATACAAACACATCCGGATGCAGGCATGCTTATGCAAATGTAAATGCACAACCAGAACCACGGTAGTTTTGGCTGATCCAAGAACTGCTGCAATAATTCTTCTGGTAGTAAGATTAAGATCATCCAAAAGGAGCACTATGCATTGCCTGGAAATGTCACAGTGAAATGTCATTTGGTGCACACTCAAAACAGTCTGCTCTCTTTTTAGTATTTGCAGCCACACGGTTGCTAAAAGGCTACACATCGTGTGTGCAAGAGGGTCAAATATTTATTATTTTATGAGATATATGGAAGTCTCGTGCTATTTAAGGAGGAAATTATACAATCAGTCTTAAACAAGTCAGTGTTACATTTAGGACCCTAAGCTCCGCTGTAAATGGATGAGTGCATGTGTTTTCAGCTCAGATCTATGATCTTTAATTTGATGGTTTCAGTGCTGGTCTGCTTCAATGAGACCTAGTGTGCACCCTCTCCATAATGGAAGAAGCAAAACAGCCCGGCCTATTCAATCTTGTGGATCTCTCAGTTATAACTATGAGGCTTTCTTCCCACACATGCACTGTATCCAAGCCTTTTTACTACTAAAGACTATCACTGGGATGGTGGGAATTATTAAATCTTGCAGTAACCCTGACAAGCACTGAAGATTTGTTTGAAACACATGAAGGACGGCTCTGATTGAATAAATTCTTAAGTGCAAACTTCCCTCATTGTTATTGATGTTGTTTAAGTGGAAAACAGAAGGTATCTGTACACGTGTAAGAAATGAACAAAAACACACAGTTGTCTTTTTCCACAGAATGTTCTTGGGGGAGGCTCCCAGAAGGAAGAGCGTTGCGTTTGGTCCTTTGTGAAGCCTTTCACAGTGATCAGCAGACGTTTCTCTGATATCACCTGTTAATGTGACCATGTCAGCGACCCCAATACCCAGCAATGACGAATTCGTTTTAGGATACATGTTTTTCAACGAATCGAATGGAGTTCAGTGGTGTGCTCAAGGGTGGTGACAAAGTATCTCCACATAATGTCAACTGAGTTTTTGTCTCTTCACAGTAAATCAGTTCAGGAAAAGAAATGTCTCAGTGAATATCAGGGACATGATGAATGAAATCACTTTCGCAGGTTTTTAATGTCAGCGAGCTTTCTGTTGCGTTCCGGTCTCTTCAGACACTCAGACTGAAGGTAACAGCGTTATGATTTGAGTGCTTGTGCATGTGATTTGAGGTTGTTTGCTTTTCTATTTCTCTTCAGGCTTTCTGGAAGGACAAAGGCTTCTCTGGAGAAATAGTGACGGGATCCTCCACTGACTGTCCATTCTGTGTGACCTTTGATGCCACCAGCCCCAGCGGTAACGCCGCGTTGGTGGGTTTTTTCGCAGGGGAGCTGGCAACGCATTGGACATCAAGAGAGGTAGTGGCTCTTTGACACAGATTCAGACATTATGACCACTAAACAACTCTGAATCTCACCTCACAGCAGTACCTGTCAGTTAAGGGGATATGTGAGGGAGCAAGTGATCGTTTGTGTTCAAAGTAGACGTGTTGGTAGGCGGACAAATGGACAAGCAGAAGGATGTAAGAGATTGTCTGTGGCTCGCTGTCTGGCTCTGAGCATCCTCGGGGCTGCAGATCTGATGGGGTGTTCCAGGTTTGCAGAGGTCTGTGCCAAACCAAAGTGGACCGAGGACTGAAAACTGTTTATTGGGTTCTGGGAGTTTCCTGATGCCTGTGCTGAGCAGAGGATGGGTTAGTAAAACTCGCTGCTGCGATAGTTAACATTGGTTCTGAGAGAGAGCACTGCATAGTGACAGACCAGTCACTTTGCACCAAGGTTCTTACAATGGCCCCATGACTATCAGGATTGGACCACAGAGCGATGGAAGATGGTGACTTAAAGAAAAAAACGTGTTCGCTTTTTTCCTAGTTCTCAATCCAATCAAGAATCTGTGATGGACGGTCAAATCTGATCCATGGAGGCCCCACCTTAAAACGTACAGGGCTTGGATTATGACTTAAAGTATTAAAAGTTCATTAAAGATTTATCAACATTTAATGTGCCGTAAAGCATTGACTTAAATCTGAGTCACAGCACAACATGGCACCATGTGAAGAGAGTAAGGTCCAAGCCATCTGACCCTAAACCATAAGACAGAGATACTCCGTTATCTTCAGAGTTTCCATTTTTTAGTCCAATGATTTCGCTCAGAAATCCACTTTCTGGCATTATAAGATGATTTCCTATGATCAATAAATTCATTTAAAATCCAGAAATGTTCAACCTTGGTCAAGGCTCCATAACCAAGAATTACTGCATCAGTATATCAGAGTTCAGGTGTTTTGCTTTGATGGCGGCCTCCAGCTGTTCTGTATTTTTTTAGTGTTTCTCATCCTCCTCTTGACAAATATCCCAGAGATCACAGACTTGAAACCAGTGGGCATGAGATTTTCCACCAAGAGCCATTCTTGATCTCTAACAAGTTGCCTGGCGAAATGTCAAAGATTTCATTAGCTTAACTCTAAAGTCTGCATTTTTATGAGACACAGAGTTAATGAAATGAAGCGTGGGCATGTCGCTGCCTTTGTTGGCATTAAACCCCGGTGCGTAGCAGCAGTAGGATTGTAGGCTTATGCTCTCGTGTTTTCTCTCACGCATGTTCAGGGTTAACCATGGTTGATGTCCTAGGTTGTGACAAAGCCAACATTGTGTGCATTGTCGTAATGATGTTTGTGTGTTGAACATATTCCTCAGGGACAGAATTCAGAAAACTGCATGTGAGACTGAAAAAGTGCAGCATATAACTGCAGCGGGATCGCTGCTGTCTTTAATGAACTATAGTGGGTGGAGCTGTACAGGTTTTTTAAGATTTACAGTCAACACTCTTTGGTTGTTGTCAGGAAAATAAAGAGTAGTTTTTTTGTAATGGATATCCTCGTAGTAACACAATTTTAAGCGCTGATTAATTCTCCCTGCAACAGATTCAGCACAGGGTCCTTACAGGCTGATTTTTGGTTATGCTGCACAGTGATAAGGTTCATAAGGTTCATACGTAACCAGTAATTGAATACTGCCATAGAAAGCTGTAATTGTCCTGGTCTCCCATGCACTCTTTTTGCACACCCTGACCTCTTTCTTTTCCTTGTTTTCCTCAGTGTTGACATTTTCATTTAGTCCCAGTGCTTTCTCTCTACCTGAAAAATAAATAAATCCAGCATTGTCTCTTGTGTTGTTTTGGCATTTGGTCATTAGCCTGACTTGCTACAGCGCTCCAGAGCTGCTGTCTCCCTGCTGTGCTGTGCTGTGCTGCACAAGCTGCTAAATAATTAACCCCTGCTCGCTGACTCTCGCTGCTAAACAGAGGAACAAACTGTTAGTGTATGTGTGACAGGTAGACGTCATTTACAGGGAGAGAATGTGCAGTTTAGATATGGTTCTAATATATACATCAATTTTTTAGTTAAAGCTCCACTCAGGAGTTTTGAGACACAAAAAGAATTTATATAGTCCAAAGATCCACACTGGGACACATGTTTGAGTGTTGAAAAGACAGAGTAGGATTATTCAACATAAATTACACATGAAGAGAAGCGGATAAACATAGAGAACAAAGGTACTGCTTGGTTCATGGGGGGTGCCAAGCCAGAAAAAACACAAACTTTTCTTACAGGACCTTTACAGAACAGAAATTTAACATGATCATATATAATCGCCCAGTCTATATCCAAATAAACACAAAGTCAACCAATAATATCAAATGTAAATGGCTGTCTGTTGTTTTCAGGAATCTGGTGAGTCTGTACACGAGGGGTGCTTCAGTGCATCCAAAACAGACAGGACTCTGTATTGGAAATCATGGCACTTTGCACAGTTAACACACATTTTGTCACTGCTACCATGCAAAGAGGAAACCACAAAAATATGATTCGCCACAAAATAGGATCTCAAGACGCTTAACAAAAACAGCTGGGCTAGAACAAACTCTGAATGATATTTACAGGAAGACCCAATGTGAGGATGAGATCAGATTAAGTCTCATCTAGTAGGAACATATACATGGAGAGGAAACATAATCCTTTGTAACCAGACTCATGTTGGTCATCTGGCTGTGGGAGACCATGAGAACGTGACAAGATGAGTTGAGGTGGGATTGACCATGATCAGAGAAAGAGGGAAGGAAATAACCCTAAATGACCGAGGGAGATGAAGAAAGAGACGGACAGAGACCAACAACATCAACAACTAAAACATTCAAATCTAAAATCTTTCAGTATTTGATTTGTTGTCTTTACTCTAAGCTGTAGATGAGTTTCAAACGGTCATATTTGTTTTTATTAGACCTCTGAGAGCAGTTTGCTTTGACTCGTCAGAGTTGACCTGAAGGACTGTATTGAGGTACTGTGCCCTCAGTGCATCTCAGAGCAATAACTTTACTGTACTTTAAGTTAAAGGTAAAGTGACAGAGATGAGGAACCTTAGAAAATTTAGCAACATCTGTCCGCATGATTTATGGAGATGTGTCCTAGCAGCCCTCAGGCCTTAGCTGCTCTGTATATAACTCACCGCGGCCACTAATGCAACCAGGACTGTGAGCTGACCATGTTTGAGTTATTCAAATTGACTGCTGCTCCCTGTGTCCAGCGTGGAATGGCTCTAGAAAAGGCATTCATAATTCAGCAGCCTGCTGTTACGATTCTGAGTGATGAGCCGGTGTAATGTAAGTACCATGTTGGCTCAGGAGTTTTCTTTTGTTTGCAGGGTGGAGAGAGAAGAGAAGCTGTGGTTTCCAGCCTGGTCAAATACCTGGGCCCTGAGGCTGCATCTTTTATCCACTATGAAGAGAAAGTAAGTGGTTCTGTTGCGAGTATGTGGTGTAATAACAGCACAATGATTTGGTTTCAGGCAGAGATGAGTATTGCTTTTTACGGTCTCATTTTTACCAGGATAGTCACCTGAACTTGGACAAATTACTTAATTGAAAGACATCACAGGGTAGTAAATACACGGCAAATGAGTTTGGTAGTAGGCAATGTCCTTCAGTTACCTCAGTAAATCAGCAAAGACAGCACTGTGGAGAGCATTGTGGGAGAGTTTAAGCTTAATTATAAGTGAAGTCAAAAGGACTTTTACAGTTTCATCTCCCAAAAGTGTTAAGAGAGGGAATATTTGACTGAGATGTGATAACTAAAGAATACAACACAATGTAATACAAGAGCTTTATTGATCCCTAAAGAGAAACTTCTTTGTCTGGAATCTCAATCTTTGGTCCTTCAAGGTGTTTTGAAGTGGATGATCCATATTACAAGTGCCTCAGGATTTTGAGTTTGTGTACCAGCAACACTATCATGGAGAACACTGCATGGAATTTCAGCTGTTGTCTGGAGTGTGATTTATACAAGTGTTACTAGGATATGACTGAACTCCATTAGAACAAACTATGGCCAACAGTTCAATATCTGGACAACACAACTTCTCCTTAAGTTGTGTGTGAAAGGTTACACCATCTCTGCCTGATCCTATGAGAGTGAAGCCAGGTAGATCCACACAGGAGACTGCACTCACAGTACGCTTTCTCAGTCTTCACCAATACTAGGCAGAGAATTGATGTTTCACATGATGACTGATGGAAGAAAGAGTTTACAGCTCCATATCCTTCACCTTTGCACCAGTACGGCAACCGCGATAACACCACCTGATGTCCTCTGGAATTGTTGTTGTTGTCCAGATTTGTTATAATGAAAGAAGCTCTTCTCTTGAGTAAAGTCTTCTCCTAGCAGAAAAATCCATCAGCAGCCGACAAAACACGAAAATTCAGATGGACCCGACTTTGCTGCTCCTCGTTTTAGAGCAGGTTCGAGGAAATGTGAAGGTGGAAGAAACTAACGTATGACTGTTGGTATGATTATTTTTACCCGCAGTCTACGACCACAAACATGAACACAGACTGCAACACTCTCCTTTGGCTAATACCTCTTGTTATTCTACAAACGTTGTGGTGCTTAAATCCATCCAAACGGCAACACTTCCTAACAGCACATTTTATACTTCTTTGTCCATTTTGTCATCTGGGTTGTGAAAATCTCAGGTGGATTTTACAAAAACGCTGAGAACACAAAAACATGGTCATGTTATAAGCACGGGGAGGAGAAATACTAAATGCTATGTGCTTTCAAAAAAGCTGCTCAGTTGCATTTAATGTGTAGGAGACCTATACTCTGAAACGGCACACCAGTAAATACAGAGCAGATTTATGTATTTAGTCTCTCGTCTGCCCTTTTCTCCATTCACTGTCGAACAGCGAGATGGGGCAGGAAATTGCCTTGAGAAAATGCCAGGCAGGGATGCTAACAGAGACATCATGATTGTCCTTTGTACACTCAACAGGAGCAAAAAAATTATAGAATTTGAACAAAATGAAAATGGGTAGATTGCTGGGAGACATAATTGGCCTTTTTTAAGAGGACCAATGACAGTCTGGTAAACAAAACCACAAATCTGCTCTGCATGACCGCTGTGTGCTGTTTCAGGGTCTGACGGTACGAGCTGGAATGGGACAAAGGAGCTATTTTGAGTGCAAGTGGCACGGCATGACTATGAAGGGGGGGTATTATGAGTTTTTAAGACTAAGTACTTTATTCTTCTCAGATTTTAAAGAAAGCCTCCTGTTTCTCACTCTGGTGTATTAAAATTAGGGCTCTCAAAGGTATTCACGTGGATTAATCCAACATCATGATTATTTTGATTATTTTTTTGACGTAATTTACCCATTTTGCTGCACAGAACGACACAATTTCCCTGAAAAATCTCTGACAACGCATTTCCGGCAGTTTGTCCAAGTAGTTCCTGTCGCACACAAGCAAATCGACAGTTGATCAGGTGGTGACAGGCTGCAGAACCAAACAACTCAATCAGGATTCTACACCATCTTCTTCTTCAGCTGCTGCTCGGCCACGTCTCCCTGTTCTTCTCAGATTTGGCGCCCCCTGTTGGTTCTCCCTCACTAGCTGCGTTTACATGGGCACAAATAATCGGAATAAAGGCCTGTTTGGAATAAAAATGCGTCATGTAAACATGTTGATCAGAAGATTCTGATCCAGTTCAGCTCAATCAGAAAGAAGTTGTATTACGATTAAGAGGTCTGGTTTATGCTGATTGTTATTCCGAACCACATCCATGGAAACACTTATTCCCATCATGACTCTCTGTTGGGGCAAAACTAACCTGACTGCGTTGTGTAGCGTACCCTACGTCACATTTTCACTGTGTGTGAAGACGCAAACATGGTGGAATCCAAGAGCAATTGGTCTATTTCTGACACAACTTTTCTTGCTGGATACAGTCTTTTCATGTAACACAGGATCAGTATGTGCTGCTGGGCTCGCTTGATGATCATGTTCTCTAGAAGCAATACAACCGCACTCAGAACCGGGCTCAGGTCCATTCTGAGTGGAGGGAAATATCCTGAATTGGATGAAGTGAGCCACAACCACGTTTGTTGGTTTGTTGACAGCACAGGCATAAATACAACTCTCCTTCTGTGGTTGTTTTAGCGAAATTAGACAACTCTGCAAATGTCCAAATGCTTCTAATCTGAATAAAGCTTGGTGCATGTGTACGCAGCCATATAAACAGTGGGCTCAGATTTTCCAATCCCTCAAATTTTTAATCTGATCAAGAAAATTTCCAAATATAAACATGGCTGCTGCCAGCCTCCTCCTCTCTCTATCATTATTATTTTTTAATTGGCAATAGAAGGAAATTGTCTAAGCCAGTGAAAAAGACAGCAAATTTCAACCCCAATGTCTAATGCAGGGCCTGTGTTACAGTGAGCATTAAAACAGATAAAATAGATGAAATTCTTACCTGCACACACTGGAAAAAAAGCCTCATATGCGACTTTGGCTGCAGTCTTAAGCCCTGTCAATATGATAGAGGCTAAACATCATGTTGGCTTTCTTCATGGGAAATTTGGGTACAAAAAACCATTGATGGATACACATACTTCTAACAATCTTATCCACGGTGCTCAATAACTGTAGAATCTCACCACGTCTTAAGCCATGTCAAAGTAATCACTAGGAATCTGAGGGGGTCACATCTCCACAGTCCCCAGTCCCACATAAAATCTATGCAGAGTTTATGGAGGAAAAGAAGCCTTTTGTAACTCCATAATACCCTCAGACTCGTGTATTTTGAAGTTCACTTCAATATTAAAATATTTCACTGCACCCATGAGAAGCCCTCACAGCAAACAGGGAGCTGCTGATGCTTAATTCAGCATAATGGGCCGGAGATGCTGGGGGACGCCGTTCTCAGCATTAGCAAACTTTGATGACCCTTTGAGAGCAGAGGGTAAACTGTATATGATACTGTAGGTATGAAAGAATCGTAGAAGGTAGATGAATTATGTAATTGGCTATACTTACATGAATCCATATATAATTGTGATAACAGCCTAATCCTGCCTGGTCGTCCCGATTTCGGGGTGTTTTATGTCGCCTGATGTGAGGATTGGTAACTTTGTGAACTCTCAGTCTGATCATTTCCTCTTGGTTGGGATAAAACTGTTCTCGCTGTGATTGTCCGACACAAGAGACGTGAAACACTGTAGCTTTTATTCCTGCTGGAAACAAAAAGAAACACAGAAGGAGCAGAGCAAAAGTCATCTGTAGCCGACACATTTTTACTGGAACTTTTTCAGGACACAAGACTGTTGATCTTCTGGAACACAAAATTAAATAGAGAAATAAATATGGCGCTAATCTTGTAAGACCTGGAACGCTATGTAAAATAACGGTAAAGAAATTAGATCATTTGCTAATTATTTCAAGCCTAAATTGAATTGAAAACAGTTCAAAGACAACATATTGAGCACAAAAACTTCATAATTTTATTGTTTTAAAATATATATTCATCTAAAATTTGATGCGTGGAACATGTTTCAAAACGGTTGGGACAGGGTGATGTTTTCCGTTACGTTTTGAAGCCTCCTCTTTTAACCTTTGGGAAATAAGGAGTTATTCAGTTCCTGGAGTTTTGAGAGTGAAATGTCGTCCCATTCTTGCCTGGTGTAAGATTTCAACAGTTTGGGGTTTACTTTGTATTATTTCTGTGTCATGGTGTATCATATGATTTCAGTGGGTGACAATTTGGGACTATAGTAGGTCAGTGTAGCACCTGGACTCTTCTACTACAAGCCATACATTTCTTCTCCCCCTGGTTTGTGCTCAAGTCCTCTTCTTTTCTGTGCAGCTCCATTTTTAAAAGTTATTTGGTGTTAAAAAACAAACAAAAAACAAAAAAAAAAAACAAGGAAATGATATCATATTGACTCTTGAAACAGTCAATTAGCGTATGAAGATTGTGTTGCTCATCCAGGGGGTACAATGCTTAAACTGAGTGTCATCACAACATTACCATCTGAACGCTATTGCCCAAATGCTGGTTTCAGGAAATGGAGAAAAGTCACGTAAATACCAGAAGCATTATGGCTTCAAATCTGGACAATGACGGGAGGTGGGGTTAAGTTGTACAGACTAAATACAGTCTATGTCCCTGGGCTTTTAAAATCTGCGCTAATATCAAGTCGGATGATCCCGCCGCTCTTTAGAGCAGTGGAGTAGTGTCCAAGGTTTTCAAAAAGAAAGTTAGATTCCATAGATCGCAGGCGGTTTTCCACTTCCTCTTAGTCTATCTTCATTGGGCTGGGGTAGAGTGAAGGGTTCAGAGACAGACAGCAGTGATGTGTCTTATATTCATAAACTGCTGTCTGAGGACCTGAAGACCCTGACCTCCCAGTATTATTTATTGGCCTTGTCCCATTTGGACAGTGATTCAGATACAGATTCTCAAAACCTTTTATAATAACAACAATAATAATAAATTGAATTTTTATAGCTTTTGAAGAACCCATGGTCACTTTGAGTAATAAATTAGAGAAATAGATAACTAAATAAATAAGTAAAAGAAAAAAACACAAATGTAAAAGACATGGAGGTAGATCTGGGAGCAGAGTTATTGAAGGTTGTCGGTTGTGATGAACAGAAAATGTTAGAGTTGTAGTCAGAGAGGGTATTTTGGATGTCTACTTAAGGATAATGTTCTGTAATTGCAACTCTCAATTCTCTGTCCTTTTATTCAAAAGAACATTGATTTGTAATTGCTGAACTCATTCCTGACCCAGCCTCTTGAAGAGCAGCGACCTCTTTTTTCAGACTCCATCTCTCTTTATACCCTTTTCATGTGCAGACTGGTTGCAAACTGAGGTAACAAGTTCAGGGATGTTTCTTTAGACGATCTTTTCGGTGCTTTGTCGTCCTTGCCACATATTTTTTAAAATGCATTGCTGGCATACACAATAAAATGATTTTCAAACCATCAAGCTCTGTTTTTATGAACTCTGCATGTCATCCAAACTCCAATGGAATCAAGGTTGTAAATAATTAAGTCGACAGAGTAAGAGTCGCAGATGTGAGAGGAGACGACAATGTCATCTCAGGTGCTGAGGTAAGCCGTATGTGGAGGATGGTGTGTTTTTGTCTCTACTTTTATGACATTATGTGCGGTGACACAGCGGCAGAGGTTTTGTTGACACCCGAACAGATGGAGGGAACGGCGTCTACTGCTTTTTTCAACACATTAGACCAGCGGAGCAACTCTGAGCAAGTCATTGTGATTTTATTCAGCTTAAACTCTAGATATGCGTGTACACGCTTATCTTAATAGGATCACTTTTTTGTGCTCAGTTGGGATTTCTTATTAGAATGACTTTAATCCAATTGAAGAAAACTGCACATGTAATCAATACAACATTTGTCGTTGTCCTTCCTCACAGGACTGGGCGAAGGAGGACTACAGTGGGGGCTGCCCTGTTAATGTCATGGCACCAGGTCTGCTAACATATTATCATCCCAGCCTGAGGAAGTCCTGTGGCAGGTAATCGCCCCGCTGAAGACAAATACGCTGCTGCATTACAAAAGAGCCACCTCTCCTCTGACCCCCTCATCCCCCAAAAAAAGCAGATGGTTGTGCAGAAGGATGTCATTAGGTACACAGAGGTGACGCTTTCTAAAGCTCTGATATCAATCTTCAAAAGAGCTAAATTTAGAGGTTACAGCTTCGTAAAGAGGATCATTGTAAACTAGATGACAGGAGGAGAGATACTGTCCACGGTGCTGGATGCTCTTGCTATTTTTACTCCGCAGAAACAAAGTCTGCTCTCCGCCCTGCCAACCAGGTATTACTCACTCGCAGCCTGTGCCTACAGATCATTGACATGAGTCGTGGGAGTGATTATGCCTTCGCACATACATATTAGTCAGATTCCAAAGAAATGCCAAGAGGGCAGGAGTGGTGCTCTCCCTGGAAAACCTCCTATTATCCATTTCAAAATGGCCCGTTCAGAGATGCACAAAGCTGAACGATCGAGAGCAAGAGGTGGGGAGGGGTATCCAGGTAATGTATTTCCATAATGACATTAAGTCCGCGGGGAGCAGAGGAAGCTCATTACATAACATAACTCAAACAGCAGCCCTGATCCACATTCATACTCCATATAGGTAATGGATCCTCAAGGACACGCTGTCACCTTGACACCGATACTGCACGTGTAATGGAGACAGGCTCTGGTTACTGCTGCTGCTGTTTCATTGGACAGATTTCACTAATGTTTGCCCGATTACTGAATATGAATATTTATACGTGCGTGTGTGTGTGTGTGTGTTTCTACTCTAAATGTAATTTCTCCGCTAAGCCTGAGTGGTCAGTGTGTGTGCGTGTCACAGATGGGTGCTCCTTGCTCAAGTGAAGGTGTAGTGAATGAGTGAGTGAGAGAGAAAGAGAGAGAGAGACAGAGAGGAAATCAGGGAGTAGGAAGAGAGAAAGCTGCCAAGAAGTAAGAATTAGTTGACCTGTGTGTTCAGCGTCTTCATCCTTAACAGCTCCAGAATGAACACAAACTAAAGGCTGAACTCACAGGAGCTGCTGAAGGGAAAATGCTAAAATGATTTTTTTTTTTTTACTAACTTGGATGTTTTTGCAGCTTCTTACACTTCTTGAACTCATATCCCCTGCGTGAAAGGCTCAGTTCATTGTACCTGTGATAGTGAAACAGATTTATATTCTTTTAAAACGGTTAAAAAGCTCCTGGTTTTGAGAGAAGAGGCCGAAAAACTGCAGAGAACTCCTGGAGAGTGTACTTGAGGCTGACTGCAGAGGTCTGGAAACTTCTTACACAGTCATTATAAAGCCCATCATTATAGCAAACATGTTTACAGCCTGGTTAAACACACACACACACTCGTATGTAAATAGGCTATAAATGTTAGCATTATTGTGAACAGAACTGACAGTTTTCCTGTTGTGGACGTTCATACTTTCGTTAACAGATTAACTTCTAACACATTTAAAGTTTTGATTTTCTCTCCCTTCTTCTGTTCATCTCCTCAATAAATGGAAATAGTGAAATGGTGTGATATTTAAACCAACAATCATTAACAGAATCATGTAAATGGGTCTTTCTGATAAGACGCTGCTGAACATTAGCAGTCATCTGTCATGTTAGTTTGTTTTTTGTACTTTAAAGTCGAGTTACGGTTAAAGATTTTGCAGGATTTCTAGTTTAGAGAGTCGTGACTCTGACGTTTGTAGATGGAATCTGTCTGTGAGGACAGAGCGAACAAAGCCTTTCAATCTGTCTTTACTTGTAGTCGTTTGTGGAGTTTCTTACATTCCCAATGAAAATGCAGCCTTCAGGTTCAACACACACAGATTGAAACAGTTCAATCTGTGTGTGGAGTCAGAAACCATCAGGCCATTTTAGGATTATCCCACCTCTCCTGCTCTGTTCACTCTTGTAAAGGGCAAAAGCAACATTACTTCGAATCCAAGGTGACCAATGTTGTCTTTTGTTTAACCGACAGTTGAAGACTTTTCTGTATTTCCCTGCACAAGAAAAAGTAGAAGGTCTCAAATTTGGAAAGAAATCAGCCTGAACCTGAGCAATATTTGCATAAATATTATAAACAATAACTAATCACCATTAGGGGAGTAGTTGTCAAGATTATGTATTGTGTTTTTTATGCTGATTAAGCCGGAAACAAATTGGTACCACACACTTAAACATAGAAGAAGGGTGAAATCAATCACAAACAATTGTTTCATAGCAATCAATATCTGTTACAGCCTGTTAGAGCCACTTCACTCCGTGTCAGGGGTGTCGAATATAATTTGAAAGGAGGGAAATGTTATCACAAAGCTCATTTGTTATCGTGACTTGTTACATTTAGAGGTTTTTTTAGGTGAGGGACTCTTAAAGTGGGTGGCTGTGGAAAAGAGAAGATATTACAGCACAGAAAGAAGACGAAGTTATGAGATAAGACATAATATTACGCACTTAATTCACAAGACATGACAATGGGTTCACAGGAAAAAGATCTTAACAGTATTTCTGAGAAAACTTTGATGGTAAATGACGAAAAAAGTAATTAGAACAAATTCACGAGTACAGCTTCAGTTTTTTATCTTTGTAACAGTCATCATCTTCCACTGAATATGACTTCTGTCCACCGAGTATGAATACAGAAAATGACCTTAACTAAATGAGTAATTCTGTCGGAAGGTCAAGAGAATGGCGCCCAGTTTCACGATTAAAGGTTCCTACAACTAGCTTAATGATAAAATTTCAACATAACTACAAAAGGCTTAAATGAGTGTGAATATTTCATCGTTGAAATTGAAAGGCTGTGTAAAAGCGCTGAAATTCATTGTCCATAATGTGTCAGCTTCTTGTTATTTAATTTGATTTATAAAATAGATGAAATAAATCCCCCCTTGATACCTTGAAAAGTCAGAGAACCATAATTTTGACCGGGTGGCGGTACTCTCTGTGGCCCAGAGGGTCTCACTGTGCTGGGCAGGAGCTCTGTCAAACGCCTCGGCATTAACCCTGGAGCCTCCTGTTAGCTAGCCCGTTACATCGGCAGCTGGTTTCTGAAATCGATCGGTAGTTCAAATCAAGCTTTGTAATTGTAACGTCTAACTGCTGTAAAATGCATTAAAATACGAGGGGAGGAAGTGACGTGCGTTTCGCACATGTGCGGTACACGTCGGGTCTGGTAGTGACAAGGAGAGTTTCCATTAGCGTGCTTACTTGGTAGGTTCAACACAGTGGATGTTTTGGTAACATGTCCTCTCCTGCAATTTTCCAACTGCTACTAAAAATAAAAAAATAACTAAATAAATAATAATAATAATATTGATAATAAAATAATTTAAAAACAGTGGTAGTAACAACAGCAACAGCACTAAAATTGCTCTGAGAAGGAGAGCTAAATGAGGACAGGTTGAACATCTTTATTCTCGCAGAAGACCCGCTCACATTGTCTCATGTAACCATCAGAGGAAATGTTCAATTTAATGTGAATAATACTTGTAGCTCCAAATGTTCCTGCAGACATCCTGTCCTAACATTAAGAGAAAAGAGGGAATGATGAGTGAACTATTTTCATATTAGCGTACTCATATTTTAAATGCACTCTGGTTTCAAGTGTTTATTTTGATGTGTGTTCATGTTTGAAGGGATTTTTTTATCTGTATAAATCCTGACAGGATGAGGCCAGACCCTGATGTGAAGCCTTTTTAGAATCCTGTTTCCAGGTCTGAGATAGCCTACAGTTACTGACCATGACCAGGTCAGGGACCATAACCTGACTGTAGCCTGTTTGATTATAATCTCTTACCTCTCTGTCAATGAAGAGTTGAGACAATTTCAGTCTTCATGGAGGATTTTCTGATTTACATGGTAGCAGGCTGTCATCAAACTGTGAGGGGACTAACTATTAATAACTAATAACTACTACTAACTAAACTATTCCTCAAATTAAATGTTAATCATACTGTATCACATGTCGAATGCCCCGCAGACACAGAGAAATGGAGGAAGAGAAAGTGAAGATGAGCACAGCTGTATAAATATTTGATCCTGGAGTCTGATGTTCCTCTGTGAAACAATCAGGTCCGTCTGTGTCTGAAACGCCTTTAGCAGAAACAAAGTTCTCTCTGTAGAAAACTTACTTGACTTCTTCTCTGGAAAGTTTTGAGGCCTTTTCTCCTACAGAAGACAGATTTTGATTTTGATCAGTCTGATGCTGTAATTGTAATTTAAAGACGTTCAGATGCTGATCTCAACTCAACAAGAAACTCATCATGCTTTGGTATCACAAGATCACGTGGAAAAATGTGATCTTGTCGCACCCCTACAAATAAATCTGCTTTTTTTCATCCAGTCCTGCACACTCACTGCAGTATTCAAACTGTTTACTAAGGTGATTGTAAAGCAAACCTTTAAAAGTCCTTGAGCACAGTGTTGCTATGGCTGCACTCTCTCTGTCCATCTCCCTTCTTGGCTTGATTACTAAACCAGGTACTGCAGGAGAAAATTCTGGGCTAACCCCAGAAGAGTCTGGAAGCATTTGGTGGTAAATTGCAGTGGTAGATCAACCTAAAAGGAAAAACAAATAGCACTGTGGAGGAAAAGGTTAGAATGAAGTTTACTGAGAAGGAGAGAGAGAAAGTGCCTTTCTATGTTCCTCCTATCGGAACCAAAAGTTTATAACAAGAACTGTCAAATATTTCAGGTTATTAAGAAAAAAAACAGCATTTGCACCTTCCTTATGGATATCATTTTTGCGAGCTTCATTCAGCAGGGAAAGATCATCTCCAAAATCTGTTTGGCAAAGTAAAGGTCAACGCTCTGTCTTCTCTGACTGTAATTATGGGCTTCAAAACATGTGCATGTCTTTACAGAGCATCAGTGCTCTTGAATTCCCCTAAAAACCCCTTTTGTTTGTGAAGCACTCAGCTATGATGAGTGTTGACATGTCATTATGTAACATCTGATTTGTAAAGAAAACAAAAGTAGCATTTGAATGTTTTTTCCTGTAAAAACTGATCTGCATTTCTTCATAGAAGTCTCCAGTCCTTTAAAAGGTTTTTAAAACTGGTTTCAGAAGGTCAGTGCTTCTTTAGATTTAAAGACAAACCCTTAGAGTCAAATCACATGAACAGGCAATAGCCCTGAAGTTTCATGCTAAAACCTCCTTCAAGCATCTCCCTCTGGAAAGTACAGTAAGTGCAAAACACTGCTTGTACAATTTGCAAGAAACCGCCTTGGGAAGAGCACTTCCTGCCAACAGTAAGAGTGTGATATGCCAACACAAAAGCCAAAAGCAAAGCATCTGTTTATACAAGTTTAATCCAAGGAAAAAAAAAAAAAACACAAATTAGAGATGGGAATGTCAGCAAGAAGCAAATAATAACTTTCTCCTGCCAGCAAAAGGATATGTAAAGAATAACTCATGATTGTCATCCAGCACAAGTCATTCCTGCCCAGGCTTCCAACATTACCGTAAAGACTGCGATTTAATCTGGTCAACAGTTAGAGAACACGTTCCTGCCAGGATAGACATATGCTGGAGTGTTGACCCCAAGGAATAACACCTACTTTAAATCTGTGAATCTGCTGGTTCCCAAGAGAACCCTCAAAGAAGAAGTTTGTTGACTTCTTTTGAGTACCAGGAGAAAAATAAAATTATGTAGTGCTGTACGTACCACTCATACCTCAGGGAATAAGGCAGCATTTCAAAATACTCAAAGATTAGGCTGTGAACAGAGGATCTCTAAATATCTTTCTGCAATCCCACAGCACACAAACTCCAAGAGACGTTGGCTGTGATACCAATGCAGGAACTTTCCCCTGAGACTCAGTTCTCGATGCATTTTCTCTGCAATAAACAGGGTAGAAATAACCTCTGAGAGCCTTTATTTACCCACCGAAGAACCCGGATCTGCAAGATGGTGTTTCCCTAAAGGGCTGAGACTCTGAACAATTCAGCGTGAGCAGGTAGTCAGAGCATTCAAAGAACAGGTGAAGAAAAAAAGTGTTGCCATGCCTTGCATTTGCTATGCTCACAATGCTGCAGGCAGTCAGTGTCCAACACAAAGCACCTGTAATTTTAGTCATGAAGCAGCAGGTTTATCAACTGAGAAATAATCTTTAAGACCTGCAGGTTTAAATCAGGATGAATGTTTTCCATCAGTTAAAAGGCTTTAGTCATTCAGACCAGTATCACAAACAGATCAGTGTCCGTGTTGGTGACCCAGTCATCGCTTAATAATGTCGTTTCATATAGGGTTAAAGTGGTTACCAGCCAAGGCTGATAATCCGTTTTTTTGCTGAATCTACAGAGCCCCTCTGGTGACATTGGTTAAAAAATAATAATAATGCACGACCGCGAGAAAGTTTTGTAGCGTCCAACTAGACGAGTTAAAAGCTGTGATGAAAATCTGAGTCGTGACAAACAAAACTTTATTTATTTTCAGTTTTATTGCAGGGCTTGTAACGTAACCACACCAAAACAACAACTTATGTGACCACTTTCACTACTTCTCAGCTGCACTCTCTCTCTCTCTCTCTCTCTCTCTCTCTCACACACACACACACACCTTTCGCTTTCTTATCCAACCACATGTGTGCCGTACACATTTACTGACAGTCAGAAAACACAGAACACTTTAACATTTGAACAGGAACATCTCTGCAGGGCCTCATCCGCTCTTTCATTTAGCATTACCAACACTGACTTGTCCGTCTTCATGTAGCTGTGAGCTCCTCCAGCCCGTCATAGCATTATTGACAGGCTAACAAGCTAACAAGCAGGGCCGTATCCAGACCTTTTTGACAGGGTTTGGGGTTTGGGATGAAGTCTGTGAGCCTACAAGCAATACGTGACATTTTTTAATTGCCTCTGTGTTGTAACATAGGCCTTGTGTTTAGTTAATTCACATTAATTATGCAAATAGACTGAAATACTTTGACTTCTTTGGGAGGTTTGGCCCCTGACAGGTACCCCCTGTCTCAGTGTGAATATTTATTACCATTCCTACAATGAACCACTAAACGACATGGTATAACTGCATGTTTATTTCTTGCGTAACATCATCAATATTTTCATTTTCTTAAGAGGGATGTCATCAGTACTTGTATATTGCCACAGTCTTACTATAGACCCCCTCATTTTGCAACAAAAAAAAACTTTAATAAAGTTGTAGCTGGCTGAAGGGAGGTCGCCACGGGTGCAATAAGAAAGTGTTAATTTTCTTACTCAACACTTGTAGGCCGAGTTTGCTTGTTAAACCAAGTGGAGATAATGGGGCTTTAATGATATTCATATGCATGGTTGAAGTGTATTATCTTTGCTTGTGCTAGCCGTCTGGTTTAGTGAGTACAAACAGAATATGATAATTACATACATAGACTTATGTATGTGTAAATGTGGCAGCTGCAGTGTGGACACAGTGAGAGTTTGCGTGCCGTCACCTCCAGTGGAAGCATGAGGCGGTAATTGCCGCCCACAGAAGTTGCCCAGGTAGTGCAGCCCCTCCAAGCTGACACATCCATACTCTCTGCAGCCACAAGGTTTGCTGTGTCTCTCAGCACAGTGTGAAGAGGGTGGAGGAGATACCAGGAGACAGACCTCTGTACCAGGAGGGGTGGAGGGGGCTGTAAGAGGGCAGCAACCTAGCAGCAGGACAACTCCCTTGCTCCTTTGTGCAAGGAGGAACAGGAGAGGCACTGCCAGAGCCCTACAACATGACCTCTAACAAACCACCCGTGTGCATGTTTCTGACAAAACCTTACAGAAACAGACTCCATGAGGGTGGCATGAGGAAGTGAAGTCTACAAGTGGAGCCTGTGCTCACAGCCTGGCACCCTGCAGTCTGAAACAACAAAAACAGCAGACTGGCCGTCGGCGTCTGTTTTCTCAGACGAGCACTGAGCACGTGTGATAGATGTTGGAGAGTCTGGAGAGGCTGTGAAGAACCTTCTGCTACCTTCAGCATCCTCCAGCATGACTGGTTTGTTGGTGGGTCAGAGGTGGTCTGGGGAGGTATATCCTTGGAGGGCCGTTCAGACCTCCACCTGCTATTTAGAGATTGCCTGTTAGGCACCATGATGAGATCCTCAGACCTACTTCAGACCAGGTACTGTTGCAGTTTGCCCCAGTAGACAATGCCTCATGTACCTGGAGTGTGTCAGCAGTTCCTGGATGATGAAGGTGTTGATGCTTTTGACTGGCCAGTCTGTTCTCCAGACCTGAAAACCTCTGGGACATCACAAAATGAATTCACTTGCAAGTTCATTGTAGGCCTAAGACCTGAAAAATATTTCTATGCCATCTGGTTGATGTGAAGTTTTTGACCCCAAGTTTTCCAACACATGAGGAGGTTTTTGGTGTGCAGGTCATGGAGACTCTTGATCATACATCGACATCTCTTTTTGAAGCAGCAGAGTCTGACGGGTGTTCCAGTCTGGGCTGCCGTGCAATATGTGTCTCCAAAAAGATCCCCCATGGCCGTTAGAGCAGTTTTCACAGCGGTTTGTTGATCACTTGGTTGTCTGACGTTGGTTTTCACTGTCTGTGCCTTCTGCCAGATTCACCTGTTTCATCTCCTGCAGTTTAGCCCCGTGCACCTCCGGTCTTTACTCCTCTTTCAGATGAACGAGGAGAGGAAATTGTGGATCCAGGTAGCTGGCTTTGTTCAGCAGCATAAATGCACCTTTTTCTCACCATAACGCTTCTCCAGATCAGTGATGATTCTTGGCTTCTTCTCTGACAGTGCAGGTGGTTCTGGTTCGTCTGCTTTCTTAGTTGACAGAGAATTATTTGTCATATTTCATAAATTTCATTCACTACGCTCACCTTTTCCATTAGGGACGATCCACCTGTGTTCAGCTCCATACTGGAGAGTTTTATTCTCAAAGATGACAACTGACACAGCTGCTTGTTTCTCCGACACACAGCAGATCATCTCATATGTGCTGTTCCATCGGGTCGGACGGTCGTTAATTAGTTTTTCTGTTTTCAGCCCCAAAAGTTTTTGTTTTTGCTGGAGGAGGCAGCTGTTGGTGGTAGATTTGCTGAAGTGTGCCGCCACCATTTCCAGCCTACTAACGCTTATTTCTATGGCTCCGACCCCCAGCCATTGGCACACAGCCAAATTAATTGCGTACGCCACACATGATATGTTCACACGTGTCTCTCCACTGCATTCACGCAATTAGTGGCACTAACAGATCTCTTTTTTTATGCCATAAACATCCAGGATCTCTTGAATGCATCCCCCGACATGCTCTGCAGTGTCTCTTTCTATAAGCTCTCCTGTCTTGAGCAGGTTGTCACCTAAAATCCAGTGGGTTTTTGGTGTAACGTAGGATCCAGTGGCTGGGGAAGTCCACCCGTCTGTGGTAAAAACCACATCTTGCTCTTAGAGTAACTGCTTCATATTTTCTGAGGTGCTTTAATTAATACATGTCTTCGGTTCCACAGCTCGGGATTTGGTATCTCGGTTCCAAATCTAGACAAAACTCTCTGAAGCCTGTGCCATCAACGATAGTGATCGGCCTCATGTCCTTGCAGATGAATGAAGCGAGTTTCTTCATGCATGCCTCTCGCCGTGATGTAGACAAAGAGCCTGTGGAGACGTGGCTGTTTAGCTGGAGTTCCAGACATCATGGCATGCTCATTTATGTGCACATTTTCAAGATGTTTCTTCAGGTTGCTAGTGGTGGAATGATAAGCTAATTCAACCTACACAGCTTACATGTCACTTAACCTCGCTCAGCATTTCTTCCCTCTACCATGTCTGCCAAGAATCTGAAGAATTTCCACACTGAGCTTGTAAGGTTAGTTGGAGTCCAGACCGCTCTCTCCGAATTTGGCTCCAAACGTCCCGCCATCTCTCACCGCTGCGACTGTCACTGCAGGTGCAGCTCCTCAGGTGACCTTTCCATGACCTGTCGTCACAGCGCGCTCACTCAGAGCAGCAGTTTTTTTTTCCACTCAGTTTTTCTTTCTCTGTTTATTTAATATTCAAATATTTATTTTCACATTCAAATCTATCTTTTTTTATTTTAATATTTGAATATATCTTTGAATTTAGAATATTTGTCGACAGCCCTGGTCCTCAGTGGGTTTGTGACTGTGGTTTCCTTGATTTCTCTTGTTATATAAATGATATTTTTTGTGATGAGTAATTATTTTCTATCTGATTATTTAATTCATCAAGATCTGGAGGGAATGATTCAAGTGTTCCCATCATTTTCTTTTCCATTTTTATTTTTATTTTTGAGTAGTGCATAAAAAGTTGTTGGTACTTTTGATAGAAATGCATCTGTTGTCTGTAAAGTACGGAATAAACTGCATCGCTGGAGCTCCAGGAAACTATCTGGTATTTGAATTTAACTGCAAAGGGATGGATCTGAATTGAGAGCATCTGTTAGATTAGTGCTTAAATGCCAGCTAATCAAACACACATAAGGGTACCACAATATGTGTCTGTCTTTGCAGTGAATCGTGTTACCATAGTTGGTAAAAACTTTATTACTGCAGGTTAAAGTTTTAGTTTCAGGGATAAAATGAAGCCTGCTGAGACTGTAGTTCAATCTGCTTTCAGTTTATAGAAAACCCCATATCCTCATGATTGTATTTCATATTCCAGAAAGTGCTTTCAGTGTGATCAAATCCTTAAGAAAGGTCGTTGACAGAAGTTAAAGAAAGCTTTATTCTGCCTGGAGTCAGTATTTGTGCTTACAGCCACAATCTGGACCAGTTCCTTTCTAAATCCGTTGTATTCTCCGGCAGTTTGAGTATCTGATTTAGCCCTCAGGGAAAAGTGATTAAATTGAGCACAGCAGATCAGTTAGTACACAAGCAGAGGTCAAAATGAAATATAATCCAACCCCCTCAGAGGGATTCTTATCTTTACTCCCAATTTTAGAGATTGGATTAATCTCATACTTGCGTGTTTTTTAGTGTTATTCTTGCCCGGAACAGTAACGGGTAGACCACTCGCCTTATCCCCCCTTTTTGAAATGCTTTTATAAAATTAAACATCCATATTGTGTAGACGTGCTCCAGGCTGGCTCAGTGACAACTTCCTCTGCAGGCTTAAGCAGTCCAGTTTAAGGAGACAGCATCCATGTAAACATGTTACAGTGCTGTGCTGCCGATTGCAAAATCAGATATGCTTTAGCATCACGTCACAAAATTTAGACTGGACAACATCCTGAGAATAGCCATCAAATAAAGTCAGATCAAATCCATCATACTTTTTTGTGAAAGATGTGTTATCAGGAAAGAACAAGAAGTTCCTCTCAGACCATTCACACAGTCTGCACATTTAGTTTTTGTCTTTTACACACATTAGAGCCAGTGGCTGTGAATAAAAGCTAGTAATTAATGTCTTTTTCTCCCGTCTTCCATGACCATCGAAACTCAAATCATCAAGTTTATGAAGGAATTTTGCTGCACACTTATCAACTTATCAAAATTGGTTATGCAGGTGAGATGTGAAAATGTGTAGTTTCAAAACACACAAAAGGTAGAAATGGGCTATTCAAATAATAATCACAGTAATTTTAACAATAATTGGTTGTGATTTGTGAGGTAGCAGACATGTTGCAGTGGTCCAAGAAACCTTTATTTAAAATAAGAGGCAGCAGACTCTGTAAAAAGGTCGAATCAAAAGGTTGGTAGTTCGATTGTATCGTCTTCCTGAACCTGGGATTACCTCTGGTGATGGAGTGTTTGAAAACATGTTAGTGGGATCAGTTCAAGACAGAGTTTGGTTTCTGAGGTAACAGGGAAAATTCACCAGATTGGAGTGGAGTTAAAAGATCTCTTTCTATCTACAGGGCCTGCTTCCACAGGCTCCTGATGTTTTTTTTATTTTTTATCTTTTTTTGCTCCATCCCCTCTCTGGTAACCCTCAGCCCAGCGTAACAGTTACTCATGACGTCTGTTTGTGCCAGAGCATAGCCAATCAACCAACACAGAGCAAACTGAAGGAGACAGGACACCCAAACAATATTAAATCATCGGCTTAATTTCCAAAATAAAGCACTCTTGTGTTGACGCCTAATCACTTTTTGTTTATCTACACCAACAAACTGTCATAATGAGAAAAGCCACGCCTGGAGCCAACGAGTCAGAGGTTTTTCAGGGGCCACTGATGTAGGCAGGGATGAGGACAGATTTAGAGAAAATCATTAACTCTGTGTCAACCACAGGAAATACTCAGTCCTGTGACATAAATACAACATACATAAATACAAACATGCCAGTCAAAGTGCCTCAGAAAAGGACAGACAGGTAGCAGCAAGAACTTGAGTGATAAAAGACTAAAAAATAATAGAATAAAATAAAAGCCCTCTGCCCAACTCTGAGTTTGTCTGGATTGCGGTGCCCCATGTGGACAAAGAAGTCTTTACCTACTTGTCTCGGTATCTTCTTGCAAAATCTCCTAAACTGAGTTTTGACAGTCAGATGTATTATTCATAGAGAATATTTCACATGGATTGTAAAAACAGGTCTGTTTCTTCAGCTGCTAGATCGACACCATCATTGCATTATAAGACTGTCAGTCTTGTCCTTGGTGACCTTGTTTGCTTTTGTGTGCCGTAAAAAAAGCATCAATATAAATTTCTGTCTGTTTCATGGATGTCAAAAAACTCCTCAAAGGGGCTTTAAAATAAAATGGAATTGATAGAGTAAAAACCTATAAATGAAGGGCCTGAACAGTTGGGTTAGGAGCTCAGGTTACAGAAATGCTCATTGGGGTCAGGTAGTCAGCAACCAAGATGGCCCCCTATGGGAGTTTGGTTGAACTGTTGGTTGTATTAAATGTTAAAGTTGGTGCACCACTAAGCTCACTTTTGACATTTTACAGGATCATTTATCATTTTATCATAAAGTTTTGTCTTATTTAACAGACCTGATATTTCTAGCAGTTGGTCAGTTACCTTTTCACCTCTCTCATTGTGCATTTAGTTCCTCATTTCCATAACCCCAGACAGCTTTATCATTATTAGACGGTGGTTATGCAGTATGGCAATATTTCACTTAATTCTGTCTTCTTGTCTATATAATTTGTGAGGAAGGTGCATTATACAATCTGACCATCAATGCAGTGATGTAGCATAACAAATGAACACAGCTGTAAGTAGCATTATTAACTTGGGCGAATTTCCTCTTGGGAACGATATATTGCGTAATTATATCTTATCTTCATTTTGACAGAGAGCTACAGGCACAGACCCCAGCAGTTAATCACTTTTACTTCAGTCTTATCTTATTATAATCACCTATTTAGACGAGACAACCATCAAGTTTAATCAAAACCACAAGGCGGTGGTTTTAATCTGACAAGCCTGTACTTTTCTTATCATAGAAATGCTGCTTATGATGCAATTGCCTGCCATTTATTATGAATACAGCTACACAACATTCTGATTTGTGAGTCATTATCCTGAAGAATTCATTGGTTTTCCTTTTCAGTAGCGGTTTGTATTTTTTTTATTTGACCTTAGTTTCAACAGATAGTCTCATTAAGAAGCTAGGTCGCATTCTCAGGAGATAGGCAGCAGATAAATTTAGTATTTATACTCTGACAAAGTAGTTAAAACAACAAAACCTAGAAGTGAAGAGTAGCTGTCTGATATCAAAATACTATATACAGGAACAAACCCCCAGAGACTAACACTGTAGTCTTCATAGAAATGCCTTAAAGCCACTTTAGGGAATCAAACTAGACGGCTTCACTCCCCGCTGTAGGGTGTCTGGGTTCAGGAGAGCGAAGTGAGAGAGAGAGAGAGAGAGAGAGAGGGCCTTTAAATAGGATATCTTTAACATGTTTTTGTTTTATGGAGTTCCTGGCTGAGTCACTGCTGTATAAATCTGCTACATACCAAAGTGTATGACGTTGGTTGCAGTAAATAGTCCAGGGTGACGTCGGTGTCCTTCAACACACTTTTCAGCAGAGTCATTTTGTAAAACTGTAAAATGCAGTATTCAGGCTTTAAGACCGCTTAGGGTAAAGGCAGGTGGTGTGTGCATTAACAACTCGGAGCCTGCTGACATGTGCCAAAAGGCCGAGGTGCGAAGGTCTCCGATGTTATGCTGATGCAGCTCCCAGCCTCATCTTTTCGCTGCTGGAACTCAACAATCAAAATGCTTGTGAACATTTCCCATTGCTGCTTTGGCACATGCTGATCATCTGGACCACTGAATAGAAATCTGAATTTGTGGAATTCTTAGTCCTTTCCTGCTTCGCAGAGATGTGTATACACAGAGCCCAGAGCCAGCTTGTTTGCTGCTGAGGTCTCCCGCTGGCCTGCTCAGATAACATTAATTAATCATCAGGGATACAGGCCGGATTAAAGGTGCTGAGGGGGAGCCCTTCTCCACTCATCTGATTGGTTGAGGGTAGTTGGGGCCAGTGTTGATAGCATAGTAGATAGCCTTGAAGCATGCATGATGGGCTTGTGAATCCATTACATGAATCAGTTTTACATGATCATTATCGTTCGACGTGTGTGATGTGTCTCGGTTGTGTTTAAAAATGAAAACTTGTTAGTTTAAACCAGACCCCACAGCAGCTAAATCCTCTAATCTTTGCTCGGTTGGGTTTAGGATTACAGTTCTCTGAAGAAACAGGAAATACCCGCGTCTGTGACTGAAAGCCCACACAGGTGTTGTGAGTAATCCTGGATGCAGACCAGACACTTGTTTCACCTCACTTTGTGTCAGTCTTGGACATTTATAGAGTTGTTAGAACTAGGGATGTGCCATATCATACTATATACCGTAATACTGGGGTACTTATACTGTAGGGACGCAATGACGTATGGTGTTCCCTACTGCATACACAACAACAGTGTCAGAGAGCGAGAGCAGCACAGTATCAACATCATCCTCAAATGAGATCTACTGCCAGAAAAGGGAGCTGCCTCTGTGGTGTGGAGGTGGTTTGACTAACACAGCTAATAAGTTTTACAACCTAAAGCTAAAATACACGGCCAAATATCAGCAGACTTTGAAGTCACATGATGAGGAGGTGGTGTTCAGAGTAAAAGTAAACAGATGGCTTACTGGAGAATTGCAGGAGTACTCACTGCACTCTGTGCGATTGAAAACAGACAGTGGCGGGACATTACTGAAGCGGTCATGTATTGTTTGGCAAAAGACTTGAAGCAAATTCAGGCTGTTGGAAAGGAAGACTTTAAACACTTTATAAAAGAATCGCCTGTACGGCTGAAGTGGTCGAGCCAAACCTCAAACCTCCGAACCCTTTATCAGCCTGAAGGTCCATTACATTGGCTACGACTGAAAGCTGCACAACTCCTGTCTTGAAATCAGATACTTTCTCAAGAATCACACAGGAGAAAATAATGCAGATGGATTCAGGGAGTTTCTTAAGTCATGAAATCCACAAGAGGACAAATAGGTGTGTGTCAGTGTTGTCAAACTTTTACATTTGAGAACATATTTAAAATAAAAACATTGGACTTTTTTTTTTTTTTTATCGCAAAGTGCCTTGAAATATCATGATATCATTTTGAGGCTGTATCGCCCACCACTAGTTAGAACTCGTATACCTATTATCTCTGCTCTGACTGGCCTATCAACTAAAAATACAAAAAATGAATAAGTAAAAGCCTGTATTGATCTAACAATGATTTAATTGGTTTAAAGGATTTTTTTCCACAGCTTAAAAAAATACCCTCAGTTAGGATGGTTGATAGTGCTGCTATAGCAGGAATATGCTTGGTCAACCAGTCAGTGCTTGGGTTGTGGAGCAGTTGGAGGGCTCTGAGTAAAGCGTCTGCATTGAGAGGAGTCAGGAGAGGTCACTTGGGCATCTAACCAGGATGCCTCCTGGATGCTTTGCTGGTGAGGTGTTCAGGGCACACCCCACTGGTAGGAGACCATGGGGAGGACTCAGGATACCCTGGAGAGACTGTCTCTCAGCTGGCCTGGGAACGCCTCAGATCCCCCAGGAAGAGCTGGATGAAGTGACTGTGGAGAGGGAAGTCTAGGCTTCCCTGCTTAGGCTGCTAACCCTGCAATCTGACTCTGGATAAGAGGGAGAAGATAAAGATTTTAATGTCCATACAGTCAAGTCAACATATTTGAGTCAACATTCACAATAGGTGCAGAAAATTCTTCTCTGTTATGTTTCTTCTGACTTTCCTCTCCATCAGTAGCTTAAACCTGCCAAAGCCCATCCTGTAGTGTGGTTTCTGGTTGCTTTGTATCTGTTTTACTCCTAAAAATATCCTTACTCTGCTTTGGATGAAAGAAAAATTTGCTTTATATTGTCATCATGAAGAGGCGATCAGTCAGTACTCTAGATGTGCTGTAACTGCTCCCCAGGGACTGAATAGAACAGCATGATGTGTGTGATTAAGTTACTATCAAGAGTCAGTAGCTGTTAATAGAGACTATTTTTGAGGAGTAGCAGTGATGGTCCATGTTCATAAAACTCTCCAATACCAAGATATTGGTGTAAGAAAAATACCTCACCATCATTTTCAACCCACTTATGCATCTGTGGGTCGTTGCACGCAGGATTGCATGAGATAAAAGAGCGCACACATCATTTATCTCTATCTTCCTCTTGGGTGTCAGAAAATAATTACACAATGGTTACTGACTTGAAAGAATTGCTAGTTTCTTGGAAGTGCTTTTAGCTCCTGATAGACGGCCTCTCTCTTTCATCCATGAGGGCCGTGAGGGAGTCCTTGAACTCACCTTAAAAGGAAAGCAAAGAGCATACGATAACCCAATCAAAGTGTCCATCCTCTCCATTAGAACATGCCTTCACATTTGATATCTGTCAGTGGCTGCAGAGCTCAGGCCACATATCCATTACATACCACACGCTTCTTAGATCTGCTCCTCAGTATCCGACAGAGGTAACCAGCAGGAGGCTTAAAATTGGCTCACCTCCACACTGTCTAAATGACAGAACAAAGACATTGAGTCACGATTTTATTTTCAAGATATATCTGCAAAATTAACAAGTGGGTCTTTTAGCGGTCCTTTTTTATGTGCGATCTCAGAGGAATCTACGGATTAAAGCACCTTTTGTTAATCTTTTTCACAAATACTCAGTACTTCTTGGATGAGCAGAAGTGGATGACTCCAATGTCTAAGACTGTAGACATCTTCAATAATGTAGCTCTTCACTTCCATCCTGTTAAATGAGTGTCATATCGCAGGTCTCTCCACATAAAGGCTAGCTGTGTTAGTTCTTTAAAACATGAAAATTATACATTATATTTAAAAATCTTTATTTATTTATTTTTATTTCACCAGGAAATATCCCATTGACATTAAGAGTCTTGGTCAAGAGGCAGCAAACACAAAATACATGTACATATTTACATAAATAAGACACAGAACAGAAACACATTATGAGAAACTAGTGCATAAAGTGCAGAGTAAAGAAATGTCCTTTTACCCGACTGTACGAACAGAAGGGACAGAAAGCAACAACTGATCTTGTGAACGAAGAGAACAAGATTCAGGGTTTTAGTTGTAGTTGGATGAGATCTTTTGAGGATACTCTTCCTCTTTGCACTAAAGGAGGCCAACTGTCTTTTGAGGTACCACTGTTTAGGTGTGGGTGTGATTTCACAGTCACACCGGCAGGAAGACTCTAATTCATCATCTCCAGCTCTGCAGCCATTGTCTACAACCTCTTTGGGGGCTTGCAGTTGGCAGCCGCTGGATCATCTACTGCCACATTTTATCTCATAAGCCCTGACTCCGGTGTGTGTTGTTGTTTTTCCTTTTTCTTTTTTATGGCACTAGTCTGCTGTACTACACTCCTCATCTTTGATTTTTTTTTCTGTGAATGCACCCTACAACTCTGCCTCTGCAGTCTGCACACTCCTGCAGATTGACAGCATGACAGTAGTGTGTGCAACTGTAAGGAAAATGATCCACAACAAACCTGAGTACCACAGTCATTTACAGGTTTTATTAGACATCCCAGACTCTGTTGTCATAACAAGGAGCAGACAAAAAGGGACGATGAGGAGCGTCATTATTTGGCCTTTCTTGTGACGAACCCCCTGCAGGTTTAAATATGCTCAGCCTAATTTGCTGTGCAAGTACTTCCAAATTTCAGTGCACAAGGAACATCTGAGCCAGCAGAGAGATTTTAAAGGTTAAAGCTCAGACTGTGTCAGGTAGTTATGGAGGAAATCTTTTTAGCTAACAGCTTCACTTGACTCTGTGGAACTCTTCACACAAAAATCGTTTGAAACAAAGTGAACGGAGCAGAATGTCCCAGAGAATAAATGACTTTTCATGCACAAAGTTTAGACTGTACAACATGACTCATTTATGTTCTTCTTTTAACAGGATCCATTGGGCAGGCACTGAAACAGCCACCCAGTGGTGTGGCTACATGAGTGGTGCTATACAATCAGGCCAGCGTGCAGCGGTGGAAGTATTGGCTGAACTCTGTCCGATGGCTTTGACCCAGGAAGAGCAGGAAGCAGTGCAGCACAGTCAAACCATCGGGGGTGCTTTCAGAAAAACACAATCACCCGGGCTCACATATCTGTCTGGACACAAGATGATGGTCTTAGCAGCAGTGACTTTAAGTTCGGCTCTGTTGCTGGCTTACCACCCTGCAGCGTTTCTGAAGGCCAAGGCTCACTTGATGAAAATATTTTCAACAGCCAGGAATCATATAAGATAACGGAACTTTTTCCAAATATGCTGTGAATCAGATTGATTCACAAATAAACTAAACTTTGAATATGGTTTATTCTACTAATGTGAGAAGTAAATCACACAAGTACTTTATACACACATCTAGATGATAGATGACGTTCTCTGCCATGTTCCTAATTTTTTTTTTTACCTCTGTGGAAAAGACTAAATCCTTATTGATACCATGATAATGATAATGATTGATAGTTACACAGAGGAGCTTGAATTGAGAAACGAGAACTTATTGATTATGGTTGCCAAACAGTTATAACCCTAACCCTTTGTTGAATATCATCAATTAATCCTGATCAATCCTGTATTCACTACAAAATTAAAATTCTTGATTTGCATTTTTGGACAGCTTTGAAGTTGTGATTAAACAATGGAAAACATAACAAAACATAGATAACACTAATCACTGACTGTTGTCCAGGGATCCTGACTCATTGGAGGAGTATTTGCGCCTTTCAGGAGTTCCACTCTGACTGTTTGTTTTGATCCTGTATCCTCTTTGCCGTGTGGTAAGAGGCATTGTCTTCTTGGAAAATTCGAGCCAGAAAAGAGTTTTTCAGCTGATGGAAGAAAACTGTTTCCAAGAGTAGCCCTGTACGTGACCTGGTTCTTTTGCCCTTCACACAACTGCATTTGCCCTGTTCCATCCATACTGGAACAACCCCGAATCATCTACGATCATCTACGATCCACCCCCATATTTTACTGTAGGGGCAAAACAGTCTGGTTTGTAGGCTTCTCCAGGCCTCCTCCTCACCTAAGTTAGCTGGATTGGGCGTCAACTCAAAATTGAATTCATCACTGAAGAGAACCTTGGCCCAATCATCCACAGTCCAATCCTTGTGATCCCCAGCGAAGAGTAACCAAAACTTGCTCTGCCTTTCGTTGATGAAGGGCTTCTTTTTTGCCCTGTGTGACTTCAGACCAGTTTCAAGAAGTCCATCTCGAACTATCCTTGCTCAACAAGTCACATTTCTTGACGGCCCCCTTCATTTTTATGGTCCCAGGAGGTCTGACGACGGTTCCTGACACAGGAACAGATGAGTGCACGGTCCTCTCGACATTTCCTGCCTCAACCAACTAGCAGTTTGGTAGTATCATGTTTGGTATGCTTTTTCTTGGTGAAATGAACAGCTTCAGTTTTTTGGCTACCTGTCTCGCACTCATGCCAGTTCCCAGCATTGCCAAGATTTCTGCCTTTGTGGCTTTACTTAGTTCTGTTGTTTTAGGCCTTATCTTAGAGCTGCCAACTGAGTTGTGCTACGGCTTGGATGCAAAACAGCTCTAGCAGTAAACAACTCAAGGCCTTTGTATGTGAAGTGCTGCTTATGACATGAAATGGCCTTATATATACTCTGGGAATACAATGAAGCCTAAGTGTGTCAAACAGGACATGAAGTATTATGGAATCAGCTGCATTTTCAGTTACGCTCATCGTATTCTTCAGGTAATTTACCCTTAGTGGTATCAGGCATTAAAATGAACATGAAATTGAAGAAACAATGGTGGTCTAATAATTTCTTCCATGACTGTATATTTTAAATAGCTGCAAAAGGCCATCTCTTTTGTCTTGATCTTTTCTGTCTGACTTCACCCCTCTGTCTATTTACTTACAAAACTAGCCAAGACGAGAAATCATGGCGCACTCCTACACACCCAAGAGTTCAGAAGTGATGCATTAGCTCTGACTTGCCTCCCTGGCAGAGTAAAATTGTTGGGTGATGGAAATTTAGTCTCTAACGGTGCACTTCAAGCTAATTTTCCCTGAAATGCTCCTAATGCACAAGAAATATGCAGACACAGGAGCTGTAATTCACCATTGTGGACCTCATTTGGCAACAGACAGAGGTAACACGGTGGACAGTAGGAATCTTCTTCATCATTACTTTAAATCCCTTTTGTGTGCTTAATTAGAATAAAACCTCATTCGAGTGGTTTTATGATTCCACTCAAATGTTCCGTATCAGATTTATGGTTTCATCATCTGCTCATGACAAAGGCTAAGAAAATTACTTATAATAATATCTTAAATAATCAGCTGAGGAGAAAAGCAGTCTAAGCATCTCTTTATCCCGTTTTCTTTCCTTACCCCCAAAATGGGACCATAAATTCAGGTTGTGTATTGAAGAGTGGGGCTTTCCAGTGATCATGTTGGGTTTAAATCACATTGCAGTGAGAAAATGGAGCTACTGCGCTGTACTGCCTTTGCTTTGTACCCCAGAGAGCCATAAAACCTGCTTGAGAGGCTTGGAGCGGAGCCACACACATGTTTGTCCGCCCACAAAATCATCAACAGACATTCGAATGAGCATAAGATGGATGAACCGGTCACACAACCATAATGTCCCAGAGAAAGTGATTTAATCGCTATCACTCGATTGCACTGTTGATTGAAAGGATTTTGGTCAGTCCCCTGTCTCTCTTCGAGAGTATCTCCAACACCCGCTGGTCATTGGGCAAAAGTCTGACTCCACTGATGCCATGGCTAGCTATTTGTCTTTGTTATCTCTAGCTTGCGCTAAATCAACTGCCAGGTCCCCCTGGTTTTATTTAAGCTGGTCCGGACTGAATCAGGACCCACAGCCCAATTTCCCCTAACATGTGTGGATGTTTTACACTGTTTGGTCTTTGACAGAGATGCTCGTATTCCAGATTTTTTCTTCCCAAATCTGAAACCTGGACTTGACTGTTTGCTCATATGTTTCCCTCACTGATGTCTGTCACATCATCATGATTATTATGGCTGAAAAGTCCAGAATAACAATGTTACTGCAGCATTTACCCAAAACTTAAGGAAAAACTATCAGTTAAATGAAAAGCAGGAAGAGAATGGAGCAAAAGATTAATTCACTGAAATTACACATACAACATAAAAGAAACTGAGTTACTTATGTCTCATCATCCGTTTTCAATGAAGCTTAAAGTTTTTGCATTATCTGTGTCACCAGCCCGGTAAAAACAGAAACTTCTAATCACACTAAAGCTAAACTATCATCTTGTGAGTCTTCTCTTGATTTCTGAAACACAGTCGTGCTGGTGAGGGAGGTTTTTTGTATCTCACTTCTGTCATCTCTTTAAATATAATATGCACTTAAAGGGATATTCCGGCGTAAATTTAAGTTGTGGTCAAATACACCGTGACACCAAGTTAGACACCTCCTCGAGAGATGAATGTTGCCGACTGCTTGCTTCTCTAGTTATACAAACTTTAGTAACAACCGCACAACAGCAATACACATCGGTCTAAGGGCTCTATTTTTGTGCCTGGCCAGCAGCATGGTGCAGGCGCAGCATAAGTCAGCTCTGCCGCGCCAACAAGGCGTGCCCAAGCACACTTTGCTATTTTGGTGAGCGGCGCAGCCTGGCGTAAGTATCCCCCCTCCCTAACTCAGCTCCTCCCAGCGGCGTACGTCGCAGAGAGGGAGGGGACAAGGCGTGGAGTGGACAAGTGTCAACAAGTGTCACTGTAAGCGCTGCAGAGGGCGTCCTTCACACTCTCTCATATAAGCACAGAGAGATTTGGTGTGTGTAAGGTTGGACCCACTTTTGGTCTACCAAAATACCACTAGACCAGCTGCGCTCCGCCTGCACTGAAAGCTGACCGGGTTTGAATAGGTGAGCTCGTCAGCGCACTTCCCACGCCGCTGGCGAGCACGAAAATGTCACTGCACCAGCTGATTCTGGCAACACCTCCCCCTGCCGTGCCACCCCACCCAGCTTGGCGGACCTCGGTGCACCCCAGTCTATGGAAATACCAAAGTGGCTGTGCACCGGGCTCCGCCAGACGAAAATACCACTGCGCGGGGTTCGCCACGGTTCGCCGTGCCGCCGTCGGGCACAGAAATTTAGTTCTAAGTCTCTGCCTGACTTTACTGCCTCTTGTTTGCATTTCCAAACTGGTGACAGTCATTAAAAGGCTGCAAAACTACTTCAGAATTTAGTAGGTGATGTCGTTGAGGCTATTTAGGCGATTTATGCTCGAAGCACCTGTTAGACGTCCTGGTATCACATTTCCTTTTAATGTCCTTGAAAATAAAGTGTTAAGTTGTGCTCTTTAGAACAGCTGTAGCCTCTTTTTTTAATTTCTCGTGAGTGATAGTCACAGAGCTGAGGGTTTTTATTTAGATGCATTATGTAAAATACCCCAAATCTACTCTTGCCTTTTCCCGACCTGACCTTAGCTCGGGTTAGAAAGACAGGGACTCCAGAGTATTGCTAAGAGGTTCCTTCATGAGGTGTATGTCATCTCCAGCTTCAGGCATGCAGTAAAATACCATGTGGGGAATGTCAGTGTATCTTGTCAGAAACAGTTTTGTCATTTTTGAACACAATCCAGTAGTTTGTTTTCAGTGAATACATGATAACTGTGGAAAGCTGCCTGGACTATTAAAAGCCGACACTGAGAGTGAGAAAATAAACTTTATGTTTCCCTCTGAGGGACATTTGTCTGAAGAACAGCTCTACGGTCCATTGCTTCATGAACATGCCACATAAGGAAACCACAAAAACACGAGAGCTTTGACATGCCTGACAGCTACTTTAATAAAAAATACATCTGATAGTAACGTTGTTAAATCTGGGACAATGTGAGGCTGAAGGAGAAAATTAACCAGCGAAAATTATCTTTGAGCTCTGTCACCTTGATGGAATCTGAACGCTTATGAACAATACTGTACTGTGAAGAGTCAGGAAGGAGGGCAGATTACTTGATATTTTGTTGTTCCCAAGTGGAGGGTAAGAAGTAATGATGAATTTTTTAGACCTTGGAAGTTAAAAAGCTCAAAATACAGCCCATGAATTAAAAATCAGAAAAGACAGATCAGCGTCATCACAATCACGCTCTACTCTGCACAGCCCTTTGTGTTTCTGTTTTTCCCTGCTTTAGTATCCTGTCTCCAGTGATGATGCTGTAATTACCTCAGGCTCTGCAAGCACCTGCAGTTGATGCTTTTTCATAGTGACAACAGGACCAACTTAACAAAAAAGAAACACTAGAGTACTCAGTTAAGCAACTCTTCAGTCTTTTCAGACGTTAGATACTTTTAACATTTGGTTTTAAACAGATAACGATATCTGAAGCTTCTTTACTGTCTCTTGTGTGATTCAACCCAAACCTCAACAGGGTCAGAGAGTAAACTGAGTGAGACAAAAACACTAACAGATAAAGGCTCCATGTGGTGATAATTAATATATAATATGTTCATCTTACTTCTGTTGCATAAGGCTGTTAATCACAGGTGTAGTGGGTTAGGTGCTATTTGTGATAAGGCTTGTTTGCATTGTAAAGGCATGCTTCGCTTCAAGTGAATGCATAATAGCTTATCTAAATGTATGCAAACACTGGACCCTTTCAGCTCTGCAGTGCTGTCTGTGGTGCACTTAACCCATGTCGCCGGTGTAAAAGCCTTACAAATCTTTTGTGAATCGAGTCGTATTCATCTGATAATGGTGCTGAGTGGTGTCAACAACATTCAACACGTGTTGAATGGTGTTGACACAGAGCGCATAGAATGATGTCATGTCGGTTAAGTTCCATTTATTTCTGTATCTTCATGTAAGATTTCCATCATTTTTGCACATCCATGTTTCATATTTCATGTCGTGTCTTCCCTGTTTTGTTTTGCAGATCACTAACCCTTGTCTATCTTCTAGATTTGTTCCTGTCAGGTCTGCCCTGTCCCGTCTTGTCACACCGGCATCCTGATTGTTCATCCCACCTGTTTCCCATCACCCTCATTACCCCTTGTGTTTAACCCCATGTCTCTCACTGTCTTGTTGCCACTGTTGTTGTGCTTCAAAAGTCCTTGTACCAGCATTCTAACCTCAGTCAAAGTTACTGTCTTGTTCGAACCTTGTTTGCCTTTTTTGGATTGGACGACTAAACATCAGCAACTTTTGTTAAGCTTAAAACTTCAGTTTATTGTTAATTATGTGAGCAGGAGAATGGACAGTTTTGACAATCACATTTAGTCTGCATTTGTTGTTTTGTTATGCAAATACACCAAATGTATGAAGGTTAATGGTGCCATTGGTTTGACTTACTGCCTTTGCTCCTCTTTGCCAGAGTATCTTTATTTATTTTTTAATTTTTGGGCGAAACATACATCATTATTTTGAAAGACTTAATGAGTCATTTAAGCAGCTGCATTTGCAGCTGTGATTTAGTTGCTTCAGAGCTAAGGCCTTTTTTCTTTGGAATTATGTTCATACTGTAATAGCCTGCAGCATCAATTAACACCTCGTGTGACTCATTCAGTTTTACAGTTAAATGTGTGAAATCAAATTTGTTGGACTAACCCTTTAATGCCAGTACTACTTACATGTATAACCACACACATCACTTCATCAAAACCCTACCTTTTACCTGTTTAACCATGATCTGATGCTGCAAAGCTAGATCATTTCCAGATTATTGGTTTGCAACTTTTTTCAGTGTAAAAGAAAATGAAAATAATCACGCCGATTTGCTCAGTGAGAGGCTTTGCAAAATTGTCCAATTTTGTATCATCTGAAAATGACAAAAGCCAGCTGCACAGTATTTTATTTTTTTTATCACTTATTATAAGTGTGCTTTTATGGTAATATTAGAAAGCTGACAATGAAACAACAAGTCCAGGTAATCCTGATCGTGTTCACTCTTGTAGATATAGCTGCATGAACCGGTCATACAATGAAAACTTGGCAGAAAAGAAGATAAAATTGTTATCACATGATTGCACAGTTGATTGAAGGGATTTTTGTTGGTCCCAGTTTTGCTCCTAGAGAGTATCTCCAGTCCTCACTGATCACTGAACAGTAGTTGGTGCCATGGCTTCCTATTTGTCTTTGTTATCACTGGCTTGCACCGGATCAGCTGCCTGACCCCCTGTGTGTGTGTGTGTGTGTGTGTGTGTGTGTGTGTGTGTGTGTGTGTGTGTGTGTGTGTGTGTGTGTGTGTGTGTGTGTGTGTGTGTGTGTTTCATTTTAGCCACTCTGGGCAATGAAGGCCAACAACAAACCATCTCATTATACACAGCAGGAGCAGCAGCAGCAGAGTAGATGTGACAGGTAGATTTTCATCGCAGGTTTTCATGTGAGGGACACAAATAAAACAGCTGGATAAGGAAACAAGGTGTACGAAGAATTTCTGAATCTGGCAAAGAAGAAGAAATGACCAAGCCGGAGGACCTTCAAGGGCATTAAACCATGAATGAGCTGCACAATGAAACAATAAAATCAAACAGGAACAATACCACAGCAAGAGCAGCCTCACTACTATATTCAATAGAAGGATTCAGCACCAAGGACAGCGAAAGTGTAGACCAAACAAAGCCTCGCTGACTGGATGTGAGTGTGTACAATTAGCAAATTATCCAGGACAGAAGCATGTCAAGAGTTAGAGAAAAAGGATCGTTAAGAATCAGAAGAGCTAAAGGCAGTGAGTGTCTGTGTTTAGCAGTGTGTGGGTCCCCTCAGTCAGAAGTGTTGTACTCTGTCAGAAGCCACTGACACTAATGGGACCTCTGCAGCTGGGACATTGTTCCTTCATTGTTGATGAAGATTATTGAGAATGGATAACAACGTTGTATCATGAGATAGTTGAGATGTTGGAGCATGTAGAATCTACCGAAGAACCTGCTTAGAGAACAAGGGACACAACCATCTGTCTTTATAGCAAATTTGAACTATCAATTCTTGAAGCTGCAGTTTTTCGAATGAGCTGCTTGTATTTGTATGAAGGCCTTGGTAAAGCAGTTTTAATATGACTTATCTGACTAATCCCAAAAATGTCATTCCTGGGACAGAAGGGGGCAGCTTACCATCTTCACCACAGCTCTGATATTCTGCTCACATCACAATACCCATAAAAACTTGTCTGAATGTTGAAGTCAAACTTGTCAGTTTTTGTATAACAGTCAGTCACCACAGGCTAAAGCTGACTTGCTTTAAATCACAATAACATAGTAGTCATAATTCTGTAAACCTGAACATCGTCCGGAAAGTCGAACACGTTTACTAATTAAAGCCGACAGTGAAGGATTTTTCTCTCTTCCTGCCTTGTCATCTTCCGATCCCTCTGCTGTCAGATCAGTTTGACTGACAGATGACTGACTGATGGCGCTGATCCCGGGGGTCATGTCAAAGTAAAACTGACAGTACAAAGGGACACCCTGTGAGGGTTCTGATGTTCTCAAGTTCTCACACATATCCGTCAGACCTGCAGCTTTAAAAAACCTTCTTTAATCATTGGTTGACCTGTTTGTAGACCTCCATATTAAACACACACACTGGACACTGTTTTCTTGGAGTTAAGTAGCCTGTGATGAATTCTTATATAGCTGTGTGCAAGGATTATGCTGGAGCAGGAGCTGACCAATAGTTAGCCATACCTGGTTTCTTTTATTTGTGTGTTACTGTTGGATACAGCCCAACGTACAACTTGAAGAGTAATTTGGTCAACTTAAACGGCATTATTACTCAGCTTTTTATCTGTACGTAAGGTTGTAAACCGGTCTGTTATGTGTCGATATGTTATTTATTCAGACTACATAGGAACACTGTCCACTGATAGGCTTATTTAAACTGACAGCTAACTCATACATGGTTTTGTGAACCGGCCAGTTCCTTGCAGACTGAGGCCCTTTCTTCGTCCTCTAGCTGTAAGATATAAAAGAGCTACACCAGTGAGTTTTATTGAGGTCAACACCAATTAGCAGTGTCTTGAGAAGGGGCTTGTTAATCTTATTTTATGGTAAGAATTATAACATAGAGGGTTTAACAAGAGTAGATAGATACTGTTTGATTTTTTTGTCGCATCCATAACAAAGTCCAAAATAACTGTTTACACTGTAGGGAGACGAACACTGTCCAAAAACATCAGGACACTTTCCAAACACAATTAAAGTGAGTTGGCTGGGGAGGAGAGGAGAGGAGAGGGGGCCACAAAAATAGTCTCCTTGTGTTCAGCAGTAAAAGTGCTGCTTCCGTAATTATCCTAAAAACAAAAACCTCTTGCCTACAAAATGAAAAGGTTATCCCCTTTCTTATTTCATTTCATCAGAGAGTCTTATCTTGTTCTTCTCTGGAGACATGCCGGAAGGATGTTGATGAGAGGAGGTTGAATGGCAAAAAGGGTGATTTCTGTGGAAAGACAGGGTTTTATTGTTGGCCTCTCTCATCCTCTCTGACACTGTTGTAGGTGTTATCAATAGATGACCACGATGTTAAGGGTAGCTCAGGAGGCAAAACACCAGTTACATTTGTGGAAATGACAGTTATCAGACACCAAGATTAAGCTTCATCCTGTCTTGATTGTAGTGCAGAATAAAAAATTAAATGTTACAGGAGTTGCCCTGGTTCAGCAGGGAGGTGACCCCAGGCTGCTTCATAAAAGCATAAACAGGATATGAGGCCGACATGTGCTCATCTCCTCACTCATGACTATGTCTGCTTAATTTTGTATCACAGTTATTTTTGGCTTCTGACCAGTGACCCTTGAACTCATCTCTCTCAGTGTGTGAGTGTGTGTTGGGACAGGCTCCAGCCTCCCTGAGAGACACTGAACAGATGTAAGCAGTGGAAGTGTTGACGGATGGATATTTATTTAAACATGAAGACATGCCAATAGACTCTGCAGAGAAACTGAAAGACACAGTCACATGTTTGAGTTCGTACAATCAGTACAGCCTACTTGACCTCATGATTACATACCATACACTTACCCATTGTGATGTTGAGCCATGTATTGAAGGGTTATGATTGTGTGCCATGCATTTGCCTGCTGTCAGGCTAAGCATGTTCTGACCTTGTCTGCAAGGTATCTCTAAGTCTGTGCAATAAAAGCATATCCATCAGGACTGTTTCTGAAGATTGTTACTCAGGACTAAATACTTATATCCAGTTACAGTCATTTGCACTGTTCTATCATGATTTATTATTTTTGCTAATTGACAGATTTATGTAAGAGCCAAATCATTTCAAGTGTAAATCAGGTCCGCCGCGCAGATGAGGTGTGCCTAAGCACACTTTGGTATTTTGGTGAGCGGCGCAGCCCGGCATAAGTATCCCCCATCCCTAACTCAGCTCCTCCCAGCGGTATAAGTAGGAAAGAGGGAGGGGACAAGGCGTGGAGTGGGTTTCA